GACCAGCCCCTTTCCACTTCCAGCAAGCACCACGACCCCCAGGTGAGGCCGTTTCTGTACAGGATGAGGAATCCTGCCCTGTCCACCAGGATCTCTGCCCCACAGGTGCTGCTGGCCAGGTAAGGAGAGCCCCCAGGAGATCTTTTGGGGACTGCAAGGCAGCCAAAATGCCTGCTGGGGATCCTGCAGCTGCAGCGAGGAAGCCCTGAAGCTGGACAGGGCAGCGGGCAGGTCACGTACCTCAGCATGATTCCTCCGAGGCGAATGGCTCTCTTCCAGTCCTTTAGGGTTGACTTCCCAGCCAGGTGAACAAAATGCTTGGGGCTGATCAGCTGGTCATTGAACTGGCAAGGAGATAAACACGGGCTCAGCAAACACAAGGGGGGGGCATCGCTTCAGGAGACTGGCTGAGGGCACAGTCACAGCCAGGCCAGCTCACCTGAGCCCCCAGTCCTTCCCCAAAAGAGGAGCTGCTTCCCAAACCCCCACCAGCTCCGAACCCCTCAGCACGGAGCGCTTACAGCCCAGCAGGGACAGTTTGCAGCACTCAAACCACACAGCCCCAGGCAGGAACAGCCCCAAAAGCTTTTGTACAGGTCATGAACCAACTCAGCTCCTTGTGCGAGCTGCAGTCATCTCGGAGATCATTCTGGGAGGCTCCCAGTACAGCAAAGAGCCGAGCAGCGTCCTGCTGCCACAGGTGAGCACTCGGGCATCCTCCTGCCCTGCCCCAGTGACCGAGCTCCCGCTGAGGGTCTCAGCAGAGTGCCCACCACAGCAGCACCCCGAGGTGCAGCCTCAGAGCACCAGCTGCTGCTTTAGCACGTTGTCAAGTGGAAAAAGGGAGCGGCAAGATCCCTCTTCTCGATGCAGCCTGCTCCCTGAGGAACTGACAGGAGCGGAATACCAGGACGCCGAGGGAAAGAGACAAGGAAGAAAAGCTCTGGCAGCTCTCGCTACGCTTCCCTGCCTGCCTTCAGCCCCACGTCCCTCGCCGTGTGCCAAACACAGCTCTGCTTTAGGCAGCAACCAAGAGCAGCACTGAAACGTAAGGTGGGTGAGAGGCCTTCCCCCCTAACCCACTCTTCCCTTCCTTCTCCCCATGCTACAAACATCAGCAGTGACATCCAGCACGCTGCAAAGATGAAGTCACTCAGCTCCAGGACAGGGCTCAGATGGAACAAAAAACTGTAAGGAAGTGCTGCAGAGGTAAAGGGCCAGACCCGGGGAGCAGGAGGAAGAAACCTGCTGTGAAAACTCTCTCACCTTCACACACTTGACATTAATTCCCGGACAGACGAACTTCTTCCAGAGCAGGATGGCTTTGCTCTCCCCGCAGGTGATGGGGTAGGCAATCTCAATTTCCTCGTTTGTTTCAATGGTGCTGGGGTCTGAGGGAGAAAAGGCAAAAAATGAAATCTGCCACCTGAGAGGCTCAAATCCTACCAAGTGCGAGCTGAGAGCTCACAAACTGAAGACCTACACTCAGGAAACCACAAGAAGGGCCGCTCCTAGCTCAGGACCTGACCTCCTTCAGCCTTCTCCAGTTACTGCTCTAGCAGCAAGCGGACAGAGCAAATCTGCTTCTTAATACAGCAGCACAAAGCTCATCGATTAGGAGAACGTGGGATTGGAAACCCAACACATCCGTGAGGGAGGGGAGCAAGGAGAACAACCTTCACTTTGTGCAAAAAAAATAAACATATTTCAGAGGTTTCTTGGAGCCCTGGTGTCCCTCTAGCAGAGATCGGCCATCTACTCCCCAGGTGCTCTCTGCACGTGCCAAATCTTTGCTAATATTGCCAGAAGACCTGCACCCAGGCAGGAAGCAGACATGAGTTAGGATTTAGTGGCAGCACCTAACGAGAGGGCGCTTTATGAGCCCTGGGCAACCAGAGCCCAATGCCCAGGACCCCCCGGGAGCCCTTCCCACTCGCTGCAGGAGACCCAGGACCTCAGCACCCACCCGGGAGCCAGCACCCACGGGGACAGAGCCGGAGGGAAGCCCCCAGCCCCCAGCCCCCAGCTCGGTGGCCGTGTAGAGGGGGAACAACGCCCACAGCAGGCAGCAACTCACCGAGCCCTTCTTCCAGCTTGTGGATGGTGTGCGTTTCGACGGCCACCACGGCGGCGCTGGCCTCCGAGCCCTCTTGGTAAATCCTGTTGAGAAAGGGCCCGCGGGTAAAGCAACCGCAGGCGGCACGGCGCGGGGTTGAAAATCCCCCTCGTTGCTTTCTCGCCCTCGTCCTCGAGGGCCGCCCGTTTTCTTTGACAGTTTTGCCACGGGCGTTTTTTGGCACGCACAAAATTTGCTAACAGCCCCGGGGGCCGGGGCGGGCAGAGGTGTTGCCAGCCCTGCCATCGCACCGAGGTGCCCGCGGAGCAGGACGCGTCCCCCGACCTCTGCCTTTGGTTCCTGACGCCCGCACCAACAGGAAGCGGAGCTCCGTGACCCAGGATTTCCCTTCCCTCCTGCGTGACATTCTGCAGCGCATCGGGCGACTTCCCCCGGGGGGGGTTCAGGCAGGGAAGAGCCATTGTCAGGCCTGCAGCAACCCCCTGCAAACAGCACGGGGCCGGAGCCGCCGCGTTTACACCCTGCAGCTATTCGGGATGAGGCGCCGGCCCCGCGAGGCTTCCCTCCGAAATCCTGGAGAATTTGGGAGGATAACTAAAAACCCCGGGTGCCTGCAGGCACAAGGCAGCCTCGCAGGCTGTGCGGCACAGCCCCCCCAGGGGAATCAGCTGCGGGTTGACAAAATCCCACCCGGGGAAGGGCGCGTGGGGGGCTCGCCCCCATCCTCCCCATGACGCAGGGGCCAGCATCCTGCGGCTCTGCAGGACGGCTCCGGCCCTCGGGAGCCTGGTGACGGTGCCACACACAAAAGCTTTCCCCGCTTCCACCCGGGGAGCCTTCAGCCGGGGTGATTTTCCTCAAATAAAACCCCCACGGGGGGCCACGAGGCACCCCCCCGACCCCAAAAAACCCACCGCCCCTCGGTGCCCGACTCACCCCTGCTGCACGGGCTGGAGCTGCAGGATCACTTGGGTCTTGGTATCCTCCGGGTTCTCCCCTTCGTTGCCGTCACTTGGTACAACCACCACATCGCCCACAGGGACGCTCACCTCGGCGTTCGCCATCTCTCACATGAAGCCCGGCGGGCGGCGGGCGGGGGGCCGGGGCGCTGCGGAGGGCAAGCAGAGGCAGGGCTGAAGCGCGGGAGCTGAGGGGGGAAACGGCGCCGCAGCGCCCGGGCATCGTCCCCCCCCCCCCCCCACAGGTCCCGCTGCAGCAACCGGGCTGCCGGAGAGGCTCTCGGGTTCCCAAATGGGGGGGGTAAATTCGGCAGCAGGGAGGCGGCAGGTGCCCAAATGTCCTCCCCAAAGGGGAGCTCGCTCCTCAGTGCTCGTCTGGCGACGTCGTGCCAAAGGGCTTGGGGTCCCCCCAGCGCCATCTCGCTGGTAACTCGCCCAGCGAGGCCGTGTGCGAGGTTGTGGCAGCACCAAGAGAGAACGGGAGGAAGGAGCCCAAAGCACAGCCCCATCCCCATGGCCGGGGCAGGTCCCATCGCCCCCAAAATGGCCCTGCCTGGGATGGGTCCTCCCAACAGCCCCACACAGCCCTCGAGGCTGCCCGAAAAGGTGCGGGATGGGATTGGCCCGGGGTGTGGGATGGGATCGGCCCCAGAATGGGATCGGCCCCGGGATGGATTCGGCCCTGGGTGCCAGGCACTGGGCTCAGGCTCGTCCTCATGGCTCTAAAAGCGACCCCAAGCCCCCCCCCCGGCCTCCCCGGCCCCATCCAGCTCCTGCCCGGGGGTGCAGGCAGTGCCTGGGGGAAGCGGCTGCAGGGAACATGGAGCTGGTGGAGGCCGGTGGGATAAATGGGGCTGGAGCGAGGCCAAAACCGGAGTGAGACCGGAGTGAGACCAGAACCAGAGCGAGACCAGAAGCGGAGTGAGGCCAGAATTGGAGTGTGAGCGGGGTGAGACTGGAGCCGGAGCGAAACCGGAGTGAGACCAGAATTGGAGTGAGATCAGAACAGGAGCGAGGCCGGGGGGGAGGCAGGATCCGGAGTGACACCGGAGTGACACCAGACCCAGAGCAAGGCCACCCACGGGACACGGCTCAGGGGGCACCCCCCGGGCTGGGGGCCACCCCCTCCCCCCCATGCCCCCCCCCCCTACTCCCTCCCCATCCCCTCACCCCCCCTTAGGTAATGGGGGGGGGGGGGGGGGGCGCACCCGATGCCCCCGCGGCGCGCGGGGGGGGGGGCGTGGCCGCCCGGGGGGGAGGGGGCGTGGCCTCCGCGCTCCCCCCTCCCCTCCCCTCCCCTCCCCTCCCGTCCCCCCCCCCCCCCCTCCCCCCGCAGGCGGACGCAGCAGCGCAATCCCCCCCCCGCCCCCCCCCCCCGCGGCACGTACGGCGGCGGCACGCTCGCGGAGGGAGGGGGGGGGGGGGGGGGGAAGCGCCCCCCTCCCCGCCCCGCCCCGTTGCGCTGCCGCCGCCGCGGCCGCCGCGGCCTGGCCCCTGCCGGCTCCCGTAGCGCGGCCCGGCCCGGCCCGGCCCTTACCGTCGCCGAGCGGCCGAGTCCGGGGGTTGGGAGAGAGGCGGGGGGGGGGAGGGGAGGGGAGCTCGGGGTGGGGTGGGGGGGGGTGGGGGGAGCGGGGCCGGGCAAGAGCTGAGCATGCGCAGTGCCCGCCGCGGCCTCGGCCGCCAGCACTTCCGGCCGCCGCCTGGCTTAAAGGGGCCGCGGCCTCCGCGCTGCTCCGTTGGCTTCACCGGGAGGCGCCGCAGCGCTGAGCGGCCCGCCCGCGGTGCTGGTGGCTCCGTGCCGTGCCCGCTTCCCTCACTTCCCCTCCCCATGCTCCCCGTGCCCCCCCCGAGGCTCCGTTTCGTTGTCCCCCCCCCCCCCCCACCAGGCTCGCTGAGCCCCCCTCAGGGCATCCTCAGCTGAGTGGCAGCGCGGGCAGCCAATCGCAGCGCGGGGCCGGGCGGCGGCGGCCAATGGGAGCGAGGCGGGGGCGGGGCCAAGCGGCTCCGGTGGCGGCGGCGGGGCCGGGGCCGTGCCGAGGATGCGGGCGGGCGGCGGCGGCGGCGGCGGCGGGGGGGGGGCGCTGGGGCTGGCGCTGGAGCTGCTCCGCCGCTGCCTCCTGCTGGGACCGCTCGGGCTGCGGCCGGCCGGGGGCCAGGACGGTGAGTGAGGGGCACAGGGAGCGGGACGGGCACCGGGACCCCCCCAGCAGCCCGGTTCTGTGAGTCCGTAACGGGGCCGCTGTGCCCCGGCCCGGGCTTTGGGGTTTTTGTGGAGAATTTTTTTTTTTGTGTGGAGAAATTGTGTTTTTTTGTGGAGAAATTGCCTTTTTTGGGGGAGAAATTGCTTTTTGGGGGGAGAAATTGCTTCTTTTGGGGAGAAACTGCCTTTTTTTGGGTGAAAGTGAGGTTTTGGGGCAAAAAATGGGGTTTTTGGGTTTTTTAGGGTTTATTTTGTGTTAAGGGTTGGGTGAGGCACCCGTCAGGGTCCCCGGGACCGGTTTCAGCCCTACGGGCAGCGGTGGCACCATGGGGAGGGGGCTCCCGGTTCCACCCCCCCCCTCCCCGGGATGCTCTGAGGGGGATTTGGGGAACGGGACGGGGCCCCCGGTGCCCCCCCCACCCCGTGTCCCCCCCCCGGTGTCCCCCCCTTGTCCCCCCCATCCCGTCCTGCCCTAACTCCCCGAGCGGGACATCACGGACCCAAAGTTCCCGGGCATCCCGAGCCTTTTTTTTAATTAATTCTCATTAATTGAATGAAAATCAGCCCAAAAACAGCACGGGGGGGGGGCACAGGATCCTGCCCGGGGGGGTTCCGGAGCTTCCACCATCCGCTCCCCCCCCCCCCCCCGTGTCCCCCCCCCTTTTCCTTCCCTTTCCCTGTGGGATTTTTCCTGCTGACAGGGCTGGGGATGCTCTGACCCCCCCCTTCCTTCCATGCCCCCCCCCCCCATTGGGGTTTCGCTCGGGGTCTTTGCCCTGCCGGCCACAGCTGTGGCTTCGCTGCCTTTTTGGGGCAAGATTCCTGCACTTTGGTTAACCCCCTCCGACAAAAGCTCCCCCCCCAAGCTGTTAAAATCTGCATTTTTGGGATCTTGCCCCATATCCGGGGGCGGTGAGGCTGGAAAAAAGCCCCCTTTGTGGTCGGTGACCCCCCCGAGGAGCATGGGGGGGCACGCAGCTGCTTGGTGCTGTGCAGCCCTGCGGGGTTGTTCCCCCAAATCCCCCCCCCCAAAATTATCCTCGGTGGGGGGGGTTACGGGGGAAACTGAGGCTGCTGCGACCCTGGGGCCGGTCCCCTGGGGGGTTTGCTGCTTTTTATATGACCGGAAAAATGATTTTTTCCAAACAGGAAAACATTTTTTGGAGGGGGGGGGGCGCGGGTACCAGCGGGGCATCCCCAGGGAGCTGATGCTTGATGGGGAAACTTGGGGAAACCGAGGCACGGGGCCCTGATGGGCACAACTCTCCCTATTTTTGGGGCTGGGGGGGATCCTGCTGGCTCCGGGGGGGGGGGGGGGGCTGCTGAGGTTTCACCCCCCGCCCCCCCCTTTTTATCTCTCCACAGGGGACGGCTGCGGCCACACGGTGCTGGCGGCGCGCAGCGGGACGCTGAGCTCCAGGAACTACCCGGGCACCTACCCCAACCACACGGCGTGTCGCTGGCAGCTTCGTGCCCCCCCCGACACCTCCCTCATCCTCGTTTTCGGGGACCTCGACCTGGAGCCCTCGGAGCGCTGCGCCCGCAGCTCCCTGCTGCTCACCGACCCCGACAGCGGGGCCACCTACGGTACGGGGGGGACGACACTGAGGTGGTGCCACCCCGGGGGGGGGCACGGATGGCAGATTTGGGAAGTCCCGGTGAAGGAAATGGGGGAAATTTGGCTTTTTGCCCCGTTTTTGTGCTGAAGGGGGTAGCTGAGGTGGTGCACCGGGGGTGTCATGGCCCCAGTGGGGTGCGACCACTGCTGTGGGGTGGGAAGGAGCCGGTATAAATCCCCCCCCCCATGTTCCCAGGGCTGGGATTTTTGCCCGTTTTCCTCAATTTCTCACTTTTTTCACCCGCCTCCTTGGTGTTGGCACCCCCGGGGTGGCACCATGTGTGCCCCAAGGTGGGGGCCCCCCAGCCCCATGGCACTTTGGGGTCTGTACTTTGTCCCCTCCCCAGCCTGTCAGGCTGCCCCCGAGCCGTTCCCCTCACCCAGCTGTGCCCGAGCCCTGTAAATATTTAGGGGATGGTGCCTCTGTCCCCCCATGTGCACCCCAAAACCCTTTTTGGGCCTTGGAACCGCTCACGGCCACCTCTGCGGGGGGGAAACTGAGGCACGGGGGGTGCTGGGCCCGCACCCAGGGCTTTGCACCCATGGGTGCCCGGTCCCTTTGGGCCACCCCAGCCCCTTTTCCCTTGGGATGGAGCTGGCCCAGGTCCCGCTGACGCCCCCATCCCTCTCCTGCTGCTTTTCGGGAAGGGGCTGACTCAGAGCCGGCTCCTGGCGCCCGACCAGCCCCGCGGCGAGCCCTGGCCTGACCCTGCTGCCCTCCCCCGGGCCACATCAGGGTCCTGGGGACCCCTCCCCATCAGTGGGGGACGTGGCACGGGACTGGGGGGGGGACTGGGGACACCTCTCGTCCTGTCGGGGCTCAGCGATGCCCCCAGGACCCCTCCTGCACCCGGAGCTGCGGTTTTAATCCGGGAGATGGAGCCTGTGGGTTTGTCTGGGTTACACCCGGCTGCTCCCCGGGATTTAGGGGGTGACTTCGGTGGCCCCTGTGGAAAGGGGGGGCCAGGAACAAGGACCAGGACCCCTTTTTGGGGCCGTGTGGGGCCGAGCCGTGCGTGCCAGCCCCGGCAGCGCTGCCTGGCGCCCACGAGGGCCGTTGTCCTCGGCGGCTCGCTGTGTCCCAGCTGGGTGTCATTAAGCAGTGAAGAGGCTCCTCGTGAGATGTTTTCCAGGAAGCAGCAGGGATTACGCAGCTGCCTGAGGTGGCGTCACCACGGGGGAGAGGGGGGGCCCTGGTCCAGTCTGATCCCAAGCCGGGGGCTTTCTGTCCCCCTCCCTGTGCGCCCTATGGCTGTGGGGACGGGGACAGTGCCACCCCAAGCATCCTGCCCGGGGCACAGCCCCCTGCCCGAGCCCCCCGGGGAGGTGAAGCCCCAGGTCTGGGCGCTGTCCCCACCCCCCTAGGGGACCCCGATCGCCCCCACGGCCCTGTCCCTTTTGCAGGGCCCTACTGCAGGGACGCCGGCCCCGCTGCCTCGCCCCTGGTGACCAACTGGAGCTCCGTGACCGTCCTGTTCAGCAGCAGCAGCCACCGCTCGGGCCGAGGCCTCCTCCTGTCCTACGCCAGCTCGCAGCACCCAGGTGTGGGGGGGGGATGATCCCCTGGGGGTGTGGGGAGCTCCTCGCCCACCCCAGGGTGGCTCCTGTTGCTTCGAGCCCCCTAAATAATGCCCCCCCGGGATCCTGAGGTGGTTTTTTTCCTCCTGCCTGGGGGCACGGTGGAGGCTGGGGGTGTGGGGGAGGTGATGGGGGGTGGCGGGCTGAGTTGGGGACCCCCAGATTTGGGACCCCCCAGGGCAGCTGGGACCTCAGCCCCAGGGAGTGAGGAGACGTCACTCCCCATCCCCCTGAGGTGTGGACCCAGGGCTGGGGGACAAAAACCTACAACAGGAGCAGGATTTGGGAAGGGGATGGGGTGCTCCGGGTGCCGGGGGGGGGTCCCACACAGCCCCTCACCCCGCGGTGTCCCTGCCTTGCAGACGTGGTCTCCTGCCTGAAGAGAGGCACCCACCTGGCCCAGGAGCACACCAGGTGCGTGCCCGGCCCCCTTGGTGCCCCCCAACCCGTCCCCAGCAGCGCCCCTTGTCCCCAACCCTCTCCCGGGGCTGGGGCTGGGCTTGCTGGGGGGGTCCTTGGGGTGCAGCCCCAGCTCCTCTGCCGGGGGGAGGACACGTTTTGGGGCACAAAACCACCCTGGGGCGTACGGGGGGTGGCAGCCCTGACCCCCCCATGTTGCAGCGTGTACTGCCCTGCCGGCTGCAAGGACATCGAGGGGGACATCTGGGGCAATGCCCACCAGGGCTACCGGGACGTACGTACAGAGCCTGCCCCCACCCCGCGGGGTGACACCCCGCTGTCCCCAACACGTGGCTGGTGCCTGCCACCTCCATCCTGCTGCTGGCGGGGGGCAGGGGCCAGGCTCAGCCCCCACTGGGAGGGGAGGGTCCGGCTGCTCTGACCCCCCCCGGGTCCCCGCAGACCTCGGTGCTGTGCAAGGCGGCCGTGCACGCTGGGGTGATCGCGGACGAGACGGGCGGGCAGGTCACCCTGTCCCAGGAGAAGGGGATCACGCTCTACGAGTCCGCCTTCGCCAACGGGCTCCACTCCAAAAGGTGGGTGCGGGGGGCTGCCAGCCCTCAATTTCGGAGCCCTCCCCGGCTGGGGGTGCCAGGATTTCATCCCCCAAGGGCAGGAGCAGCCCTGATGTCCCTCTCCTCCCTTCCCGCAGGGGTTCCCTCTCGGAGAAGCGTCTCCTGTTCCACAGAGGTATTTTTCCCATGAATTAAGGCCCCGCTTTGACCCGAAGCGGTGCCGCCGCCACCTGGCATGGGGTCCCCAGCAGTGGCCAGGCCCCCAGCTGCCCCCTCCCCTTGCAGCCTGCGGCGATGCCCTGGAGGTGGCCGCCTTCAATGCCTCGTCCTGGTGGCAGGAGGTGGACGCGCTGGGGCAGGAGCGGGGCTGGGTGGCTGAGCGGGCGGCCCTGGGCACCCCCGGCCCCTCCTGGGCAGCTGAACCCGGTGCCGAGGCCGCCTGGCTGGAGCTGGACCTGGGCACCCGCAGGAACGTCACAGGTCGGTGTCCCTGGGCTGCTGGAGGGGGACAGCCACCGTCCCCGTGCCCCCCACCCTGCCCCAAGTGGTTGCAAATCCCCCTAAAATGCCCCAGGAGCTTTTTAGGGCTCCTTGGGCCACCTCCTGCTGCAGTTCCCCTGCTGCAGACAGCACCCAGCCTCCCTCATGGCTCTTTCCCGTCCCCGTTTCGTCCCCTCCCCGCCTCCCGCAGCCGCCTGTGGGGCCGAACAAGCCCACGTTGTGCTCCTGCATCCGCTGCCAGCGAGCGCCTTTTGTTCGCTCGCCGCCAACGGGGGCTTTGTGCGGCGGCGCTGGAGGAAAATGGGGACATTGTGGGGCCGGGGGAGGAGGGAGGAATGCAGCCGGGGGGCATCGGCTCCTCGGGGCTGAGCGGGGACCGTGGGTGTTCCTGTGGGGGGGTGGTGACACGCGGGGCGCATCCTGCCCGCCAGGGATCGTCACGAAGGGCTCCGAGATGTACGACTGCTACGTGACGTCCTACAGCGTGTCCTCCAGCCGCGACGGGAGGAACTGGAGACCCTACAGGGGCAGCGGGGGCCAGGAGGACAAGGTGGGCGCGAGGGCACGGGCGTTGGGGTGGGCGCCAGCCCCCGCCCGCAGCTCCGGGGCCATCCCTACCGCCTCCGCCAGGTGTTTGAAGGCAACGTGGACAGCTGCGGGGAGGTCTCCAACGCCTTCATCCCCCCGATCGTGACCCGCTACCTGCGTGTCACACCCCACAGCTGGCACCAGCGCATCGCCATGAAGGTGGCCCTGCTGGGCTGCCCCACAGTGCGGGTCCGCGCCCCACGGCCCTACGGTGAGCGTCCCGCAGCCCTCACATCCCCGTGGAGCACCCAAGGGTGGCCCTGGCGCTGATGGCACCCGCTCTGCCCCGCAGCGCCCAGTGACCACCAGGAGGTCCCGCTCCCCGTCCCCACCAGCCGCTCGCCCGGCCGCACGCCCGTCCCCGGTGTCGCCCTGGACCCCGAGAAGGCCGGTGTGTGCCCCGTGGGGCTGTCCCCGCTCTCCTGGCTGCCTGCAGGCACTCGGCTTCACCTCCCAGTTCTGGCTGCCTGCTGTGGGCTCCTGGCACCCTTGGGTGCCCCGTGGGCATGGGAGGTGGCACGGTGCTGATGCCACCCTCTGTCCCCAGACCCCACACTGCTGGTGCTGCTGCTCGTCGGCGGCTTCGTGCTTGGCTCCAGCCTCCTGCTGCTGGCCTTCCTCTGCCGCAGGAGGAGGTGGGTCCTGGCCGGCAGCCCCCTCCCCAAAAGCTGCCTCAGGCTGCTGGCCGTGTCCTGGAGGGGGGGGGGAAGGGACCCCGCCAGCACAGGGGGGCGCAGGGCAGCCCCTCATCCTGCTCTCCCCTCGCAGGAAGCCAGCGGCTGAGCTGAACTGTGGGATCGTGAAAGGTAACGGCCCCCACCCATGGGGGGGCCCCAAAAGCTGGAGGGGGGGCGGCTGATTTAAGGCCTGAGCTCTTTCTGGATCTTTCCTGCTCAGCCCTGGAGGTGGCCCCGTCCCCAAGGGCACCCAAGGGTGGCGGTGTGTGGGAGCTGAGGGTTCTGCTCTCTGCGCAGGGTACCCCAAGCTGGAGTCGAGCCAGGTGTGCTCCCTGGGGAGCCTGCCCCCCCCCGGCTCCACGCCGCCCTCCTTCCCCGCAGCGGCCTCGCTGGGAGACCTGAGCCAGCCCCATTCGCCAGGTAACGGGAACATGGGGTGTGCGGACGGGTCCTACAGCTGGGGGGAGAGGCAGAATGAACCTGGGTACCCCCACACTGCACCCGGGGGAGTCACCCCCCACCAACACCCTGGTGCAGCCCCCATCCTGCATCCTGAACCCTCTGCAAAGGGAGAAATTGTTATTACACCTCCACCACTGGTGGTACTGGAGGGCACTGGGAACCTACGGGGCCGTGCTGTCCCCATGGGGCGGGTGCCCTGCCCTGAGAGGTTCTGGCAGCCCTTGGGGGCAGTGCTGCTGCCCCCAGCCCTCCCCGTTACCCCACAGCACACCTCAGCCCACCATAGAATCACAGAATTTCTAGGTTGGAAGAGACCTCAAGATCATCGAGTCCAACCTCTAACCTAACACTAACAGTCCCCACTAAACCATATCCCTAAGCTCTACATCTAAACGTCTTTTAAAGACCTCCAGGGATGGTGACTCCACCACCTCCCTGGGCAGCCCGTTCCAGTGCCTAACAACCCTTTCAGTAAAGAAATTCCTCCTAACATCTAACCTAAAACTCCCCTGGCGTAACTTTAGCCCGTTCCCCCTCGTCCTGGAGCAGCCGGGGGTGGCTGGGTGGGCACGGGGCCCCTGCTCCTCTATGGGGCCGTCCCCTCCCTGCTGTCCCCAGCTGAGCTGTGCCTGTCCCCATGCCAGAGTACGCCGAGCCCGACCTGGTGCAGGTGAACCCCAGCAGCCAGCCGGGACCCTCCACCTTCAAACCACCCCCGGACGAGGGCTACACCCTGCCACTGGTCGTCAGCCACTACGCCGTGCCGGGGCAGTACCACGAGTACGCCGAGCCGCTGCCGCCCGAGCCGGAATACGCCACGCCGTTCGGTGACCCCGAGCCCCTCAGCACCCGCCGCAGTCCCTGCGGCATTGCGGGGCTCCCCGCTGCCCTGAGCCGCGCCGGCTGCCCGGAATCCCCCCTGGCACGGTACGATGCGCCCACCCTGCCCGGGGAGCCGCAGGGACTCAGCGGGGCAAACGCAGCCCCCCGAGGGGAGCTGCCCCCCGTCCCCCATGGGGACAGCGCCTCGCTGGAGCGTCCCTACTCGCACGTGTACCACGAGGCCTGGTGAAGGAAGGGCGGCGTGGGGGGGCACTGATGGAGGGGAGGCTCAGGGCACTTGGCTGGCGAGCCTCGGGGGGGGGATTTTTTAAGAAGAACACTATTTTATTTAAATATATATTATATATAGCTATAAACGGCGCTGTGCATCGCGTGCTGGGGGTGTCGGGACGTGAAGGGTGCATAGAGGAGCAGGAAGATGAATTGAGGATAAAGACAAGGGTTTAAATCGAATTGGATCGGAATCGATGCGGGAACCAGACCCCCTCCACCCAACCCTCTTCTCTGTCATTGACCCCCGGCCCTGGGGCGCCGTCACTGTCGGTTACCGGCGGCCCCGCGCGCAAAAATTGTGCTTCCGAAATCTCTTGATGTCGATTCCGCGGGGGCGGCCGAGGCCCCCCCGTGCCACGCACGGCAGAAGCCCTTTTTGGGGCCTCCCCCCGCGCCGCCGCATCCGGAAAGCGCCCGAACCCCCTCTAGGTCACGGCGACTCCATCTTCCTCCCTGACACCAAAAACAATTCCTTCCTTAATTCCCCTTTTCCCCTCAAATTTCCCTGCCCGAAATTCTTTACTTTTACGATTTCTGCCCTTTTTCCCCTCAAAACCCCGCTCTCCGTCTCCGCGCGGCGATATGCAAATAAGCGCGGGGCATGCCGGGATCCCCCTCCCGCCTCCCTCCCCCGCGCACGCGCAGCGCCACAGGGAAGCGCTTCCGGGTGCTGCCCCCGGAAGGGCTCCGGCTGAGGCGGCGGAGGGAGCGGGGCCGGCGGCGGCGGGGCCGGGTCCGGCTGCGGGGCATGGGGAGGTACGGGGGGAACGGGGGGGGTTGGGGGGAACGGGGGGGGGGCCGAGCGCGGTGCCCCGGGGCCGGTGGCGGAGCCCTGCCGGTGCCCGGTGCCGCCGTGCCCGGTTACGCGGGGCCGGGCGGGGGCTGCGGCCTCAGCTCGCGGCCTGTCCGGGTACGGAGCCGCCCCGGGACGCGGTAACTCATTATCTAATGTACAGGGCTAACGAGCCGAGGTGATAATTAACCCCCTGGCACCCGGAGCCGCCCACCCGCCCTCCACACCTGGCCCAGGGGCACCGAGACTGCTCCGTGGGGAGCCCCCCGGCCCGTGAGCCCCCGAAGTGCCCTTCTGGGGGGGTCCGGGCAGGGCTCAGAGCCCCCGGAGCGCCCCAGGAGCTGCCTTTGGGCTTCACGCGGGGCTGGGAGCGGTGCTGAGCTGCAGAGGGTCTCTAGGGGTTAATTAAGGTTAAGGTTAATTAAGGACGTTAATTAAGGACCCACTGCAGGGGGTGCCAGGAGCCCCTCTGTGTTCCAACCTGAGAAGGAAGCCAGCCGAGGGCCTGCTCCTGCTTCAGGATCTCAGGCGAAGCCTCGCCTCGCACTGGGCAGCACCGTGCTGCTCACCGCTGCCCCGAGCAGCCCCTCACACTGCAGGAAGGGCACCAGCAGCCCCCCGACCTGCTGCAGCCCCCGGCACCTCCCGAGAGAGTGGGTGACACGAGAACTATCCGGTGTTCCCGTAGGAACGGGAGAGAGATGGAAGAGGAGGACGTGAGAGTAGGTTAACGCTGGCTGCTGACGCACCGGGACGGCTCGGGGATGGCCTCTCCGTTGGCTGGGCCCACAGCAGTGGCGGATGTAATAAAAGATGTAGACACGCAGATAGCTGTAAGTAAGCGGGGGCTCGCCTCCGGGCAGCATGCAGGCGTGCGGTGGCACCTCCACGTCCCCTTGGTTTTGCCTCTGGCGATCTTGCCGGTGCCGCAAGATCGAGAAATACACGAGCAAAACAACCTCAGGCTGATAACGTGTGTCTCGTCCCCGGATTTCAGGGGCAAAAATCGCCTCCTGCCCTGCATGGTGGGCGAGGAGTGCCTGGGGGGGTTGTAAATGGCTGGGGGAGCAAACGGATGGGGTCAGCCGGTGTGAAAGGTGAGATGTGTGAATGAAACGCGGCTGGTGCTGAGCTCCTCACCCAGGAATGGTGTTGGGGTGAGCACAAGGGGCATTTGGGTACACTGGAGCAGGCTGAGAGCCCGACGAGGCTTGGTCATGATGTGAACGCTTCCAGAAGAATTCCACGTCCGTAGGGGGCCGCAGAGCATGAGTCTGGGGGGTCGAAGCACTAAAACAGCCCTGGCTAAGCGTGAGTGCCGCCTTGCTTTTCCGTGTGGATTAATCCCACTAACCAGGCTTGCTCCGAGGATGGGAAACGCCGGCTGGTGGCTGAGGTTCTTACCTGGAGCTGCCAAACGAGCCGTCGGTGTGAGAGTCGTGGCCTCGAGCGGCCGCCTCTCCCCAGCCTGTCTTTCCAAACCACCTCCAGTGCTCGTGGCACGCGGTGGCAACGGGAGGCTGAGGGCTGGCCGAGTGCCCTCGCGCAGGATTTCACGTGGCACTGCCAGAAAGGAGACCTCCACCTCGGGGAGCCCAAACCCTGCAGGCTTCTGGCTCGGGCTTCTGTGGCGCAGCCTCGTTGAGGACCCAGACACTGCTGGGTGCTGTTGGCTGTGGCCCTGAGCTCAGTCTGGGCTCTGGGCACGGCCTCACCCTTGAAGCTGCTCACAGGACGAGCGGTGTGCGTGCAGGCAGGGCCCGGCAGGAGAAGCAGGGGGGTTGTACAGCCACGTGCAGCCCTTGGGCTTCTCGTGGCAAACTCCTCACAGACCCGGGAACATTTTCTCTTCTTCTAAGTGTCCTCCCGCCTTCTTTTTGTGTCCAGAGAGACCCAATCCATCAACCTCTGGGCCCTCCAGGACGCCTGTGGGCAAGGACCAAAGCGCCCCTCGGAATTCTTTGCTAACCCCAACAATTCTGTTTCTTCCTCCAGTTGATTGGTTCGGGTCCCCACAACCCCAAGAAGAAGCAGGACCTGGACAAGCTTTACGACCTAAAAGCTAAAGCCCAGCAGATTATGAACCAGTTTGGCCCTTCTACCTTGATCAACCTCTCCAACTTCTCCTCGATAAAGCCAGAACCGGCCAGCACCCCCCCGCAGAGCTCCATGGCCAACAGCACCACCGTGGCCAAGATGCCCGGGACGCCCAGCGGAGGAGGGCGGCTCAGTCCCGAAAGCAACCAGGTAACCTCAGCCCCGGCTGGAGGAGAGCAGGGGAGAAGCTTGGACCTGCCTGTAGCTTCACCCCTCTCCTTAAATTACTAACAAAAACCTGATAGCCCTTAAAGTATCGGTTACTGCCCCCAGCAAACGCCTCCACGTGTTTCTTCCAGCTTTCAGGCTGGGTTGGGTGCAGAGGCTTCTTCAGACTCCAGAAAATCTGTATCAGGGCGTGACTGGGAAAGTCTTTTTAAACATGTTTTAAACATTTTAAAAAAAAACATGTTTAAACATGTTTTTTTAAACATGGTTTTCCATGGTCAGGGAAACAAAAATGCAGCTTTGTAGCCCCGGTCTTACCGGCATGGTGCGGGAGGCTGCCCGAAGCTGCTGCCTCGTTGCCCATTTGCTCAGGGTCTTGTTGAGCCTTTGGCACGCACAAAATCTGTTTCTGCCCAGCAAGTGCTCTGGGAGCACAGCCCAGGCTCCCTGAGGTCTTCCTTGGCGCTGTCACAGCTCTGGAACAGGAACAAGTCCCCAGCACAAACACAGCCACAGCAGTTCCCCGCTGGAGCCATGCAAGGACACCAGGAGTGGGTTCAATTCTCCTGGGGCTCCAGAGAGCCGGAGAGGTGGAGCTGGGATGTGCTGGTGCCGGGGGCAGCACAGCAGAGCAGCCCCAGCTCTCACCTGGCTGCTGTCAGGCCTGGTGCCTCATCACGGCTCAGCAGCAGGACAATTCCTGCTCCCTGGCCCTGTTTGGGCTGTGAGGGTGCTGCCTTCTGCCCCGCAGTAACCCAGCGCTCACCTGTGTGCCTGCTTTCCCTTTGAAACGCTGCAGGTGAAGCACTAGAGCAATGGAGATGCTTCCTTTGTGTCCTGAGCACAGATTCAGGCACTGAAATGTTGCTTGCGTTTGCCTTTTAAGACTTCTCATTGTGCCTTTGTCCTCTCACCAGCAGCCTCGCTTCAGCTGGGGGCATTTTGGTGCCAGCTTAGCGCAGGAGATTTATTTCTCCTGGGCTGCTGCACTCTGCTTTCAGGTTGGAGCAGGTACTTGTGCTCGAAAATGACTCCTTAACACCTGATGTGTCTTATCTCTGCTGTTCTGGGGCTGATACGCTGTGTCAACACGGGTGCCTCGGGGCGGTGGGGGAGCCGAGGGGGCAGCAGCTTTGCTGAGGGAGCAGCAAATCTTTCTTCTCTCACCCCCTCAGGTTTTAACCAAGAAGAAGCTGCAGGACCTGGTGCGTGAGGTGGACCCAAACGAGCAGCTGGATGAAGATGTGGAGGAAGTAGGTACCGAACCCTAGCGGGGGCTGCACAAAGAGCTGACAGAGGACTTTTCACGGCCCAGTGGCCCTTTGTCCCAGGCGTTGGGGGGAGTTGGCTCGCGTTACGCTGCTGGATGCTCCAGCCATCCGTGTCTGCTTCCTGGCACTGAGAGAGGTTTTTAAGAGCAGCAACCGTAGCGAACGCCTTTGACACGTTAGCTCCTGAGGGCTTGTTTTCATGTTTTCCACCCAGTTTCAGCTGCTCAGCACTGACAGGGCTGGTGCTTGTCCTTCTTCCGTGGCAGATGCTGTTGCAGATCGCCGACGATTTCATAGAGAGCGTGGTGACGGCTGCCTGCCAGCTCGCGCGGCATCGCAAGTCCAACACCCTGGAGGTGAAGGACGTCCAGTTGCACCTCGGTAAGGAACCTGCCCTCACCAGGGGGCTGGGAACACGCCCTGCAGCCACGGTGCTGGGTGAAAACCCCCGAGCAGCTACAGATTCATTGCTACCAGATAACACCCTGCTAAATGGGGAATAAGTGGGGTGCCTGCCCCAGCCTCATCCTCTCCAAGTTTTGTTTGCAACTGTGCTGTTTGTAGCCGCCCATCAGCCTCTGCTGGGGTTCCCAAGCACAGGGGCTGCATCTTCAGCGTGCTTTAATGCCGTGCAGCCCTCCGGAAAGAGTTTTAGAGCTGGCCTGAGGATCACCCCCACACAGCTGCGTGTAGCACCGGCTGCAGGCGGGTGTCCTGGCGCTGTGTGAGTGACGAGGGGGCTCCTCGGGCAGCGGGCAGCTGGGGAGGAGTGTGCTGAGTGTGCTCTCTCTTCCAGAGCGTCAGTGGAACATGTGGATCCCAGGCTTTGGTTCTGAAGAAATCAGACCCTACAAAAAAGCCTGCACTACAGAAGCTCACAAACAGGTAAGGGGCCCTCAGGAGCACACCGAGAGCTGCGTGGTGGAAGCCTGCTGTGCGTAGGGTGCTGGTGCTGTTGGGCTCCTGGCACCAAGCGAATCTGTCACTTTCTAAGTGCTTTGGACTTGAAATCGCTTCCAGAGCCTTCTTGTTGGTTTGTGCAGAGGATGGAGCTTGCTCTGCCTCTTGCTGGTGGTGCCGTGCTGGCTGTGCCCTGGCAGAACGGTAACACTCACCATCTGAATGGCAGCACAGGTTGGGCGGGTTAAAAAAGCAACAGAAAGCTGCAGGCAGCAGCTCCTCAGCTGTCCCCTCGCAGATCTTGAGCCCCGAAGGGAGTGAGGACACCCTGCTAACTCCTCGGGCTCGACAGGAATTGAGCCACCTCACTGCCCTGGCCTCACAGCAGCCCTCAGTTCAGCTCCCAACACACAACAGCTCACAGTTCAGGCCAATGAGCGACTTTGCCTGCCAATCTGCAGACACTGTGGGAATAATTGCAGGTCTGCAAAGGCCATCAATGAGCACGGCGCTGGGAGCAGCTCTCGCCTTGCCTCCCCAGGCCTGATACTTGCCCTGCAGGCAGTTCAGAATCAAGGCAGGACCTGGGGCTTCCTCCCTGGAACGCCACAGAAGGGCTGGAGGAGGTAGAAACACAACTGAGGTACCCTGAGGGACCGCCTGAGCCCGGTCCTGCGGCTGCTTCTGTCTGGGACTCAGACTGCCTGCGAGGAACCAGAGCCCCACGCTGCGTTTGCAGGCCCTCATTGCGTGCTGCAGTGTCCCAGGAGGCTGCCTGTGGTGTTCCATGCTGATTCGCAGTGCTCCTTGGCAGGCTTTGGCTCAGGTTCCTCGTTTTTTTTTTTCTGTCTGGCAGCTCCGTTTCTTCCCCTGAATTTTGCTTTAACTCACTTGGGGGGTGGATTTTAAGCATAAGGTCAGGCTCAGGGAAGGAGGTGCCCCGCAGGAGCCGTTCAAGAGCAGGGATGTTATCGCAGCTCCCCTCCTGAAGGTGGGTTTTGGATCAGTGTTCATCCAACCATCCCCAGAGTCCTGAGCAGGGGAGTGCAGGTGCTTCCTTCTCCTCTGGCTCTGGCTGGGACCTCTCTGAGATTCAAATGGACTTGAAAGACCTGTGCGGAAACGAGTCGGGCGGTGTCCTGAGAGAACCCGGGCTAATGCTGCTCCTGCATGGCTGCGTTTCAAGCTGCTTTGCAGTAGCCTTGTCTGGGACCGGCTTCCCACGTTTTTCTCTCTCTTCTTGCAGAGAATGGCACTGATTCGCAAAACCACCAAGAAATAGCCCCTGGGAAGAGCTGGGAGATGACGCCAGTGCATTTTGGGATATCTGCCTCTCCACTGAAGCCTCCACGATGCCATCCACGGGATATTTTTTTTAATGCTTTACAGAGAAGCATATATTTTTTATTAACGGTGCAGCAATATCTGACTTTACGAGATCTGCCAAAAACATTCTACGCCCCCGTCCTCATTCCCTGTAAGAGCGCAACATATCTCAAAAACAAAGACTTTTATTTGTGACTTGAAAGTGGTTTATCGTATAAGTGATTATCCGAGGGCCAGAGCATTTGATCTTGTGTGGGACAGTATTAGAAGCATCTGTAGAGGTTTTTGTTTCCTCCTTCCTGCCCCTACCTGCTCCAGTACTTTGTAATGTCAGTGTTTATATAAATACTTGCGTTTGTTTTACATGAATAAAGAAATTATTAATCTAAAGCCGCGGCACAGTCTTGTGCTCTGCAGACAGCGTGCGGAGGCAGTGCCAGGGAGATAACCACCGGGTTCGCTTGTTCTCCACGTGTGGTGCTGGCTCTGGGAGAGCTTTCCTGGGCTTTAAAGCGAGCTGAAGGCTTTGCCTGGGCTCTGGGCAGGCGCTAAGAGGGCTGGGCGGGCACCTTGCCCCCTGCCTTGGGCTCCTTGCATCCAACCCAGGCTGAGGGGTTTGCCCACTGCTCGGACACCAGCACTGTTAGGACACCTGAGGATGTGGAAATGGAGGTGACTCCACGGCTGAGGATGGGAAATGAAGGGGATCTGCTGCTTTGTTGGCCTGGGACGTGAGGAAAGGCCCCGTCCCGCTGCCTGCCCTGCTCACCAGGGACGCTGTGGGTGCTGTTGGACGTGGTGAGGAGGGTGCTGGCAGATAAAGGAGGCTGCTGTGTGCTGAGCTCGCTGCTGGGGCTCTCATCCTCCAGGGCTGCCAGCACCAACGGGGGAAGCCCCCTTGGTTCAAGGTCCCCGTGCTCCCTTCCTGGAGCTGCCACTTTGGGAGCCCTGAGCCTGCACCAGGCAAGCGCAGCCCCGGACGAGTGCCTGGGGAGGGGAGAAGCTGTGGGGCAGGGGACACGGAGCTGAGCAGAGACCGCTGGGCTGGAAGACACGGGGGGGGGGTTGGGATCAGTCCTGGAGCTGTGTGCTGAGAGCTTTGGGCCCTCAGGGTGCTGTGAGGGCTGCGGTTCCTGTCTGGGTGTGGAGGCAGCTTTGTAGGAGAGGAGAGAACAGGAGCCGGGAACGCTGCCCCTCCGTGCTCCCGCTCCCAGCAGCAGCCTGGGCCCGAATCGCCTCCCCTTCCCCAGGAAAACACGGGCAGGCAGCGAGGTGAGCACGGGGAGTTTAATGCACCCATGCAGCCCCTCCCTGCCCGATTTCTGCTTCACCTCCCCTGCATCAGCACAACCGGGTGGCTCGGAGCCCCCGTCCCTAGCACGAGCACTTCTTCCTCTTCTCCTCCTTCGTTGTGTGAACCGGGAGCGGCGCGGGCAGGGGGCCGCTGCTCTTCACCCCGTCCCACGCCTCGCAGGGGGCGAGCAGCCCGCTCTGCAGCGCCCGGTAGATGGCCAAGGTCAGCATCTGGAAGGCCTGGGCCACGTTGCTGGCGTCCTTGGCCGAGGTCTCGACGTACTGGGCTCCCAGCGAGGCCGCCAGGCGCTCGGCCTCCCTCCTGCCCACCCGGCGCTCGGCCGCCAGGTCGCTCTTGTGGCCCACCAGCAGGAAGACGACGCGGAAGGGCTGCACCGTGTCCGTCACCTCGCGGTGCCACCGCCGGACGCTCTCGAAGGACGCGCGGTTGGTGAGGTCGAAGAGCAGCATCCCCCCCGCCGAGTTGCGGTAATAGGAGCGGGTCACCGACCTTGGGGGGGGGGCATGAGCAGAAGCGGGGTGAGCGGCGCCCGGGGCTCCCCTGGGTGCTGCCCTCCTGTCCCCGCGTCTCGCCCGAGCAGCCTCAGCCCAGCTCCTGCCCCAGGGAAGCAGCGGGGGCTCTCGAGGCACCGTAAGGGCAAGGAGAAGCTTTTGCTGTACCAACGAGCAGCTCTGGCCCCCAAGTGCTCCCGTTCCCAGCAGAGGGGCGTGGAGGCTCCCAGCAGCGTGGGGAAGCCGCTTTGCCCCGCTCCCAGCAGGAGCACCCCAGTCCCACGCAGTTTTGGGGTCTCACAGCCACTTCAGAGCTCAATCCAGGGCTTACGAGGCAGCCCCGAGGGCTCCTCCTCATCCGGCAGAGGTGGGGAGAGCGCACAGCCCTACCCAAACAGCCCCCAGGGCTGTGCTCAGAGCCCCCCACCCCAAACCTGGCTCCCGATGCCTCCCCACCTCCACATCCCCCAAATCTCTGGAACCAGACCCCACGGCCGGCTCCGGACCCACCTGAACCTCTCCTGCCCGGCCGTGTCCCAGAACTGCAGCTTGACGCGCAGCCCCGGCTCCAGCTCCACGAACTGAACGTAGAAATCCACCCCCACCGTCTGGTTGACGGCGTCCAGGAAGACGCCCTCGGTGTAGCGCCGCAGCAGCGAGGATTTGCCCACCGTGGAGTCCCCCAGCATGATCACCCGGAACTGGTAGTGCCACCGCGGCTCCATGGGCGCTCGGCGGCACCGCTGCCACCCGCCGGCACCCACCGCCCCCGCGCCCGCTGCGTGCTCGGGCAGGGTGCTGCCGCTCCTCCCGCTGCGCCCGGGGCACGGGAGGTGTTCCTGCCCCAGCAGGGGGTGCTGGGTGCCGGGGTGAGGGTGGGGGGGTCCCTTCTCCTCCTCTTCTCCTCCTTTTTTTGCTCCTCTCCATCCCGCTGGAGGCACCGGGGGTATTGGTGGGATGACTGGGGGTGACCCCCCATGCAGTGACCCCCTCCCCAGGGCTCCACGCCGGTGCTCCAGCACTCAGAAAAGCTTTTTTAATGCAGAAGGCAGCTGATTTATTAAAAACACCCCTGGAGGGTGGGGGATTATTGTTTCCACAGCCCCCAAACCAAAGCTGGAAGGGCAAACCAACGTGGGAACACAGCCCCAGGGGGGTGAGCTCCAGGCAAAGAGCAGGGCAGCGGCTCCCCAGCTCCATCCCCATTTTTGGGGGGGTCCCGTCCCCATCAGCACCAGCAGCGCCCCTGGGGCTCGCCCCGTGCCAGGGGCCGGGGGCGGCTGGGGCTGGGGATGAGCCTGACGGCGCCGCAATCGTGGGGTGGGGCGAGGGCCCCGCGGCCCAGCGCCCGCAGGATGCCCCCCGCCAGCGTCTCGAAGGCCAGCTCCACGTTGCGGTTGCTGCGGGCCGAGGTCTCCACGAAGGCCATGCCCAGGGAGGCCGCCAGGCGCGCGGCCTCCTCGGCCGACACAGCTCGTTCGGCCGCCAGGTCGCTCTTCTGGCCCACCAGGACGAAGGCGGCGGCGCGGTCACCGGCGGCCTCGCGGTACCACTCGGGGACGCGCTCGAAGGACGCCCGGTTGGTGAGGTCGAAGACCAGCAGCACGCCCGCGGCGCTCCGGTAGAAGGACCTGGTGATGGACCTGGGCACAGGGGGGACGGGGGTGCTCAGCACCTCCTGTGTCTGCTCCGGGATAAATGGGGCTGGGGGGAGCTCCCCAATGTCCCGAAAGGCTCCCGGGGATGGGGTGGAGCAGGACCCCGATGAACCCAGCCCTTTCGCAGCCCGTTTGAGCCTCCTTGGCCGTCCCAGGCTGATGCAATCAGGGAGGCGATCGCCTAACCCCAAGCCCGGTCCCCTCGGCTCTCCCCCGAGCCCAGCGGTGGCTTTGCTGCCAGCTCAGCAAGGAGCTGCCACGGCCCCAAAAAGCGTCCCCGTGGCGGCGAGCCCTCGCTGCCTGTCCCCGTCCACCCTGGGCCTTTCCCAATGGGGACTTTGCTCCCGCTGCAGCCTCCTCGAGCGAAACCCGAAGCAAAACACCGCAGACCCCAGGCACTGGGACAGGGACGTGCCTCTTGGAGGAGATCCCAGGATCCATCCCCAGGTGCATTTTTGGGGGATTTGTCTGATCGCACCAGGTTGCCCCAGCTTCCCAGGGTGGGGGCGAGCCAGCCGGGTCCCCGTCCCCGTCCCCACCTCACCTGAACCTCTCCTGGCCGGCCGTGTCCCACAGCTGCAGCTTGGCCCTGCCGGCGGGCGGCAGCGGGACGGTGCGGCTGTAGAAATCCACACCAACAGTGGGGCAGGGCACAGCCCCCCCCGGCCCCTCGGCGTAGCAGCGCAGCAGCGACGACTTCCCCACGGCCGCGTCCCCCAGCACGATGACACGGAACTGGTAGTGGCCCCCCGTGTCGGGGACATGGGGGTTCGGGGAGGCATCCAGAGCCATCCCCATGCCGGCAGCTGGGCTGGGGGAGAAGGGATCCATGGGGCCGGATGGATCCCAGCCCCAGGGGCTTTGCTGTGCTGGTGGGACCGGGGCCAGGTCTCCACCCTTGTCCCCACCCCGCAGTGCTGTCCCTGGGGACAGGGACAGAGCTGTTGTCCTGTCCTCGCACCCACCCCGGGACAAACAAAGCAGAGGAGGAGGAGGAGGGAGAGGCTGCCACGCTGTGAGCAGCCCCAGGGGCACAACCCGGGGGCTGTTTGGTTGTTTGCTCCTTGTGGCCGTCCTTGTCACCTTCTGTCCTTGTCACCTGCCACTGAGCACAGAGAACAGCCCAGAGGTGGAGGAGGCTGCAGGCAGGAGCTGGGGCAGTGCCCCAGGAAACGGACAAGGGGGTGGAGACTCTCTTGCACCCCCAGCACTGCCCCCCACCAGCTCGGGTCACTCCCATGCCACTCCCTGCACCAGGTCACTGCTGTCCCCCTCCCACTGGTGGCAGTTGAGGGACAGGAACAGCTCTTTTCATCCCCAAATTGCTCTCCACAAAGCACCCAACGGTGGGCACAGCTTCAGCACCGCCTTTCAGTGGCACCTTTGTCTTAAAGCAGGCGGCTCCCTCCCCTCTGGCACCCCAGCAGCTGGAGGAAAGGAAAGGGAAGGGAAGTGCCCCTGGGCTGCTGCCTCCCCTCCCCTGGGCCTTCACTTTCTGCACCCAGAGGTGTTCTGAGGAGCCCCGAGCTGTGCTCCCCTGCACCACACCGGGCTCAGGGCACTCAGCAGGCATCACAAACCCCGGACACAAACACAGACACAGCAGGAGCTTTGGGTGACCGCCTTTATTCACCCCCAGTATTCCACACAGTCTCAACTATTCACCTATTTTAAGGTATTTCAAATATTCCCAATCCTCCCCCCAAGAGCTCTTTTTCTGCAAAAACTCCCTGGAAGGGATCGTTCTTCCACAGCGAGCACACGAACAGCAGCTTCAGCAGCACCAGAACCTGCAACGTTCCCGCTGCCTGCTCACTGATGGGTGCAGAGCAGCAGCTGCCCCAGCTGGGGGAGCTCACGGCTCACTGAGGAGCCAAGATCCCATCACACACAACTGCAGTGGCTTCGAAAGCAGGATGCTGAAGTCTGAGACACCGAAACCCTCGCTCAGCTCTGCATACACCTGGGGAGGGAAGAAAAAGCCCGGTCAGAAGGAAGCTCAGCCTGACACAGCGCACAGGGGGTCAGCTCCTGCTGGAGCCTGGCCTCAGCCCCATATCCGCAGGACTCATCCAGCAGTCTCCCAACAAAGGCATCATCACCGACCAGGCCGAGCTCATCCCACAGGGACTCTGCCCTGAAGGTATGAGGCCACCCAATTACGGGCTGCACTAATTAATTTGACTGTTCCCACCTGCAGAGCCCCAGCAGGCTGCCACCTCCAGCACAGGCTGAGCTGCCCCCGGCAAGCACTGCTGAGATCCCCGTCAAAACCACCAAACATCTGATCGCTCACGAAGCCACTTACCCAATCCACTTCCCACTTTCCTCATGATTTCAGCCTTCAGCAAACTGATTCCCTTCACGGAGAGGGGCTCACGAGCTCTCAGCCTCTTCCACTGAGGGAGTAATTCCTGAAAGAGACAACGGAGCCACCGGTGGGCACCTGAAGCTGGTGTGCTGCTGTGTGCAGAAAATTAATGCTTCAATTCAAATCCAGCCCCAGTGAAACCAGCCCAGGAACCCTGACTGCATCTCTGGCCTCTACGCCAGATACATTTCCCCGTTCTCCTGACTTCTACTCCCACCCCAGCCCCCACCAGGGGAACATGCTGACACTGTCATCAAACTGGTCCCTCTCAGAGCTGGGCTGGACCAGCAAAAAGGCCAAGACCAGTTTGAATTTTCCTTTTCCTCCTTTTTTGACCACAAGACCGGTATTCAGATCTGATGGGAAAGGGATCTGGAGGGGACAGGCTGCCGAGCTCTGACGAGGGCGCACGCTCTCACCTCGTGTCCATCCCGGCAGGCAGGGCATCAGCTGGGTGAGCTCGGGAACATCGAGGGGCCCTGAAACACATCACAACAACTCCCTGAGTCAGCAACGGGCTGCAGACAAACCAAAGGCCCTGTGAGGAGGAAGCCCCCTCAAAAATATCTGAAAATGTATAGGAAGGGCGAGTGACAGCAACAGGCAGAAGAGGCCCAGCAGTCAAAGACCTTCCCCTTGCTCTCGCATGTCGTTGGAGACCTGCAGCTATTTCAGAGCCACAACTCTTGGATTAACATGCACAGGAGGTAAAAACCGACCTGTTTTGGCAAAACCTGCTACAGCTGGAGAAAGAAGCAATAAATGCATCAAAAGCAAAGTGATCTACTGGCTTTGGATCAAATTCGATCCTCAGTTCTGCCACTAAGGCCAAGGGACGCTGGAGAAATCCTCCTTCTACCCCTACTATACATGATTCTGGTAAGAGCAGGAAATAAGGGGAGTTCACAGATCTTAACGACTGCAGGGAATGTTTTAACAAGCCCACCAGTGGGAAATCCTCCCCTGCAGGGCCTCATCAAAGGAACAAGCCCTGCAAGGGATCCAAGGATCCTCCTGCAGGGGACCTGTAGCACCTGGAACAGGAACCACCTTCAGAACTATCTGCGAGCAGAGGGCTGGGCAGTGCTGCTGCCCTGAGGATGGGAGGCAGCGAGGGCAGCGAGCCCCATTCCCAGCAGTGGGGGCAGCCTGCAGGGGCCAGATCACACCACTCACCTGCCTGGTGCTGCGGGGCACCTCCCACGCTGGGAACCACAGCAGCCTTGAACTCCAGGTCGATTCTTATGGAGAAAAAATGAAACATTTTAAAGCAGCAGAACAGCAGCAACGCCCCCCACCTCCCATTCCCCTCGCAGCGAGGCCCCTGGGGCGCCCCTCCGGGCCCCGCGCTCCCCCTCAGGCCGTGTATTTCCCCCTTATGTTGCCGGGCAGCTACGGAGGCTCCAGCTGCTCGGCGACCGTCGAGGAAAACGGGTGGCTCTGGGCTCCTTTTTGACTGCATCTGCCACGGCACCGAGGCAGAGGCAGCTTCGATAGGGCCGGGCAGGCTTCAGTCTCCCCTCCCCTCCGGGCCTGGTTTTTACCTCATCCAGGGGCAGGCCGGCGGCCATGTCACCCCGCATCCGCGCCACCCGCCATCCGAGCGCCCCCAGCCGCCGCCGCCCGGTAGCCGAGCCCCCGAGGCACCGATGCGAAGGGGCAGGGCGGAGGAAAAACGCCGGGAGCAGGCGGATGGCGGCGGATGGCGCCCAGGCCGCAGCCCCCAGCCTCCGCCGCCATCACGGGGAAAGGCCGAGGGCGGGCGGCCGCGCGTCTTTTATAGGGAGGGAGCGCGGGCGCTGATTGGCTGCTGCGGCCGGGCGCTGCCGCTGCGCCTGCTGGGAGTTGTAGTCCGGGGACCACCCCCCCCCCCCCACCCGCCGCCATGCCAGGCCCTGCTGCTCCCCCAACCCAACGTGCCCCAAACCACCAGCACCCGGGGTGGAAGGGGGAAACCTCACCCCAGCGCTGCAGGAGCTGCGTTTCCAACCCCTGAACATGCACAGGGGGCAAGCTGTGCTGTGCCACCCGCCTCCTACACGGCCCCCCAGCTCCCTGGCACTGCCACACAAATTTCTGTCTCCTCCACACCTGAGGCGTGTGCCAGGGGCTGCTCGTTGCGAGGTGCAGCAGCCGCTGCAGTTCTCCTGCTCCATGTTTCTGGAAGGCCAGGGGGCACACCCCACCCTCAGGGAATGGAAGAAAAGGTTCTTGGAAGCCAGAGCCTATCTATCTGCCAAGGCAATCCCTCTGTCACATTCCTGGCTCCCGATCTGTAATTAGTGGAAAGGGTTTAAAAGGAGAGCACCTACCCGCTGACTGGAAGGGACTGATGAAGTTTCTGCTGGTACGGATGCTGAAGGCACGGCCACCATGAAGAATCCGGTCGAAAAGCTGGATCTTAGAGCAAAAGCTTTGTGTCCTGCCCCTGAGCCCTGGAGAAAGCACACACACACAAAAAAAAAAAAAAAAAAAGGATGACAGAGAACAATAGTTAGTTTTTTAACCTGTTCTGAGCAAAATCCACAGATCAGAAGTTCACATCACCCTTTCAAACTCGTAACCCCTCACCACAAACATGCCAGATTACTGGCAAAATAAGCCTGGCACCCATTTAAAGCAGAGGTCTGGAAATGGGCCCCAAACCTTCCATGAGCAAGCTCTTCTAAAAACAGTTCTTGTCAAAGCTGCTGGGACAGGGCACGAGCAGGTGGCCCCAGACTCCACAGCCCCTGCAGCTGTTCTGCTAAGTCACAAGGCATTCCCTGGGGGCCCAAATTCTTCCTGGGACAACAGCTCGCGAAAACTGAAGCTAGAAACTTCCCGCTCAAATCCTGAGAGAAACTGGGAATTCATTGTAGGAAAAAAAAAAAAAAAAGAAAGAAAAAGAAAGAAAAAGACAACATTGGTAAACATCAGGTGTTCAGGAAGTAAGTGGGGAAAATCCCCAAAGATCAATATGAAATCCAGACACTGCTCAGTAGACCTCAGCTCATCACAGTCTGAGCACGAAGACCGATGGAGGAACAATGCAGAGCAGTGAAAATCCTGCTGCAGTGCTCGACTGTACGGTCACAAGGCCCTGATGGAACCTCCACTCGTGGTTTGGAGCCTTACATCAACCTGCAGGGGGAGAGCAGATGCTGGAAGAGGCTGCAGCTCCTTCACTGGACACCTGGGAGCAGAGTAAGCCACGGGGAAGGGCTCTATAAAAAAGCAAGCACCCAGTACTGGTGCACTTGGCTTGCTGGTCCTGAGCACTGAGGGACAAGACAAGCCCTGGCCATGCACAGCTCTCAATCTGCAGCATTTTAACTGCTTTATCTGCAGAAGGAGCATGATATTGGCTGAGAGAAATGGAGCACGTACCAAGCAGTACACTCAAAGCCCCCCTTGCAACACTTACTGCAGCTGTTAAAACCATCTGGGCTGGGAAATGACTGCTGAGAAAGAAAAGCGCAGTTAAAACTTGCTGAAAAAAAGGAGATATCTACTGAAGAGATGTCCTGAACAACCAAAAAGGTAAAGAAAGCGTTGTCAGTGCCTTTTTTTCTGAGCTAGTTTTATCAGCGTTCAAATGTAGCTATTGCATTTAAAACGTGCAGCCCATCCTGTCATAAAATTAATTTTGTGTCTAAGTAAATCCCAAGTTAAATCCAGAAACTGGAGTATCCAGTACGGTTTACAAGCGGCACTGGGAGATTGCTAGTCTGGAAGGTAAAAATTCCTCTCTGATCTCATTTAGCAGAAGCTGGGGATTAGCAAGGCAGTAATGAGGAAACCAACAGCACTTAAAGATCAGAGTACAACATCTCCCTTTCTCAAAAGGGATTCTGAAGGATCTGAAGGGCGCTCAGCACCTCTTGGCAGCGTGCGCAACATGAACCTGTCTCCTGAAACTGGCCCAAATAACAGGGATTTTCTTTAGGCAGGCACAGAGGAAACATCACTGCAGGTGCCTGCTCAGACCCTGTATCTTGCACACGCTTGGTAACCAAGAGGTTTCACGCCCCTCGCCTTCACACCACTGGAAGCCGGTCAGAATTTCCCCCAGGCTGTCCCCGGTGCTGGCTTTTAATTAACCACACGGTAATGACAACAGGATACCCTGCAAGCCTGGCAGCTTATGGTTTGGCAATCGCCACTCAATGCCCGGCAGGAGTAACACCCACCTCGCTGCAGCTCCACGGTTGGCTGAACTTTTTCCAGTCTCCGTGACTCAAATTGTCATCCGAGAGCCCCTGCAATTTAAAGAATAATCGACACTGGATCATCACAGCTCAGCCACGTAATGCCATAAGGATGTTTAAGTCATTTCTGTGAGTAAATGCTGCACGCTGAAAGGCAGAATGCTTCGGAATCTAAATCACAGATTTTGATGCAATTTACGAGAATTACATAATCTCAGTGAGCTGTGCTATCACCTGCCTCGGATTTCTTGCCTTTAGCACATAAAGATAAAAGCAGAATTTACCTTACTACATGCAGTCCTCATCTTTCATCCTGCATTATACCAGATGGTAATTAATCAGGGCTTTTCCTGTAGCCATCCACAAGAAATGAAATCCCACACTCTGTTTGACTTGGATTCCAAAACAAACCCTGCACATCCAGGTGAGTGGCTGTTTTGTAGCTCCACATAAAAGTCTCCTCTGTGCTCCAGGTGCTGCAACGGTGGCCAGGAGCTGAAAGTGAACGTTAAGATGGGTAAGTGATACACGAAAAAAAAAAAGTGCGGAGAGATTACCAGCTCAACAGAACATTGGCAGAGATTCACAAACAACCCCAAAAGGCTGGCAGGGATGATTAAAACCCCACGCCTACAAAGTAAGGCGAGGGAGGATGCTTTCTCATCTCACCAGCCTGCTGCTGCACCTCTCCCATCCGTAACACAGCAGGGAGAGGAAGCTGCCTCCTGTCTCACTCACCCCAATTCCCTGGGTGGGGGAGCAGTTCGATTTTACCCCTGTCTCTCCAGGGTAATTCCCAGCTTTGATAGACAGCTGTAAGAATTTTATTTCCTCTCCTAATGCCCTGGGCTTTTCCTGCCCCCCTTCCCTGTTGCTGGGGGCTGCCTCTCCCTTCCTCAGCCAGCAGAGAGGGATCGGCCTCACGCATTAAGGGAGCATGGCCCGAAAACTCCCATCAACCTCCTTCCTAAAAAGAAAGGCACGAGTTGTTTTAAGCCCTGTAGCACCCTTAAAGAGGCCTCAGTGGGTAATCTCTGTTGGCCTCTGTATTCCCAAATTGTTCTCCCCATAGGGACCTGAGGGTCTGTATGTCAGAGCTATCCTGGAAGCTTGGGATGCCACTAATGATGGATCAGACCACTACCAATTTTCTTTCTGGGACAAAACCAGATGATTTTGCCCCAGGGTCACTGTCTGTGAGGGGTGCTACTCTGTGATAACCTGTCCCACTGTCCTTTACACAGTGCTGCTTCCCTTCGTCCTCCATCTCCTGCAAATATCGGCTCTGTGACAGCTGTCAGGCAGCAGCGTAGCTCACGGAGCTTACATGGATGTGGCTTACCCATCCATTAGGGAGCATTAAACAGGACAGCAGTGCTGGCCAGCCACAGAACAGCAACACAAAAAGTAATCGTGGCTTCAGGTCACCTCCTGCAGCGAGTGAGGAGGGCTGCTTTATAAAAGCGAAAGTTTGGGGGGGATAGAGAACAGCAGGTCAAAAAGGGAACGAAGGGCACACAGAGGAGCACTCCTGTAGCACAGTAACACAACGATCTAGAAAGCGTGTCACTGCAGAACACAAAAACCTCCTTTACATCACCTCCTGAACGCCACTCTATTGAGGGGCATCGTTTTGTTCAGTGCTCAGCACCGCCGAGCAGCTCCATCCGAAGAAAAAATCACTCTGCTCTCTCCCACCTCTCCGCTGCCTTTCAAACACTGCACCAGGAACATTCATTTCCTTAAATTCAGAGTAACTCAAGGTTAGGACACTGTCTGCAGCCCACAGCAGTCAAAAGCATAGCAGGAGGAAAAAATTCACAGCGGGTGAGAACGCAGGGGTCCAGCAGCCCTCTTAGCACTTGTTCAGAAGTTTGCTTAATCCAGCGTACGTTACCACCAGCCTCATATCCACGGTACGTTTACCATTGCAGTTGATAAAAAGACCACAGACTGACAAATATATCATAATTATGGACACAAACAAAGGCGTAGTAGAAGTAGGTTTTATGAAAGTATTTAAATTTTGTGGCAAATCTCTGCATCAACATGGGGAGGGAGGCAACTTAGTGCTTTGCAGTAGCAATTCCAGTTACCAAACTATTTCTTGGATAGACATTTATTACAGGTAGTTTATCTGTTCCTGTTTCTCAAAGAGTTTAAGGCACAAAAGCCTGAAAAGGGCTTATAACACGTACATAAGTGCTATCATTTTCGCTGTCACCTCTAACGCAACATAATATTAGCTTAAATATATTGCTCGTCCATCCAGCTTATACAACATCCAGTAGAAAAATGCTTTCCAAGTTAGCAACAATTTGTTGCACAAAATATAAATTGCTCTGACCCGTTTTTGCTGCAAGATCTTCAGTTTCACCATATACACTCTGACAAGACAGTGGAAGACGCTGTGAAACCGTAACATCATCACGAGACCATCAAGGCCTGTCCACAATGAGAAAGGCATGATACACAGAGTAACATTTAAACAAGGTTGTTGGGAAAAGTGTTCTAAACTGCTCGACTGCTGAGGAATTGTTTCCTCACAGATGGGTGGAGAGGCAAGCCAAACACGCTAGAGACCACCTGGTGGAAGGCATCGGTCTGTAGTAGTTATAAAACTCCTTCCTGTCTTTACTTTCCAAAATGCTCTTCAGGCAGATTGCTTAAGAACACCAAGCTATAAGCTTGCTAGCTCAAGATCACAGCTTAGATTAAGCAGAACACAAACTTTCATCGACACAGTTCTTTCCCATACTCAGTTTACAGCAACCTTACCCAGTCACTAGAAAGCTTCTGAGACATTTTAGCGGTATCTGACAGTGACTCTTCAAAAAATAAACAAACACATTTATGGGAGTTGGATCAAGTGACTAAAGACAGTTAAATGGGCATCCAAACAGAAAGGGGGGCAGGAACCAAAATGCAGAGTGTAATTTTACTTAAAAGACCAACTTTTTTATTGTACGTTGGAGTGGAGTCTTTCCCCTGTGCCATCTGGTTGAAAGTTTATAAATTACAAGTATTAAGAGTTCACTTCAAGACAAAAGGAATAAAACTGCTGCAGTTCTAACTTCCACCACGAATCAAAGTTACCATGATGCTCCTACGACACTCGTGTCGTACAGGCAACGCCACAGGCCTCCTGTACGTCGAGTAACAGACCTGGGTGCACAAAGGGCCACCCCTCACTACCGCAGGATCCAGGTGCAGCGTAACAGTCCGGAGCGCACTGGCGGGTTTGTCACACAGTCAGTGCCTCAGCAACGAGGCTATAACATGGCTGGAATCTCTGACGAGACAGTGTCCAAAGGCTGCCAATGACAGTCCATCAAGGCATCGTAGAGCTCTTCGCTCTGTTCCATAAACTGTTTATTTGCTTCGTGGACGTCCAACTGAGGCGTCGGGTCTGAAGGAAGAAAGACAGACAAACAGGTCACATGCTAAATGCGTTAGGAAAAAACCCCACCCCATAAATATGGTAGTTTTATGAGAAAAATGTGGAGGGAGTCCCAAAACATTCCCATCACTCGCCCAGTCATGAGCTTGACTAGAACAGCCCTGGTAAACCTTTGTGCAATGGGATAAGAGCTAACTGGGTGCAGATATGTCCCTCTTGCCAGTGGTGATTGCCCCCCTAGCAGAGTCAACAGAGAGAACGCATACCTGCACCTCGCAGCCCGGGGTAGCCACTTAAACTGCCCAAGAAGGCACCGGACTGCAAAGGGGAGCAGCGGAGGCGCAGGCACACGTTCCGGTCTGCTCCCTCCGCTACGGGGTCAGAGTGGATGGCTGGGGACGGGAGCGTCCTACGCTGCTGCAACAAGAGTCACCAGAGCTCGTCTGCCAAAGCCTCGAACATCTCAAAGCATTTCACAGTTAGTAACCACAGAAGTGCCAGTGAATTAAGCATGAACACGTCCCCTGTTTTACAGCTGGAAGAATTGTCTGTAAAGCATTTAGGGGCAGGAGGGCGACCCAGTGGGTACCATTCTGCTGCTGCCAACGTGTACTTAACATTCTGCAAAAATTGACTCATTGCACTACCCAACCCCCCTGTAGGATTTAAAGCTCACCTAACAACACCCCCAATCTAAAGGCTGGGTTATCAAACTGTTCCAATCACTTAGGTCAGTACGCAAGTACCAGAGTGCAAAGAAACTAGCCAAGTGAATGGAAAAGCTACAAAGCACATCTGGAATAAAATGCTTGTAAACATGTTTGGGTTTAGCTATATCATGTTGCAACACATCACAGGGAAACACAATTAAGAAAAGAGCGATGCACTGGCAAAACATTATTTCAGCTTCCTACAAATTTAAACGTATTAGTACATAGGAAATTTAATCAACGAGCAAAAGACACCCCAGAGATATTCCAATTCCAGCACTGGTGGATTAGTTTCAGCAGAAAGGAAAGCTCTCACGTAATGCCTTTAAAAGCCAGCGAGGGTTTTCTCATTGACACCATTACTTATAGCCACAGATCATATGCAGGGTCTAGCTGCTTTCTACTTCCATTGTTTTTCGTTTTTTTGTTTTTAAGAGAACAGTAAGATACACCACATCGTGCATACTCCATTCAAGACAGAAATTTGGAATTACTAGTACAAAATAAGTATTTCTTGAGTGAATAAATGAAAACAGCTCATATGTACATGTATACTTAAAACCACAATATGTTTTAGTGGTTCATTTCAACTAATGACTGCTAAAACAAATATTTTACCAGTATGCTGATATTATTTGTTTTTAAAACAATAAGCACAGTTTAAGTAGCCTGGACTCTAAATAACAAGAATCTATATACAATATAATCTTGTATATTGTAGAAGACCAATATCTGTATTTTCAGGGCAAAGGAGATGTGAACATTACACCACAACTGGTCTCAATGCCAGTGAAGTCAATTTGTTTCAGCCCTGACAAGGTCTAGACTAAGAACAGCAACTGTAAAATAAGGTTTCAAGCCAGGTGATAGGGACCAGAAAATTTTCTCAGACCTCAAATTTACTCAAAGACAAAGGTATATTATACATTGAATTTGGGGGCCAATTTGAGAAAGACTCTCCATCTGCAACCAGTGCAAAGGAAATACACAACTTCAATAAAGAACTGAAGAAACATACCTTCCAATGCATCCTCGCCAACTTCTTCATATGACTGCAAAGACAAAAAAAAGCCCTTAGGACAGCAGATACTATTTTTATTTCAAACAAACATCACCTGTTGATTACTACTGTCATACACTGACTTTTATAACTGACTGATTACAACACAGTTCTTCACGCACAAGCCCTCCGATCCACTCCCAGAGGGCTCCAGGGGGAGATCACACACCGAACTTCTAACAGAGGCAGCAGTTCTCGAAATTCCTGTGGTGCAGTGGGTGGCTGTCTTGATCTGCTTTATCCTCTAAACCAAGGTCTATGAAGGATCCCAGCAGTCAGTCTCAGCACTGGCTGAGATGTCCAGTTGCTCATATAAAGGAAAACCTTCTACCATGGCAACTGTATTTAGAGCCCCTTTATACCCCACAGACCTTTTTACCCACCCAGTCCTAGCAACAACCCCTACACATGACAACATCGCAGGCCAGGGTCTGCTGAGCAGTTCTGCTTCCTCATCAAGTAGCTGTATTAAAACAGAAGAGCTTGAAGATAACGTGCCTACTAGAGTTTAGAAAGCTGTTTTGTGCTGACAGATCACTGCAGAGGGAGCGCTCTGCCCTGTCCTACCTGCATTGTGCTCTGCGTGTAGCCGTACTGGGGGTAGCTGTAGCTGTAACTGCCCGTGTTCTGGTCGTAGCCCCACTGGGCGTAGTAGTTGTGATATTGTTGGTAATACTGGTTATAATTATAGCTGTACATCTGATTGTACTCCATTGGTTTCACACGATTACTTGAAAAAAACAAAGCGGGAATAAGTTACAAATAATGCAGAGCAACTATGAAAAAGCAGAAGTGAAATAGCTTAAGGTACAGAGGGTTTATTCTAGCATGCAAATTTCATTCTTTACAATACGTTCACTATTTATTGTGGTAATTTTTATCATTTGCATAAATGTGCAGAAAGAAAGAAGTGGTTTATACTTAACCCCCTTTCCTGTATTCATATTCATTAATAAAATAAACACTGCTTTCATTCTTTATGAGTAATTTAGTATCACCTCCTGGCTTTGGGAAGGGAAGAGTTTGGGACTACGGGTCTCAGCTTAGAATATCCTGAGCCATGATCCAGATTCTTGGGTCCCTTTTTCTTTCTGACAAATGAGAAGTACTACTCTGCAGCCTCCTGAAACGAGATACTGAGTCTTACTTTACATGAAGAGCTAAAGACTTAGAGCCTTGCAAAAGAACTGGGGTTTCTTTTGGTGAGAATGGTCCAAAATCTCTCCCTTCTGCCACTGTCACAAAGCCTAAGCAACAACGGGTTGTCCCCATTCTCACTGAATTGGATGGTCTTCAATGAAAATAGTTTAAAGAGCTCATAAGTAAAAAGGACTACAAGTAATTAAAATGTATCTGTTTAATAGCCTGTGAGCTAACTAAAATTCTCTTTCCTTGGCATAAAGAGGCAGCAGTCCCAAGAAATTGGGAATCCCACCTAATTATCAGGATTTGAAATAATGAGATGACAAATGTAGCTTGCAAATGAGAATGTCACACGCAAAGCTTTATCTAATGATGAAATCAGTGAGAAGTAGGAAGAGGGAAACATCAGTCTTCTTACCACAGTACATTCCCTTTTCCCTTCCTTATCCCCCCAAGACTTCTGAGGTCACTGAAAATCTAAATATTATTCAAATAGGGAGCAATTACTATTATGTGTATTACCCTAGTGCTACGAGCCCCAAGTCAGACCAGGATCTCATTGTATCAGGTTCTGAACAAACACAGAAAAAAAAGTTAATCCCTGCCCCAAAAATCAGTAGACATTGTAATAGAATCAGCAAGGTAATTGAGCTTTGCTATCCAGAAGTCAATAAGCAGATTTAGATTATTTCAATGCAAAGGAACATATACTTCAAAAATCAACACATTTAAATACAGTGTGTGTATGTGTGTGCATTTAATAATGTATATAATTAAAAATAGTCTAAAATGTCTAGTCTTGATCTAACGTTATAATTTTTGATTCCTCTGCATTCTGACACTCCAGCTAGTCTACTAGATTTGTGTGTATTCCTTCACTTTGTGATGGAAACATCCAGGATATGCACCCAAATCACCAAAAATTATTAAAAAATGCACGTGTTTTCAGAAGATACTGCTCTTAAATCTGACATCTGTCTGCTCTTATACTCACGCTTTTGGTATAGCCACACTCAAGCGTACAGGTTTAGAGCCCAACCCCACGGCTCCTTGACACTCTGTCAGCGCTCTTTTCTGTTCCAGTTCATCCGTGAATTTCACAAACCCGTAACCTCTGCAGAGATACGGAATAATTTGTATCAAGCAAAAGCAAAAAAAAAAAAAAAAAAGCCATGCTGCTTGTTTTTTTTAACATTTACAGTGAAATCTAAATTGGTTTTGAAAAACACAGCAGATAAAACGCTTGCGCTAGGGCTTTTAGGAGAGATTAAATGATTCCCTGTTCCACTTGTTTTGCATTGTTTGCAGAATGTTTGACACATGTCTGAGCTTCGGGAGCACTTTCAAGAGCTTCAGAAAAGTAAACTAAACCTTGTGCCAATGGATTCTGGGGAACTTGAAGTGAGCTGACACAAGAAGTGTTGAAATGCATGAACAGACAGCAGCAAAGCCTCAAATCTATATTGGGAGGATACCGATGATCTGAATGGTTGCAAGTCAGCACAGGATTGACAAGACATTGGCATCATCGCCATACCTAAAACTGCCCCGCTAGGAAGGAAAACTTTGCCTTTCCATAGGATTGAGCAGGATGCACTTTCTAATCAAGTCCTTTTTCCAACACCAAGCTATTCAAACAGGCTTTCTGTCATTCCCAACAACCACACGATCCCGTCAGCATTCTCAACAGTGGACTTAAAAACAAGCTCCTAACATCAAGTTGCTAAAACCTGCTGACAGCACAACTTGAGCAGGGTAACGTGCAGCCAGCATGCCCTCACCTCTGCAGCGATGCTCCCCTGCAGCACTAACAGCAGGGCGTACGTTAGCCAGAGAAGAGACATCAATTCCCCCCAGCCCCAAAAGTCCTTTGCGTGGGATTTGATGCTGTAGTGAGTCAGAAGCAGCGCAACAGCATCCAAGGGGCAGTGCCAGGATCCCAGGATGGGATGGGCCGCCTCACGCAGCAGAAAGATCAAAGACTTAGGTGTGGGAGGGAAAGAGGAATCCATCTAGGTGAAGGAAAGAGGTTGGGAGGGAAAGGGCTTGTCTACCCGGGGAAAAGAACGAGCCGTAAGCGAGGGTGTAAATTTACAGCGTATTATCTATTCTGTGGGAACAATGAAATGCAAAATAACACACACAATAATTCTGAAAGTGGCATCACCTAGCATTCATAGTACGGCCACACTGGAAGCTACTACAGAGCAGTCGGTGCTCCAGAAAATGCAAGGAGCTACATAGACAAGTCCAAATACATATTTACATATACGTATGTGCCTGCGTGTATGTATGCTCCCCATATAGAAGCCCAAATCAAAGCTCAGACTTGTCTATATACAAACTAGATAATTAAGCAAGAGCAAAACTCTTCATGGGTACCCATTCTGTTTAAAATTGGTTATCTTAGTTTAACTTGCCCTCTGTGAAAGCGTTGTGGTGAATTAAACCAGTGTAAATCACATTTAGGTGTTCACACACAACAGTGTGTACGTTTCTAAGCTGCTACAAAGACTCCCGAAGCCTTTCAGACAGGACCAGGAGTGTTGAAGTGAAGCCATGAATATTGCCAGTTCCAAACTAGAGCTGGATGGAGAGTTAGACGTAGTGCACTGTTGGCTGGGTGCAGCAAGGCAGAGCCATTCTTCCAACATTTGGGGATGATTATTATTTTTTCCATATCAGTGGCTAAACTGGATTTTGTAAAGAAAAAACAAACAAACAAACAAAAAAACACAAATAATCCCTGCCAAAAATAACCCCAACAATGAGTCATTTCTATGAGGTCAGGACCTCCCTGGCATTCTGTCCTGTCCCAGCAGATAAGAGGAGACCCCCAGCCTGCACCCATGGCATAAAGCAAGGAACAGGCAGAGTACTGCAGCATCAGGCTCCAAGGTCCTCTCCTGCCTGTGCTGGAGGTGCTGGGAGGAGCCTTCCTGAGCCTGGAAGGGCCTGGGCTTCACCAGGCACGTCCACAAACCCCAAGATCCTCTCTCGCACCACACTAGCACCTGCATTGCCTCAGCTTTGAGTAACTGCACAAGTCACAACAAAGCCCTGGCAGCAACAGCCCAGGGGAGACTGCTGTGCTCTTCCCAGCAATACGTAAACCCCCGTCCCTTCCCCAGCTACCACAGGTCACCTTTCCTTGAGGTCTGCACCTAGGAACTGTTCCCAAAGCCACCTAATGGCCCAACATCCATCACCGACCACCTATTTTGCACCATGTACAGCAAAACAGGAGCTGGAGGAGGCAGCTGGGCACAGCTGGTCTCAGGCGAGGTGGCAGTAACAGCACAGAGAGTGACAGAGCAGCTCTGCAAGAGGTTCGGGTTGGACGTAAGGGAGAACTTCATTACTAGAGAGCTGTTGCAGCACTGGAACAGGCTGCCTGGACAAGCTGTATTATCTCATCCTGGGAGATTTTCCAGGCTGCACAATTCATGGCTGACCTGATCTTGTGTTGGCAGCAGCCCTGCTCAGAGTGGGAAGTTGGACAAGACACCTCCAGACATTCCTTCAGAGCAATGTATTGAAGAGTGAGAAACCCTTACGTGAGTCTGAGGGAGATCTACGGCCACAACACTCTCACATGCATTGTATCAGAATACCGTGTGTCACTGAAGCCATGTTCTGTTCTGAAAAATAAGGGTGCCGGCCAACTGGTGGACCAACTGAGTGATCTCTCTTCTAAGAAAAGAGTTTCATTTTCTGCTATTTAGAAAATGTTTGGTTAAGATTAAGAAAACCAGGGTTTTGACATCTGTTTTTGATGAGACATTTCCAGTGAAGACGAACAATACAGCTACTAACTACATGACAATGAATCATAGCTTTGTTCGCCCTACCCCATGTGAAACAAAAAACTATAAAGCTTCCATAAGAATGGAACTCAACAGCCAAAAGGCTGCAAAAGCAAAATTCTATCTGAAAGTCCAGGAACCAGTGTCTATAGATCACTTAGACATTTTTCAGCATTTTCAGAAGTGCAATAACATACTGCCAACACACAAGGAGCCCAACGACAGAAGAGTGACAATATGCCACGGTGACCTACCAAAACCCAAACACTGCAGAGTGAAAATCCAAGAACATTGTATTTTTAGCAGGTATGGGATCTACTAAAATCTAAACTTATATAACTAATATTTTTCCCTTGCTGCATTACATCTTTCCTATTGCTGCATGTGAAGTGAAAGAAAAGAATGAATAAAACATAACTTACTTGGATACTCCTGCCTGGTCCAAAACAACTTTTCCACCTCTACACGATGGATAAACTTTAACAAAAAATTCATATAACATGCCATCATCCACATCAGGAGTCAGATCTCCCACGAAAAGGGAATATTCTGGACTAAAGAAATCAAAAGAAAACTTCTTCAGCACAAATACACACACACAATGCGCTGAGCGACAGCTAACATTGAGCCTACAAATTTGACTTCAGAGAGAAGTGATATTAAAGGACATCTCCTTGATATTGCTTTGTATTTAAAGGTAATTCCATTTTTTAGTTCTCAGAGGATATTAAACTGGGTACCATATAGGAATTTCTAACACAGCAAGGAAACATTATTGTATTGTTTATAAATCTGCTATTTCCTACGTACTGATCTTAACTTATAATATATAAATTAGATACTTTGATGTTAAAAAGTTTAAATATTTGAAAAGACACTCCTGACAAACCAGCTGAGCCACATAAAAAGAAAAGCATAAAACTGACAGGTGGTCTAAGTTAACCTCTCTCTGCTAAAGGCTCATGGAGCAAGTTGCTGGGGCCAGAAAAGTTGTGCTATCCATCTGTAACACACTTCCAGAGCAACTAGAACCACAAGAATTAGTTACCAGCTGTAAATTTCATTCCTTGCCCCATCTGTCATGCCTTGATTCTAATCTCAAGTTGTTATTTTTTTTAAAGATTCATAAATAATCATCTAAAATAAAAATATAATTGCAGAGATATGACTAACACTGCCCTTGGAAATTGCAGGACTGTGTTGTTTTCACCCTAGTACACACCTGCCTGAACATCTCCTCGTGTTATTATTAATTCAACTGTGTAAGCGTTTCTGGGCAGGCATTATGAAAGGTATTCACACCACCCAACTTCAGAAGCCTAATTTAGCCCATTCACCTCCTTACACACCTTTCACTGTCAAGGGAGAAAGATGGGCTCCTCCAGAGGGCAATTCTGAGCGCCTCTCCCTCTCTGCTGACTGCGGTGGTACTCTAGCCAGTTAAGCCAGGTGGTGCGAAACCACTGCATCTATGCCCAGGTGCCAAACACATTCATGGCATTACACGGTGCCAGCGTGCTGCAGCATCACGAATATTTATAGTGTGTCCCAAGACGGTTTAATGTAACCCACGTTTTTAATTGTGGGATTTACTTATCTGGCACTACTCGACAAAATGGTGCAAGATTTGGTTCTATGCATCCCATGAATTGTCTCCTGTCCAAATCTGCTAGCTGTGCATCTTGTCCAGCAGTGATGAACTTGTGGGTTTACATATTTTGAATACTCTTTGCAAGGTAATTGATAAGGAGACATTAAACAGGCAAAACTAACATTTGAATATTGAGTGTTTACCTGTTATCGGGCTGTTTTCCATACGTTGCATAATTCAATTTAAATCGCTTTGCCTGAAACAAGGCAAAAATGAATCCATACATTCAAATGTTTCCATGTGAATCCAAACAATTAGGAAAAAATACAAGAAGCTAACTTTATATACTTTAAAAAATGTAATACTGACAGATGTTCGGCGCTGTCAGGCCAGTCAGTTAAGGTAGCAAGAACAACATTTTTGTTTTACTTCAGTACAGCTCTAATAATGAAAATCAGCAAACAACCTGCACCAAGAGGCTTGGGCTGTCTTTACTTCAACAGTTTATAAAGCTAGTGAAAGACGGGTGGACCTTACATAGCATCAAATTTTTATCTCTTTATGGAAGGAAGGAAAACTGAGGTACTAACAGCAAATATTAAATGACTTCTTATTTTAAGGTCTTAAACTGAAATGATAGCACATGTAGTTGGACATTTGTGAATTACAAGAATACTGACAGGGCAGAATCTGCCACACTGGAAAATGGAATCAATCCCTGATTCTAGAAGCATGCCTAAATATTCTGCTCTGGATGATGCACTCATTTATTTGGGGGGAAAAAAAGGGGGAGGGGGTCATCTGAAAGACTTACCTGTTTTTTGATAGTGGAGGCCTCCCTAAACTTTGCACTTGATCTTTTTTTTAAAAAAAAAACAAACATTCCCCGGGAGCCTAGATTTGTGTCACTGGCACATCTGGAACTCATAGCCCCCATCCTGTCAGGTTTCAACCCACCTCACATTTAAATTTGACCAAGATCTAAGGAGCTGAAGATCTTCTACCTCAAAACCCTGCGGGTCTCAGTCCCAGAGGCACTCTTACGTGATGCTCAGCACACAGTGACCCAAGCAGGCTCACTGCAGAGTGCAATGGTAACTGCTATTTTCTTCCAAAACATGTCTGATAGAGGAAGAAGCAAAGGGTTGCACTCCTTTACAAGAATACTGGTTTCATAACTCACCCGGGCAGTGGAAGACCTAAGCTGGATTCCCTTGTCAGTATGAGGGGCTTCAAAACCATTTTTCTATCTCCCAACAGGCTTCCAAAGCAGACATCCCTCTGTACTACACAGTGGCATAGCATCAAAGAATTCAATTTGGTCAAAGAAAGCAAGCCTACTGTGAGTCCATAACCTAGAGATCAGAACGTTTGTTTAGTACAGTGGAGAGCCTAGAGTGCTCCTGTGCCTTGCACGATGCATTCCCTCAAAGATAGCGTAAATAATTCTTGGGAAATAGAGCAAAGACTTAACTCTAGGCTATAATCATGTTCCTTGCATGCTTGCATTCACTGGTGCACAGTGCTACACAACTCTTTCTGTGGACCATTTACAAGCTTAGTTTCTTAACATAAAATTGAGATTCCATTCTAAAACACTTTGATCTTTTTCTTTGGATCTAGTTCTTTGCTGCAATACTTTGGGTTTAAAATCAATGAAAAAACTGAGAGTATTTCCACTCTCACAGGAACTGGGGACACTAATTCTGTAAGAGAAAGACAATAAGAGCACCACAGCTCTCTGTTAGTCCTTTGGCAGATTCAGGATTTAAAAATAAATAAAAGAGTGAGCCACATTCAGTTCTCTGCAAACAAGAGAAAAAATATCTAAACGCAAGAGACGAGCTGGACAGCTGCCTGCTGAGGGCACTGGTTTAGGCTGCCTACACTGGGGCTCTGACATCCGTAATTCCCTCCATGCATTATGGAAATCATCCCTCCAAACAACACTACATTTTGAATTAAACTCTGGATAAACGCCAGCATTTCCAAAACCAAACTTCAATCATCATCTTCTCACAGGAGCTGTTCTCGTTCTCTCTCTGGTGGCTACGGAAGGCATCTAGGAAGATTACCTTCCCTTCGTCAGGGCCTCTGACTTGCAATATATGGGTTATTAAACGGGACAGGAGAGGACCTCCAAGCCTCTTACCTACCCCTTTCGACAGGGGATGTCATCCTCTTAGGAAGGCTGATGAAATAGTTCAAGGAAAACCACCTGAACTTCCCAGTTTCCAACTCAATGCATTAACTACTCTGAAACAGACGTCCATTTACCTTAATATATCACACTGCCATAGAGGTGATTCTAGAGCTGCTTTATGAACCAGTCATCCCAGCTACTGCAGCCAAATTCTGTGGGTACAACGGACAGCTGTGTCAGCCATCCCATTTTAATATTCTACACATTCAAGTCAACACCCTAAAATTAGCCTCTATGACTATTCCTCCTCTTCTTCCTAACTACCTAGCTTTTAGGTACCCGAGACATTTGGTATGCGTTGCAATTATAAAATGGACTAGCTCTTTCTCCACTGTAAATGGGTTTGAATAACTTTTCTTTGCTAAGGGCCAAGAATAATGCAAGGCTTGAAAGTCACTTTTCTCTTGCAAATCAATGTTACGCAAAACTCAGTGTAAACTTGCAAGTTCAGCTTGTGCATACATCACAACGTACAAACTATAGGAAATGCATATGGAACTACAAATGGAGACAGAAGGACTGTGGTACGTATACTCAACCTATTTTTTCCTTGATCTTCTCTGGTTTCTCATCAGTCCAACTTTGGTAACAGTAGAAAGGCTCAGAAATAGAAAAACACACCACAACATTTCTATACCTGGATATTATCCAGACATTCAAACAAAAATTAACATTTTTTCAATAATTATCTGAGTAAGAACATAACAGCTTTATGTTCATTAACTTAAGTGTAAAGAAAAGAACAATCCCACTTTGCTAACTAGTTGTCTGTAATCATTATTCAAAATACAGTTTCTACCTCTATTTCTTCACAATTTGCTTTTCTACTGGCTGATTTGATTTACTTACCGGTGTAGCGCCAGGAAGCGGTTTTCCATTGATTTTGTGTAAACACTTCTCTGCAGTAGCTAGATCTGCAAATTCTACAAAGCAATAGCCTGCTGGAATTCTGAACACAGACACAGGAGAGGAGAGAAAAGGATTTCAGATTTAAAACATTTGAGGAGGACTACTATATTTTCAGATAACTGCTAGGAAATTTGCTATAGCAGCGATATATGGGACAATTTCCTTTTCAAAATATAAACGTTAGCTACAAAGCAGAATCTAGCACAGTAATCTTGGATCTTCACTGAAGTGATAGCCCCTACTTACCAGTAAGTCAGGTCAACATAAGGACACAGAAAATACTTTTGCTCAGTTATTCCACTTCCTCCTTTCACAGACTATAACTTTTCCCACCCAAATTAAAGCAACCATAAACGAAATTACAGCATTTACAAAAACACAAGACTACGTTATCCTGCGTACAGTCACCCATTCTAAACAAACTCAAAAGGTCTTCACGTGGCTCTTTCTAATTTAGACTTCCCACCTCTGCTAGCATCATGTAGCTGCACTAGTGCAATGATTAACAGACTCGTCACTGAAGTCTTCATTCAGCCCAGAACACGTAATTCCCCGATGGACTGTATGCCATACGTGGGCCATTCTGAAGGAGTGCTGAAGCACTGCAGGATGGTTCACTGATGGGGAGGTCGAAGAGCCAGCAACTTCCTCCCCATTGCTATCATCAATACCCTCATATTGTTGGCAGCAATGGTGAAAAGCTGAAAGGGAAAATCACTCTCGTACGGACAGGACCACAGCGATGCCACGTAAAGGGCAAACAGTTCAATCCAAATGTAGAGATGCAGTGGCAGAACGAATTGAGAACAAGCAGAAAGAGTTACCCTGTCAACCTGTTTCGAATGATTTTTACACTCAGTACAAGCTCTCCCATGGTGGCAAAGGCTCTTGAAACAAAGTTTTCATCCATATACGGCTCCAGCTACAAAAGCAAAAAAATAAGTTAGATCAGGGCAACTACAAAAAGGAGAATATATGTGTCAATGTCACCCTAAGCAGTTAAAACATTATTGAGAAGTATTTTACCCTTACACTTCAAAAAGAAGACTCATTTAAGAGGGTCGATGCCACTCAAAACCAGCAGGCATGCATGAACCAGGCTCAACAGTCTGCAAAGTGGAACCCAAGAGACAGCATGAATTTCAGAGAACAGGGAGCTTTCACAGAAGGACAAAAGCCACTCAGAGACATACAGCAACAAACTGAGCGTTCACTACACAGGAGCAGGGGGGTAAGGAGATGGCGAGCTCCTTCTCTCTATGCAAACGGAGGTTGGGCCAGCACTGACAGTACACAGGTGTGGCACAGCCGGGGTGCTGTGACGAGCGGGTGGCGTGTGTCAGGTAACACAGCCCCCATCGAGCTCGGGTTGGGGTTTGCAGAGCCGTGCCAACCTCACGCAACCACGGAGCTCCGTGGGGCAGCACTGGGAGTCCTCTAGTCGCAGCCCGCAGCAGGTCTGTAGGTGCAGTGATTGTGTTGTGGGGTGTGCGCGGGAAGGCAGCACGGTGTGTAAGAGGGATGTGATGTGGCTGCGGTCCTGTGTGAATGATGCCGAGTGTGAGTGCGGGTGTCTGGATGGTGTAAGTGGCTGAAAAGCACAAAATGGCACTGTGAGTTGGACTGAATCCACGATGAAGGTCCTGGGACACGTTTAGTGGGTGAGACTGCTGGTAGGGTGAGGGTTGGACCAGATGACCTCGAAGGTCTTTTCCAACCTTAATGATTCTGGGGTTCTAAAAGGACGCCTCCGTGTAACACAAAGTGGCACGGGAAAGAAGAAAAGAGAAATGAGGATTGTGTGTGATGCCTGTGGGACAAGCAACAGGGGTACGGTGGCTGTGTTTGTGAGTGAAAAGAGGGATTGTGCACGCACGGAGTTCACTCTGGCATCACGGGGGTTGGGGGTGGAAGAGGTGATGAGGTGTGGGGAAAATACAAATAGCTCCGTGTGAGTACAAATACCTATGGCCTTGTGGTGACAGCCCTGCAGCATGCCTGTGTGCATGTCAGGTACCGGGTGTTTCCTACACTCGTGTGCATGAGGGAACGTGCAGACTGGTGTGGTCTCTGTGTGCACCTGACAACAGGCGGCCGTGCTGCCTTGCACGTGCAAAAGTTGGCAGATGCCCTGCTGAGGAGCGAGTGTGAAACACCACTGGCTTTTCCACGTGCAAGTTGCTGGAGGTAGCCCTGCTCTGTAGGGACGGGCCGTGCGGGTGTCCCTGTGGTGTGTGTGTGTCCACCAAAGGCAGACTCGTAGAGGCAACAGGTGGTGGCTGCTGGGGTCTGCACGTTCGTGTTCCAGAGAGTTTGTGAGAGGGGTGGCTGAAGAAGATGCTGTGGAGAGGCTGGAGGTGTCCCTTTGTGTGTAGCATGAACACGAGTGCAGAGCTGTGAGCGTGTCGGTGCTGTGAGCGTGTCCCCTGAAGCTTGTGAGCACGCAGGTGCCTAGCAGCAAGTCAGCCACAGGCTTGTGAGCGCCTGCGAGACCGCAACCACGACAGCGGGAGTGCATGGAGGGACCTGACACCAGCGCGAGGGACACTGGTGCAAGTGCCACGAGCGTGGCTGTGCCCACAGCTGGGGGGCACACGGGGGTCCCTGCGGGGGTGTGCGCCTGCCTGTGAGCCTGGCTGTGTGTGAGGTGCCTCCGTGTGTGTGTGTGTGAGTGTGGTCGGCTTGGAAGCGTGTGTGTGTCAGTCAGGGTGCGTGGCGGTGAGTGTGCCTGTGTGAGGGTGTCACCGGGGGTGTCAGGGTGGGTGTCAGGGAGCGTGAGGGTGTCACTGAGTGTGTCAGTCAGTGCGAGTGTGCGGGACTCTGTGTGTGTCTGTCAGTCTGTCAGCGTGAGCTTGTGGGACCGTGTGTCTGTCAGTCTGTCAGCACGAGTGTGCGGGACTGCGTGTGTCCGTCCGTCCATCCGTCTGTCTGTCTGTCAGTGCGAGCGAGCGTGCGGGACTGTGCCTGTCAGTCAGTCAGTGCGAGCATGTGGGACTGCGTGTGTGTCCGTCTGTCTGTCAGTCAGTCAGTCTGTCTGTCTGTCAGCCTGTCTGTCAGTCAGTCTGTCTGTCCGTCAGTCAGTCAGTCAGTCTGTCCGTCAGTCTGTCTGTCTGTCAGTCAGTGCCAGCATGCAGAGTGCCTGTGTCCGTCAGTGTCAGTCAGTCAGTGCGGGGCTGTGTCCGTCAGTCCGTCCGCCCGTCAGTGCTCCCCAGCCCCCGGCAGTGCCCTCAGCCCCGGCTCCCTCCTCCTCCTCCTCCTCCTCCTCCTCCTCCTCCTCTCTCCCCCCGCCTCACAAAGCCCCGCGCGGGTCCCGGCCGGACACTCACGTCCCCCATCCAGAGGCTGGCGGCCATGCTGCTCCCGCAGGCCCCGGGGCGGGCTCGGCGGGGCCGCGGCTTCGCCCTCCCGGCTCGGCCCCGCCGCTCGCCGTGCCCGCGGCCCTGCTCCGCCGCCGCGCTGCCCCCGCCGCCGCCTCCTCCGCCGCGCCCGGCGGGCGGAGAGAGCGGCGCCCCCGCCGCCACGGGCGGCCCCGGCCCGCGGCAGCGGCCCCTGGCGGCAGGAGGAGCGAGGCAGGGCGGGCGGGGGGCTCAAGATGGAGGCGGGCGGCACCGGGGGAGGGAAGGAGGGAGGGAGGCAGCGGGGAGGGAGCGGGGGTCTGGGGGAGGGATCGGGGCTCTGGGGGAGGGAGCGGCTCCAGGGGGAGGGACTGGGGTCGCCGGGAGGTGGGTTGAGGACACCGGGAGGTGGTTTTGAGGCTCCAGGGGTAGGGTTGGGGCTCTAGAGGGAGGTTTGGGGACACTGGGAGGTGGTTTTGGGACACCAGGAGGAGGGTTTGAGGGGCCGGGAGGAGGGTTTGAGGCTCCAGGAGGTGGGTTGAGGACACCAGGAGGTGGTTTTGGGGCTCCAGGGGCAGGGTTGGGGCTGTGGAAGGAGGTTTTGGGGGTGCCGGGAGGTGGTTTGGGGGCACCCTGAGGAGAGTGTGAGGCTCCAGGAGGAGGGTTTGGGGCTTTAGGAGGTGGGTTGAGGACACCGGGAGGTGGTTTTGGGATGCTGGGAGGAGGGTTTAAGGCTCCGGGAGGAGGGTTTGAGGCTGTAGGGGGTGGGTTGAGGACACCGGGAGGTGGTTTTGGGGCACCAGGGACAGGGTTGGGGCTCTAGAGGGAGGTTTGGGGACACTGGGAGGTGGTTTTGGGACGCCAGGAGGAGGGTTTGAGGCTCCAGGAGGTGGGTTGAAGACACTGGGAGGTGGTTTTGGTGCTCCAGGGGCAGGGTTGGGGCGCTGGAAGGAGGTTTTGGGGGTGCCGGGAAGTGGTTTTGGGGCACTGGGGTGAGTTTGAGGCTCCAGGAGGAGGGTTTGGGGCTTTAGGGGGTGGTTTGGAGTGCCGGGAGGTGGTTTTGGGGCACGGGGAGGAGGTTTTAGGGCATCAGGGGGAGGGTTTGGGATGCTGGGATGTGGTTTTTGGGGTGTTAGGAAGAGGTTTTGGGACTCCAGGAGTAGGGTTGGGGATGCCAGGAAGTGGTTTTGGGGCTCTAGGGAGAGATTTTGGGGTAGTGAGAGGTTTTGTGGTGCTGAATTGAGGGTTTGAGGCTCAAGGAGGAGGTTTTGGGGCATCGTGAGGAGAGTTTGGGGTGCCAGAAGGAGGGTTTGGGATGCCAGGAGCAGGGTGGGGGCCCAGCCCTGTGACGACACCTGAGGTGAGGGGCAGGCCTGGGTGGAAGGGGGCGAGATGGGGCCCGGGGCTGGAGCTGAGGAGGAGGAGGAGAGGGCTGAGGGGACCAGGAGATGAGGTGAGGCCGTGCTGGGAGTGGGATGAGGGCAGGAGCACAGGACAAAGGGGGCACGGAGGCTCTTCCTGCAAAGGGAACGTGAGTTTCCAGCCCCTTCAGTAGTAGACCATGGCAAGAAAATGGGTATTACAAACTCCAGAGTTTCATGTGTGAAGACAAATACAGCAAACCTCGATATTTCCTAATTAAAAAATCAGTCTTTTTCTGAGACGGGGGTTGAATTCTTTTCAGCTCTCTAAACTGTCAGCCCAGGCCCCCACACAGCATGGGATTGCCTTAAAAAATTGTGAGGCTTTTAACCAGAGAACAGAATTAATTACTTTGTATAATTGTACATTAGATTGTGCTGTGCAAAAATATCATGGAAACTCATTGCATATCTCAAATAACTTGGTCGTAAAGGGATAACATTCCTGCCACTGTGTTGTTTTAAAAGCACTTCGGTCAATTTTTCAAGGTTTTCTTGAAAGAGCCATGGGAGGTGTATGGAATAATAAATGGTGTGGAAGGTTTTCAGCTCTCTGTTGTGGGTGGGCGACTCAGACCGCTTCTGTTGGTGCTGGCCCATGGTTTACAAAGGCACAAACAAGGACATTTGTTGGCAATGCCACCAGGAGGCCAAAGGCTCGGTGTGGTTTATTGGGGTGAGGAGATGTCTGAGCAGCCATAGCCTCTGCTCTGCGTCCTGCTGTAGGACTGGCAGGGCAGAATCACCTCAGGATCCCACATGGAGCAGCTGTCTTGGCCAAATGGGGGCTGCCCCTGTGTGCAGTGTCTGTGAGGTCAAATGCTGCCTCTTCACTCAACAGTTGTGAGATTTGGGCTTTGAAGTCATCACTCCAGCATGTGGGGTTGGATTGGGCATGGTGTGATCCTCTCTCTTTTCCAATTTACTTTGCCAGGCTTTCGGCATCAAAGGTGGCAGTTCCTGGAGCAAATAAGACCACTGGTTATGATGGAGCAGAGGTAAGCGCACCCAGAGGATCGAGGGCTGCATGCCAGTGAGCTGGTTGGTATTTTCATGCTGCCAAACACAGCAGTTGTAGTTGCAGGAGCTTCTTGTGAGCCTTGTACCCTCTTATGGAAAGGCAGGCATTGGGCATAGCTGCTGAAGCCCTGGCTGTGGTTGTGCAGTCACTGCAGCATGCCATAAATCGAGCTGATGATGACAGGGACAATCCAAACCCTCCGTACAATGCTTTTGTAGTTTCTGGGTCTCGGCGAGCAGAGGTGGTGTTGCTCTGTTGCTTGCAGCCCGTGAGAGGGCAGCACAGGACCACGGGTTGTTGGCTGAGGGTTTTAAGGTGGTGAAATTTGGCATCCTTAAGCCTGATGTGAGCGGCACAGAGCAGAGGAGCTAATCCTCTGAAACTTCTTGTGAAGCAAAGTGTGAATGTTCACGTCAACCTTGCTCCAGAACATTCTCATTCCAGAATAATGTGTGAAATCGACCAAGAAAAGTTGAAATCGAAAGAAAAGTTGATCATGATGGTTTTTCCTGCAGATGAAAGGTGTAATAAACGTTGACTCTTACTACATTTTTGCAGGAGACTGAAAATCCTGTATCTTCATACTGGGTAGGATCTGTATCTCTGTCATCATTCTGTAATATGGCCAGTACTTAATACTCCAGAATATTAGCTGTTTAGAAACCATGAGTGTGTACAAATCAGATTAAAAACATGTTTACAGCTTGATTTATTTGTTTTCTGATTTTTGAACCTCTAGGGCATCGTCAGGTCATGTTACCAAACTCTTTCCTACAACATTGCAAAATCTGGCAGAAAATCAAGGCAGCTAGCAAGACCCACCACGGCTAAAACTAAGCTGAATAAAGACATTCAGTTGCCAACTAGCACTCTTTGTGCCTAGGTGTCACTTGCGATCCCTTCACACACTCATCCTCTTTGGAGTCCCTGCTGTGGCTGCCTTTCAGGTGTCAGCTTTCAGGATTTTTTTTTCAACATGGCAATTCATCCGCTGGTTAGCACTGAGCTCTGCTTCGCAGAGCCCAAAAAGCTGTTGCTTGTTCTCTGTTATTACCTTACAGCTACCCAAAGCCAGTAGTTTGGTCTTTGTCACTTGATGAAGTGAGTCCAGTGTCTTTAATAACTCCTTTCCATTTTTCTTTCCAGCTGAGTAATACAGAACTTGCTTTTTCCTGGGATAATCCATAGAGATGGATATTGGGCAATGAAAGTGCAAGAGGAAGCCAGGACCATGTGATCGTGTTGGACTGGGAGAAGGTAAGAATTTTATATTCTGTCCCATGTCTGAAGTGATTGCTGTTTATGCGCCTAACCTTGTGAAAGAGCAAAAACACTGCCAGAAGAATATTACCTGAAAAACTGTTTATTTCCCCTTAAAAACTTGAGAACTGGCAAAGAGGCAGCTGCTTATAATAGAAAGACACGGGGATTCCTCTGTGCTGTGTGTGGATGTCAGCTGCCAGTAGCTGAAACATCTGTATGCCTTGTCACCTCTGCTGGGACAGTAATGATTTCATGCTCCAAGGACTTGGTCCTGAAAATCGCTGAGCATATTCTGACTGACATTTACTATGATCCACTGGAGGTATGATCCTCGAGCCCCCCAAAAGACTGGGCGATGCTGGCAGTCTGCGTCTTAGCTGGATGCTCTAGGAGCTCAGCTTGCTGAGGGCTGGATCCGATGAGCTTCAGAGCTCTGTTACCTCTCAAGAACTTTGACTGGAGTTAAGGGCCTCCTGGGAGGCACTGAGTGGTCTCAGCTTTTAAAATTAATGGGTTTGAGCCTGAGAATCTGGCCTGGGAGATTTTAATTTGAATCTGCTATTTTTAGCTTGAGCCTGAAACTGACTCAAATAGTTTTTCTGCTTTTGGTACTGTACATTACTGTGTTAGAGCCTTCCCTGTCGGTCTCACAGGTGCCAAGTCCATCCTCAGTCCTCAACAACTGTAGCCAATGGACTGAGATCAGGGATGAATTTGGCCAGGGATAGTTGAAATAATAAAGCCGATAAAAAATAAAGATATATAAAGCAAAAGCTTGAGCTTGGAATGGCTTCTGAGATTCTGAATGTAATTTAAGTAATCCAGGAGAAAATATGCAGTGAAATCTGTTTTCCATTATTGCATGAGATGGCATGTCTTAAATTTTGATCAAGCCCAGGGTTTTTTATATGATGAAGATAACAGCTTAAAGTGGTGTATAGGTCTGGGATTTTCTTGTCAATAAAATACTTACAAATTATTGTAGACTTGTCATTCTTATTTATTTATTGATGAAAGTTGTTGTTCCGATCTTGATCTCACAGCAAGTAAAAATAATTTATGACTGAGTTCTAGCTGCCAGTGGTATTCTTAAAGGAAGTGGTAGTCAAAGCTCATTACTGATCCGTGTTTGTCCGCAGCTTTTCTTAGCCAGACCCTGTTTGTTGTACATCAGCACTGTGCAGTGGCGGAGACCTGATGTTCTTCCAGAGACAGGTTTGCCCGTCTGTTCACAGTGTTTGGTGTGGCAGAGTGCATCCGAGTGGAAGTGGGAAGGCTGTTTGAGTACTTACGGTACAGTATTGCTGAGTATTCCTTGTATTTAAGGAAAAGTGAAGAAGCTTAAGTGATAGTGCCATGTTCACAGTTTGCTGGTACCGCTATGGGTTTTGTAAGCTTGCCTAACAAAGGCATGACTGAGCAGGACAGGGACACTCCATTCTTGTTCCTCTAGAGGAATGTCTGTCAAGCTGTGAAGTTATGGGTGGCGTCTGAGCTGAGTGGCTGTGAGCAACAACATAAGGATTTCAGTCTGGAGAATACTTGTGCACATCAACGAGCAAGCAGGGCTAGAGGAATTTATTCCCAGGTCTGTCAGTCTTCCCTTCTATGAGCACATGTGCTCCCCTTGCTAGTTTTGCATTCCTTTTCCCACACCATCGTTTGATCCCTGTCCCTTTGTAGTTTGTATCCACTTCATATCTTTGCTGAGGGATGTCCTTACTCATTCCTCCGAGGGAGTTTCTTTGGAGGCCTCATCTGTCCACACAGGGATCAAGTAATAGACCACTGAGCCTCACCAAGCCACAATTCAGCAGGGGCCATCTAGGACTGTGGGTGTCATTAACTAGGAATAGGGTCAGAAAATAAGGCTGGTTCTTATTTTTAACATTGGTACTACAGGGAATTCTCCTGCAGGGAATTTCTGAAAATGTCAGTAAGTCAAAGGAGCGTTCCGGATGTTCACAGTATTAATTTACTAGCTGGCAGGGCTCATTTGTTTACATCCTCCATAAGCATCTCATGGGGCAGACTTAATCCTGGTTTTGGATGTTTGATTGAGAACAACTCTGGGGGCATCTCCCAGGATGTTTGTGTTCCATATGCAGTCAGTTGTGGGATCTTTGCCACTGATGTTTTAAGGTAAAATAAACAAACAGGCTTCAGGGCCTTTTGCACCCTGTTGGCGATGCTGTGTAGTTCTAAAAGCGGTTAAGCCAAAGACTTGATACGAGCACTAATGATGTTGCTGAAAACACAAGACCCAGCCTGTTTAAAATTGTTGCTGTCTGCTTTCAAGGCAACAGAAAACCCTGCTGGGCCTTCAAATCGTGTCTGAATGGGCCCAGCACAGGGGGAGGACAGTGCATCAGCAGGCAGAGGAGGAAGGGGAGGAAAAGGGAGGCTGAGCAGCATGGCCAGTGGGTATCACCCCCTAATGGGAGAGGTGATGGGTGCCTGAGGGTGTCTGTCTTGGACATGGCATGGGTGGAAGGTGGCAGTGCCAGTTTACCAGTCTCCTGTGCACAGCTCTGTGTGTGTAGTGCAGTGCAGCACGTGTGGGAGAAGATCCACTCCCTGTTGTAGTTTCTAATTGAAGCGCTTCAAGCAGGTGCCTAGTGTTAACGGGGCTAAATCAGGATTTGAATGTTGTTTCTCTCAATCCCTACCATAAAGTACAGATAACAACACTGTCATGGGTTTCAGTCTTACCATGCTCCAAGCAGGGTGGGAGGTGTTCAGAGGCAAAGCTGGCATTGAGTGGAAGACCAGAATCGCGGAATCATGAAATATCCAGAGCTGGAGGGGACCCACAAGGATCATCGGGTCCTGTCTATGTCATATCTGGCTCGATTTGGTGCTCTTTGTTACCTGCAGTCTGAAAACAATACTGAAAACAGCAGCAACTGGAGTTTGCTGGGACCTTCTGCCTAACCCCACAAAAGGCCGTTGATTAGAAAAACAACATGTGTGTCGTTGTGGCATGTGAAGGACTCATGAGGATAATTTCTGGAGCAGTTACAAATCTTATCCTTGCTTGGATGCTGCTGGAGAACCAACAAAGAGGCTTCTCAGGGAACTGTCAGAGCTCACTTGTCTTTTCTGTCTCTCCAGGAGCTTGTGTAGGTGAATTGGCATTTACTGCTGGTACATTTCTTCCTAAAACTCTGGAAAAGGTAGATGAGGTTCTCCCGACAACTGTTCCAACAGCAAGGAAAACCAGTGTGGGTTTGTAAATAAAGGTGGGGAGAAGCTCAGTAGTGGCACAGGAGAGAAGGATGTGGAGGTTTCAGTGGACCACAAGCTGAATATGATTCAACAGTTGGTGCTTTGTGGAAACAACTCGTTTCATTCTGGCATGTCTTAGCAGGAAAGTCACGTGAGGCACAGGGGCAGGAATTAATCATGCCACTCCAGTGGGCTGCAGTGCTCCCAGCTTGGAGCATGGTGTTTTAAGAAGGGAAGTACACACAGGAGACCAAAGGAGAACACGAAGAACAACCAGAGGTCTAAAACTCTAGACCGAGGGAGGAAGCTGAAGGAGCTGGATTTATTTAATCCAGGAGTCAAAGATGAAGGGTAGGGTTTGCTAAGGACAGTCTTCCAGTGAGTGAAAGGTAAGAGGGCTGACTCAGTTCTCCTCTAACTCTGCTGTAGGTAGGATACGAAGGCTGCTTAACTTCCAATAAAGCTCATTTCAGCGAGCTTTTTTGTAGAAGGTTTCTTCTTATTAGGCAGTAGGCTTCATATGGGAATTTGTGTGTGGTTTTTATAACCCCCTGAGTATGGCATACATATGCTTGATAATACATGGGGGGGTTGGAGCTTTCCTTTGGGGCTGGGAACAATTGCTCCTCCTGCGTGCTTGGAACACAGGCACGCTCAGTGACATTGGGAAGCAGCAAGCTTGAATGGGTGGGAAAGGTGTGCTGGCATGGTTCTGGTGCACAGAAACGTTGATGCCATGTGCAAATCTCCCATCCACTCCAGTAGTATTTTAGGTTTGCAGTGTAGCAATGCAATTGTCTATCCAGAATAAACTAGAATAAACAAAAGCTGACCATTTCCATGAATGAGACAATCACGGGTACAATTACTGAAGAGACAGTCTCAAGGGAATTTTGTAAGGATTTACACCACATTTACACCTGAAACTTCAAAAATAAACTAGTTCTAATGAATGAGAAAGGGAAACGGAGATGAGATGGTATTCATATCTCTTCCAGGATGGGATACCTGTGTTTTTGCATCCTGCAGGGTACATTAAATCTGCAAGGCTGCTCCGAGACTATGTAGGTATAGTGAACGCTATAGATGCTGAAATTCCCTGGATTTGATAGAGCAGGATCCATTTTTGGAGCAGAACATTCTCTCCCTCTACCCAAAGAGGCTGCTTGAACTGATTCTCTCAGGGAGCAGAAAGCCTGTAGCCACTTAGATCTCCTCCTGGTTGCCAATGGTGCCATTTACCTAGAGCTTCTTTGTTAGTGATGGTTGAGTGCTGAAAGCTTCAGAAAAATCAGTCAAACATTTAGATTGCTTCTCTGATTAAAAAACAAAACAAAACAAAAAACACAACAGGATCAGGAAATTAGTTTGGAATTCTTGAAGAGTCTTCTAAGTTTAAAAAAAATAAAACCTTGTTATCTGAACTCTTTCACTTGGAGTGGCACGCTCTCAGAAGTAAACTTCATAGTTTGCTTATTTCTCTTCAAAAGGTTTTCATCAGGTCCTAGTACTGGGACAGAAATGGAATGAGAAGATTCTCTTGAGCTTGCTCTTGTTTTGGTGAGTATTGACCTTAAAGGAAGGTAGAGGTCCTCTCTCTTTCCACTTACAAGCTTAATATGGGAGGGTTTTCATAAGCTTGAGTTCTGCAGCCAGGGTTCAGCTCTTGTGTTTGTTTTCATATTTTTATTTTTTAATTTCAACCCAGGCATTTTCTCCTACTTTAGTGTTCTTGGTATTGAAGATAAATTCAGATAGTTTTAAAACCCTCTGTAGCAGTTTTCCGGGTACTCTTGGCTTTGATGAAAGAGAGCTGGTGCCCATATAAAAGCATCCAGGGAAAAATGATTCACGTCCTTCTTCTGTGTGGTAGAGGGGCTAACGGTGTCACCGTTGCTGCATCTGGCACACGGTGAACAACTTTGATCTCATCACTTGCCTTTGAACCACTTGCAAGCCCTCAAGCTCTTTGGTCCTTCATTGAGTGCTGCTGCTTTCGGAGCTCACCCCTGCGAGCTCAGCACAAGCCTCTAGACCTAAGGAAATAAAGCCAAAAGGTGTCTGGTTTTAAAGTTGCCATGACCCATGATGAAGCCCTTCCTCTTGCCTCCAGTGCCTGGAAAGTTAACCGTGGACAACCCCAGCTTGTAGGGTGATGAGGATGTGCAGGTCACGTTGCTGGGTGGTGTGCTGGAGTCAGAATCCTTCCTAAAGAGCTGCACATCTTGGCCAATCATTCCCAGTGCTCTGAGTATCACAGGTATTATTGAAATCTGGAGAAGTTTGAGCAGTGAGTAGATCTTTGATTTATCAACACATGGTTCCACGGGGGAGGCAGAGATGAAAGGCGGATGGGTTCAGTCATTTCAACCACCCCATTGTTCTCCTGTTTACAGCGAGTTGCTGCTTCTTGGACAAGGTGGGAAGAGTCTGTGGGATTTAGTTCTTTAACAAAAGCATCCTTTCTCCACAATGTTAATTACTCATTTGTGCCAAATGGGGAATGAGAAACAGAGTTTAAGGATCTAATTAACATTTGCTTCTCCTTTCAACAGATTAGTCTTTACACTCATAAGCTCTGCGATAAAACTATTTTATTTTAGTTTCCAGTCATCTGAGAATCTTCCAGCCTCCACAGAATCTGAATTTTCAGGTTAGAAAACAACTCAAAAAGCAAAGCTAGAAATAATATCCTGCTTTTTTTTTTTTTTTTCAGAAAGGACAAATATAAGTCTTTTGTTCATATACCTTTTTTTTTTTTTCTTAGCCTGGCAGTGATTACTTACAGGCTTGAAGAAGTCCCTGTTAACATTAAAGCTTCTTCACCACTCTTTTGTTTTGACAAACCTATAGTGGGCACAGTTTAAAAATATATGTATTTTATCCTCATTTGGCTTATTCCCATACAGTAATAGGTAACATAAGGCACCATTATAGCAGTAGGACTGTGTCTAAGTAAGGCGGTGTTATCTTTACCAACACAGGCTGGCATAATTAAAGTAGTGTTGAAAATGCATAGGTTAGGGTTATTGCTTTGGATATATATCAAGGAATGTTACTTTTTTTTTTTTCTTTTTTAATAAAAAAGCATTGCTTCTCAGAAATAAGGACTACAGGGTTTGATTCAAAGTTCTTAATTTCGGAAAGCATTCTGAGGTTTTCTAAAGGTGCCATATTTAGTCATAGAAATAACAAAATGAAAAATACATAAGAGTATTTATAGTAAGAATAATGAAGATTTATAGGGTAACGATAGTTGTAGTGCTCCTAGCCTAGGAACTCTATATGGAACAGAGTGATTGAATGTTTGGCTTCTAAAAAGAGGAAAAAAAAAAAGAAAAAAAAAAGAAAAAAAAAAAAGCACACAACAAAAAACAGATGAATAATGGAAAACAAATCCTTTCTCTGGTGAAAAGCCAAACCTGTGTTTTGAAAATTAAATGTTTTTTTGGGTTAAGCAGTGAAAAAATGGACTTGATCTTTGCAACAGCTTGGATTTATTATTGGAACCATTTGGCTGTGCCATAGAGGAGAGGAATTTTCTGGTAATTAGAGCAAGAAGCTGGGAGTCAGAAGCGGTAGGGTCTGTTTCTGGCTCGGGCACTAGCACGCTATGTAGCCTTGGGAAACATGCTGCCTCATTTGTACCTTGGCTTTCCCATCTATAAAATGGGGCTAAGGAAATCATTCAAGCTCACAAATTGCATGCACTAATTAAAGAACATTTCCACAGCACCTTCAGGTCTTTACTGCTACAGAATGGATTTGCACAAGCATGCACCTCAAACCCTTTTTGAAAAATCCTGCCCCAGACATTTACACACCCGATTGCCCGGATTCCTAAACCCATGTGTGGGCATCTAATTGAAAACGGCCCGATTTCCAGAAGTTTGTCTGCTGATGAAGAGGAACGCGCTGGGGAATGTTTCCTCTGCAAACAGAGGGATCACGGGACTGCCTCCCAGCAGGATCCTGCCACTCGCCTGGACCAATTTCACAGCCCCCCGGCTCCCCAGCCTTGACCCACAGTCCCCGTGGGCTGTTCCTACAGAGGCAGGTGGGGAACCATCGGCTTGCTCAGCGCCTGCAGCTGGGTCTCCAGGGGGTGCGGAAAGGCTCCTCGCCCTGCTGGCTTCCTTAGGCAAGCAGCAGTCAGGATTAATTTGAGTAATAGCTGCGCATCCTTGCAGGAGCTGCCACCGGTGTCCCCGAGGCCCCATATCTGATTTGGCTCGGGGCTCCCAGCGGTTCGGTTTCTAAGCCACCAGCTGTCAGCCTTAGAGCTACTCGGCCGCCCCTGCCTTCGGACGATGCCGTGGTGGGTGAGTAAAAGGAATGCCGTTCGCCTTGGACGCCGTCCCTCCCCACGGCAGAGGAAATGTGCACTGACAAGGCAGGAAATTCTCGCGAACCACAAGGACCTGGAACTTGCCTGCCGGCTTCCTGTGGGCCTTACCCGACTTTCAGCCTGGGTGTTTAAAGATTATTAATAGCGCTAGTTGCGTTAACAGGTTTATGTTTTTCTCCTTCTGTCAACGAGGTTGTTTCTTCGTGTGCGACCTGCTGGCTGGTTTTGTTCCAAGCAGCCCGGGGAGGACCCAGGAACGTGGCGATGCCTTCGAGCTAATGGGCAGCCAGGTGGGAATTTCGCCTCGTGGAAGGCTCTCGGTCACGAGTGGACAGGCTCTGAAGCCTCCTCTGCAAAACAAATAGCTCCAAACTGGGACAGGCTCAGGATTTTGTTTCACAAGGATTCCTTTTCAGCAGCGGTGCGCTTCTGGACGCAGCCACTTTCTCCTTGCTGTGGCTGCTCATTCCTGTCCCTGCACTGCTCCCTTCTCTCATCCTCTTGTAACCTCTGCATGGCTGCGGGGTGGCCCAGCAAGGGAATTGACCTCAACTTAAAAAGAAAAAAAGCACAAAATCCCCTTTTATTTTTTTTTTTTATTTCTCTTTATTTCATCTCAGTTCTCTAATCCGTATTTGAGCTGCAGAAACAAGTCTTAGAGACCATGAGGGGTGGAAATATGGAAGCTGCTTAAGCAAAAACAGCAGCTTGTGCAACTAGAGGCGAAGCTGAAGCTCTCTTTTGCCCTGCCCTTGAGTCATGAGGACCTCAAAGTGAGTTTTGGCTGCAGCAGCGAGCAAGACATATGTGTGTGGTTGGGAGTTTGTGTCCAAGGAGACAGTCTGTGTCTTCAGTGTTTGGTCACTGGGTAGAAAGCTCTGCTATTTGTTGGGCATGAAAGCTCTGCCATGGTCAACAAGCTCACAGACTGGCTCTAAGTTTGCAGGAAAAAAGGGTTGTAAGGAGACTGCAAAGTGCCAGGTTCTCTACATTTCAGAAGGAATGTGAATTTTTAAACTAAGTCCTGCATGTTCAAGGATCAGTGCTTCACTTTTTATTCTTTAAGGCATATCTTTGTGCAACGTGGCAATGTGTGCTTTGTGCAACATGGCAAAAAGGAGAAACTGGCCATCATTCTAGGCAGAGTATGGGACAAATCTGACCATGGTGCAACAGGCGACAATGTTTTGGTGGTTCAGGTTCTCCTGAACCTCCTAACATCTCTGGGGGACACATTCAGACACAGGGAAGAGCAGACCTAGTTTTTAAGTGTGCTCAGTGCTTCCTGCAAATGTGATTTCATCTTCTGCTTTCTTCTTCAGCTGCTCGTGCTTGGTGCCTACCACAACAGATCTGCAGCTGGCGTACAGGCAGCTGCTCTGCTGTGTTTGGAGGAAAGGTGAATTTTACCTAGTGAAGCAAAGGAAGGAGATTTGGGAACACTTGTGCAGCTGATAGCACACAGGATGAGGAGAGCAGGCTGTCCTCCGCAATGTCTGCACTGCCATTCACAAGGAGTTAAACAGGGCTTATGGGGTGGGCTGGTTCTCTCCTGAGCAGACTTTTTCACATGAAGAAGTACAGAGATGAGTAAGAGTTCAGCTTTGTTTATTCCAGATTTATTTTGGAGTGTAAAATGTATTGTAAACAACTTTCTTCATAGAAAAGTATGTGCATGAAGCCTGTTCTGATTTATTTTTTCTGTTGTTCAGATTTAGCCCAAAGTGGTCCTAGTTTTCCCCAAATGTTACTGCTTTTAAAAATAAGCCCAACATGTAATTTCACTTACTGTATGCCTTGTGTTTGTCACGCAGAACAATAGCCCCAGCAGAACACTAGCTCCGAACGGCCACCCTGAATCTGAGCTAGCAGTGCTTCCAGTGCAGTCAGAGCAAGAACCCTTAACCCTGAGCAACACAAACAGATCTGGGATTCCTCCCTTGGTCTGGACCCCCCAATTCCCTTTACTGGGTGCCTGGGACACGAGCTTGCTTTGTTCATCCTTCCTGTCCATTGTGTGGGGTGTGAGGAAGGGGAGATCAGAGGCATTCTTTTCTTATGATCTGGCTGAATCTCTTTTTGTTGATTTCATAATGCATGGCGGAGCAACTGGAGCTCCCTCCTGGGACCAAGCTCAACCCATCAGGCTTCCTTTCTCCTGACATCTCTGCTGACCTTCATTTCACTCTTAACTGCTCTGTCAACTCGACAGCCCCAGCGTGTTCCCTGACCTTGCAGCATCACTGCAGAAGTCTCTGAGAGTGACTGGGCAGCCTGGTGGTGGTGGACTGGCAGCACCGAGGCCTGAAGCATGTGAGTGTTCCTTAGAGGTCAGATTTTGGATCCATCTGTTGCTCGTTTCGTCCCAATTAACTGCTGAGATCAGCTAAGGTCCCACCCAATGTGATAAGGCTTAGAGCTGCAGAATACTGGAATATATCTACACGTAGCCAGTCTGCTTGTGCAGAGTGATGGCAGGTCCCTGCTCCCTGCTGGTGCCACGCTGGGGGTGCTTGTCCACCTCTCCTCCCTGGTAGGTAGTTCTGCCTCAGTCTTCCCTCTGCAGCTAACTGTGTGACACAAAGAAGAGGTCTTCTCGACCTTCCTGAGCGTTTCCCTGTCCTTCCTTGCCCTCTGCTCTCATGTTGCATTCTCCTCTCCCCAGGAAGGCAGCTCCCAGCCAGCCTTGCTTTGTCTCCGTTTGAAAAGGGTCATGCAGAGCCCCGGCAGTGCCAGGGGATCTCTCCAGTGCTGTTATTCCCATCACAGAAGTGGATGAAGGTTATTTGTGTTTCTTTTTCACCTTATTTCTCCTGGAATGTTTCTTACAAAAGTTCCTTGTTTTGCAGAATAGACGCCATCCACCTCTTCAACCACTCTCTTGGCCATCTCTTCTATTTCCATAATGTGAGCCCTCCTGTCCTGAAACCCTCCTTAGCAATGGTCAGGGTGCCTAAAAAGACCTGGACTTGTGATTTCTGTTGTCAGATGTCATGGAAAGAGAGGGTGTGACAGGTAACTCTTGGCGTGGCCCCTCCAGGAGTGCAGATCCAGCTAGCAACAAAGTGAGGATGGAACTTTAATTTCCAGGAATGGCTTTGGTAAGAAAGAGGAAAACTTATTGTGTTTAATCTTTTGTTTTTATCTAAAGATTGCAAAGCATTTTATTGGATAACACTTGACTATTTTGCATATATGGGAAAATGGGGCGCAAAGGAAAATTACTGGGGCCAGGTGTTGGCTGTTTTAGGGGGGGTAGCCTATGGAACAAGCCAGAGTCTACCACTTCTTCTGTGCCAGGTCCATGAATCCTATTTGCTTGTGTGAAAGCTGTGAATCACGCTGAAGCTTTCGCACTCCACAAGTCTAATCAGAGCTGTCCCGAGGCTAAGGGCTGAGTGCATCAGAGAGTGTTGGAGCTGAGTGAAAACATTAAAGAGGAAGAGAGGTGGGTGGCTGCTTCTCTTGTGTGTTTTCCTCTAGCCAGACTTAGACTTGTGTGATCTCCTTGATTCCTGTGGGTGAGTCTTGTCTTACACTGCTGTACGTGAAAGGAGGGCTGGATCCCGTACTGGGACTGCTGAACAGTCCCCAGGGCTGCCAGTCCTGCACACTTTTAGGCCTCCTGCCTATAATTGCCTCTCAGGGATAATATTACCCACACTGTGTGGTACAGAAGATCTTGTGAATGTGTTGCAGTGCCTGCACCAAACACCCACCTCCTGCACAGTGCAGATCCGAACCCTGGGGCTTCTCCAGAATCCCACAACATCTTTGCCCTCTTTGGTCCATGTAGAAGTTCAGGAGCAAGTGAACTCTGAGCACGTCACCTTGGCTCTGTCTGAAACCAATAGCTGGGACCTGTGGGACAAACTGGACAGCAGGAGCTCAGTCTTTTCCTGTTCTGTTGGCTGTGTGGAAAGGAAACCTTTATCCTGCCACGGCAGGCTTTGCATGGCTGGCGAGATGCGTGTGGACCGGGAAATCGCATTCCTCTAACGCATCGAGGACGGGTGGTTGGTGCCAGAAGCAGGATGCTGGGTTTATCAGGCCACTGGGCTGACTCTGGACAACAATCCCTGTGTTCCCCAGCCTGACCGATCAGTGAAATCTTTTGTCTGATCTCAGCACTGCTTTTAGCAGCTGGCTGCGGGGAGAAGGGAGGAACGGCCTCCTGCAGAGCCGGGCCCTACAAAGCAGCCTGTGTGGGATGGAGGGTCCCCTGCTCGAAGGGGGGTGCGTGTGTGTGTGTGTGTGCACGCGTGCAGCGGGGGGAGCACTTCTGGCAAGCACTGAGCTTGTCCAAATAAACAAAGGCTAAAAACAGCCCGGCCTCGGCCTCTTGAGAAACCCTGCAGCAGATGTTGCCAGTGACTGTAGGGCCTTGTTGGGAATCCCATGGATAATCATTGACAGCAGGGAAACACATGGCAGCGTACGGCAAGGCAGAGAGGGCCCTCTTTGTTCGCTGAAATCACTGGAATATCTGTCTTGTCAGGGCTGGTGAAAAGGCAGGGCCTGGTTCAGGCCCTGAGTGAGGAGCGAGCGGAGCTGCCTTCGCTCTTGGCTCGCTCGGACGCTTGCTGTGTGGCCCTGAGCAAGTTGCCTCCTTCCTCTCTGGTTCCTCCTGTTGCACTCTGAGGTCAGTGATAGAAAGCTGCTTCCCCGGGGGGGTTGTGGCCAAGCTTTTCAACTTTGCAAGGTGCTTTGTGGCTGGGAAGCACCGTGCGCACAATTGGTAAATGTTCAACACTGGCGTACCATTCACACGCGGCTCAAAAGAGGAGCAAGGCTGAGAAGTCCGGCTGAAAGGCCAGCTGGTTACAAGGCTGCTTGTTTTGCCACCAGTGAAAATGAGAAATGAAGCAAGGAGAAAAGAGGCCGGCTGGGTACCATGAGAGATCAGACTGGAACACGCTTGGACTCTCTTCCATGAAATGCTTTTCCCTCTTTTTGCTGCACTGTGAGTTTGTTTTTTTGGCTCTGCTACTCGGTGATTTGTGTTCCCCCCTGGGTCTGTGTGCAGTACCCACATCAGTCCCGTCACACCTGAACACCACCTAGCAGCCTGGTCGGTGTCAAGGTCTTCTAACCGTTGTCTGAAATGATGTTTTATGGGTTGGGGGCATCCCCAGGGACACAGCAAAGCCTTTTGTGTGAGAGAGGAGAGAGAAAGCAGATGTGAATCGGTGTGTTAGTGGAAATTTCTTACAGGGGGCGTCCACAAAGAAGGAACATGGACAGGTGCTGCTGTAAAAATACACAGCTGCACATCTGGGCCTCAGAAACACAACAAGCTGGCACCAGCACCTTTCTCAAAACAGGCTTTTCTCTTCTGCTTCATTTTTTATTCCTTCTTGATGCTTTTCCAGCCTCCCTCACAGGAGCTTATAATCTGTCTACTTTATCATTTATCATGCCTTCTAGGCTCAGACTCGCCGCAACTCACACCCCTCTGAATGAAGCAGCAGCAGATTGTTCCCATCTGATCCCATTCCTGCTAATGCTGAGAAGTTATAATCAAGATAAAAAGTCACATAAGTGGTAAACATGCCAAGAAGCACCAAAATGAGAGCGTGTGGAGCTAAGGAGAAAAGACAGGACTGTTTCATGTGATTGGCAGTCAAGCTAGGAGTATGTGGTGGGAATTACCTCCTGTACCAGTTTCACCATGGCATGGTGTTGTCTTCTGAGGTCTTGTGATTGATCTCAGCAGATGTGAAAGGATGCTCAGAGTCTGCCTGCTCAGTGTGAAAGTCAGTGATTGAGTGATTCTTCACAAGCTGCTTGTCTAGCATCAACAGAGTGATACATCACAAGTCTGAGAATACCCGAAATCAGTGGCTGCTGGTGAGAATGTAGGGTTTGGGTCAAGTCTTGTCTTCACTGTTGCTTGCCATGTCACCCTGAAAATAGTTGTTTCTCTCTTGTCTGTGAAAAGGGGGGCACTTACTGCTTTTGGACAGTGCATTGAGAGCTTGGATATGGCTGTTTCATGTTTTTTGGAAAGCCTGGCAGCCCCCTTTAGCTGGGTAGTGCTGGTCACAGAAATCCATCGGTCAGAGACGTGGGGTTAGTGCAGTGGGAGCTAGGCCCCTTGGGTGGAAAGTCAAATAGGTGCTACTTTTCTAAATACCCGAACCTTGGAGTTGACAAGGGAACTGTAGGAAAGTGACTGATTCTGCAGAAAATCCTTTTCTTCTCTGACTTCTCACACAAGTTTTTATTGATCAGATCTGAATGACTTCGGTAGTGCAAATAGGCTCCCGCAGTTCTTGGGCATTTTAGAAAGCCTCAATGGTGCCTGCTTGTAAACTCTATTCATACAGAAGTGCATCAGCAAACAGCCCTTTCTGGTTCTCCCACAACACAAACCTTTCTTCTCATAAAGGAGGAATAGAAACTAACTGATTATCTCCTTACCTGCTGTGGTCACGTTACACCACAGATCTGTCGATTCAAGCAAGTTATTCTTTATTTACATTAACCCAAGCCACAACTGGCCTACAAAACCTACAATATGTTTTTTTTCTGCTAGATCTCCTGCTGTCCTGGTTGTCCCAGTGACTGGTTAGAAGCTTTTCTGGTGGGGTGCTGGGGAGGAGAGATATCACTCCAGAGCAACCCGTGTTTTGAAATATCTTGGCTCTGGTTTGCCTCGGAAGGTTATAAATACTGTTCCCAGGACAAACATTCTCCATGTCTGAGAGCTAATGAGCCAAACAGCTGCTCTGAGGCTATCCACCTCTGACACCAGTAAACACTAAGCCATGTGAAAAAGATTTTAACGTGCCCAGACGCTCCGATATAAGAGGTTGTGTGTGTGTCTAGAACGAAGCTTTCTTGCCATATCCATTTTGCACCTTCAAAGGAAAAGCCCTTGACTGACCATCCTCGACACCTGTAACCATCAGAACAAAACCAGCACAGACCATAATCTCTTGGACACCGGTGCAAATCCAGCTGTTTTCAATAAAGTGCACTGTGTTTACGGAAGGAAGAGAGCATAAAGTGTCACAAACATCTCTCTTAGGAAAGTATGCGCTTTTTGTAAGGGGCCGTCTGAAATGTGCCCCATGCAGATGGTATTCACCGATATCCTCTGTCTGTCTGAGCAGCTTCAGGTCCAAAGCACCAGTAAATCCACTTTAACTGGCTGACTAAACTGGGCTTATGGCTGCTTTGCACCACCAGAGCAATGAAAGGTGTCCTGGCTCATGCTGACGCATCTGAGCTAAAGCATAAAAGAATTTGTAAACAGGATCTGGGAAGCGTTTGAAGAATCAAATAACTTTGTCTGTAAATTTATATCAACACAACACAACTGTCCAGGATTCGCTTCAGAAGTGGCATAAACAGGAGCCTTAACCATATGTCAAACCCAAATTGGTCAGAAAAAATGTGCAGGTGATGTTACGGTCTGTCTTGAAGTCCTGAGGAGCTGGACGAGTGTGCAAGTGTGAACATTTTGTGTAGAAATTTCTGCTTCTCAGCCATGCAGAATCACCAGGCCTTAATTCCAAGACTTTTTCCCATTAGATGCTTTCCATCTCCCAGATTCCAACCAGTGGCAAACCTGGCCCGCTGAAAATAAGCTACATGCAGTTGCAACTAACTGTACATAACCAGATCCAGGAGAGCAAGAGCTTTGTTATCGGGTGGATCTCAAAACTGCATCTGATTCTGGTTTCAGCAGTAGCTGCATAAGCCCAGAAGAAGCTCCTTTGACTCTGCCTGAGTTCCTGGCACCAGTGGGAGCAGCAACAGTTGTATTCAGGGGCACCCATTCCTGATCCGGGGCTGTGGGAACCATTCTTTCTGCCTCATGCCTGAGTCATGTTGACTTAAACCCAGATGACTTTTCAGTTCAGGCGGTGTCAAGGCAAAGTTGTGAACGGGACCTTTTCATTCATGTTCCCAGTAAGCATGTATCTTCTTAAAATGAAAAAAAAATAAACTAGGTCAGTTGAGCGCATGAAATAGTTCTGTCTCTCTTGTTCTGGGCTTTAAAAAATGTCCCAGTTGCTTAAGTGAAAATTGCTGTGACTTAGAGAAATGCGTCCCAAGGCTCCTCGTTTCTTTGTCTGCCTGTCATTAATCTTTGTAAAAGTCTTTCTCTAAGAAATTTACTTGGTCAGTTTGCTTTTAGTAACTCGGGGTTGGATGCTGATCGTAGTTCCTCTGCTCTCATCTGGCATTAGTCTGGTGAAGTAAGTGGAGTGACTCAGGATTTATAGCTGTGTAAATGGGAGCAGAGGCGATCATCTCAAACCTGCTTGGTTCTTTAGCATCTGGAGATCATCATATATTTATTAAAAAACAGAAAACAAACATCTAGTGATAACTGCTCTTTGAATCCCAGTCTTGACATTCTGTCTAACAGGGAGATGGGGTAAGGGTGGGAAGAGAACAAAAGCAGTGGGGGGTAAAGGAATTAAGAAATCTGGCCTTCATATGCTCATAGACATGGGCAGGATACATTCCTATTCTGGGTTTTCTGTGCTTCTGACCCCTTGGATTCAAGGGAATTGCTTCTGATTTACACCCATTTGAGTGGAACAGAATCATTCCCTTTCCTTCAGCAAAACAAACATTTGTTACTTGGAAAGAAAAACAGAGGAATCTCAAAATGTGACCCACAGCTGAGCGGAAATTCTCAGTAACGCAAGAATTTGGGTTTTTCTAGTTTGTAAACAAAGAAGGAGGGAGTGTGTTGATGGATGCCATGGGGACTGCAGCGGGACAGTTCATGGGGCTGTGTAACCAGCAGTCATCCTACCACGGGCACAGCGGTTCCAGCGAGGTGCTGCAGGTATGGGGAGGAGCAGGATGCTCCAACAGAGGTGGGCTTTGAGCTCTGGGAATGCAGACAGCAGCTTCTCTGCTGGCTCTGAGCCCCCAGTCAGGCCACAACCTTGATCATACAGCCCCAGCTGCTAGAAGAAATGGAGCTCCAGTGCTGAACTGAAGGTAGGCAGGGGTCTAAAGATGCAGACAAATGCTTAGGGTAATTTCCAAAAGCACCCTAGCAGCTTGAGTGCCAAAAGCCTTAGGGGAATTGAAGTGAGATCCTCAACTGGTGGAAACTGGTGTAGCTCCTCCCAGGGCTGACCTCTGATCAGTCTTTGGTAGCTTTCTCCAGGTCCAAGGTTCCCACAGCTCTCATAAATATACTCCACGTTCACCTATACTGAACGGTTTTGCCTTGCTTCCCCTCCATAAATACACCAGCACCATTTTGAAATGCCAGCTTAACCTGAGCTGAGCTGCAGAGCTCCCTGACTCAGGGGCTGTCAGCCAGGTATGGAGAACCCAGCACAGCTTCCACCAAGAGAAAAGAAATACACATGCACATTCACACGCACACTGCTTGCTTAGCACACTCCATTAAACTCAGCATGAACCCCGGGCCCAGCCGTAACCCATGATATTTATGAATATCTTCCTGTAAAGGACGTGGAAGAAGAATACAGCTGCTGTGGAGCCCCTACCCTCCCTCCCCTTAGCTCATATCTCACACGTGTAATCTCAGCACTGGTCCATGTAGCTGGGGCTGGCAGAGCAGGGTCAGCTCCTGGCTGCTTCTCCATTCTGTGTAGAAAATGAGAGAACAGGAGAAATGCTTTTGCCCTTCATCCCACGGCCTGGGGAAGGCCCAAATCCCACTAGCAGCATATCAGTAGGACTTCCCCACTGAAGCCTGGCTCCAGCAGGGGCTGCAGCCGTGCTAGCTGCTGGCCTGGGAGGTGTTGCTGCCTCTGCACAAAGCAGGGGGAGATGTGTGGCCGGACCTGCTGCAGCCCCCAGCAGGATGCTCTCTTTTCTAGCAGCAGAGGCTGCGGCACAGAGGCTGCTATAGGGCTGTTGTTGTCCAATGCCTTCGGCATCCTTCCCTGAGAAAAGGGCAAGCGTACGATGCTGAGGAAGAGTTGTTACGACTTACCAGTCTGCATGACACAAATATGCTTCTTGCAGTTTAATTTTACAGTATCCTGAGGAGGGAGTGTGAAGAAACTCGGGGATTAATGGTTGCTGACTGTTCTTACTTCAGCTCTGCAGGTGCCATCCCAAATCCCGAGGTTTGCACTGCCCAATTTGCTCTTTCCTGGGGCAGAACAACCCAGGGGGCTCCCAGATTAGGAGCCCATGTCCTGTACGTGGAACAGGGTGCCCAGGAGCCCCAGCTGCAGATGTGTCTCTTGGGGCATAGAAAGGACCTGGTTCTGATCTTGTGTTTAGGAGAGGCTTGAGTGGTACAGAGACCGTGCTGAGGTGGTGGTGGTGCTGAAGAGATCAGGACCAGACCTGTTGTCCCCTTGTAGCTTCCCTCTGCCAGGAACCGATGGGAGATGTTGCAGGAATGTGCGAACAGGAACACCCACGTTCATAAAGGAGCTCAACCACCACCAAATAAAACCATCAGCCTTGCAAGAAGATGGGAGTTGCCAAACCCTGACCTCATTTAGCGGCCTCATCTGAGAGACTCCAGTGACAAGATTATTTTAAGGTGCCTTTTCCTGCACTGCTGTGTCCTGCCTCCCAGCTACAAGGCAGCCTGCCCGTGCCAAGCATGCTGTGACCGTGTCCCACCCTGCTGCTTCCCTGCCGTGCCACTCACCTGCCTCAAGGGTATTCACAGGGCATGACAACTGCAGGAGGCAGCTCAAGGAGACAGAAAACCCTTTCATAGCATCTCCTTCCCATCCCTGCTGTGCCCCACGTCACTTAGGAGTCACTGGCACAGATCAAGGGCTCTCCCTTTTGTCTGGTAAGTCACTGCATGGAAGGCTTGGAACAAGCCTCTGCAGGGGCAGTGATGGGGTAGCACTAAAGGGTCTGCTCCTTTTGAATGAGCTGCAAAGAGCTTCCCAACTGTCCAATTAAAATAACCCTGGGACAAAAATAGGATGAGAGAGTGCTACTTTAAAAACAAAGCAATTAAGCAAAGCCTATCCCTTCCCCTTCCCGGAGGCTCCTATGGAAGTGGCAGCTTTTGAGCCAGAAATCACTGCTGGGTTGGGTATTTCTGGCATTCGAACCCAAGGCAAGCGATGACCTCCCAGTGCTGGCTCTGGAGGAGAGGCTGCACCGAGCGATGGCAGCAGATGAGACCAGGCTTGCAGGCACTGACACGTCTCCCCTCAAGGCTAATCTTGCCATAGCCTGTGGAAGAGCAGAAATAAGATTGTGAGTGTGGGAAAGAGCCGAGCAGATGTTGGCACGAGCTGCACCAGCAGCCAGCCAAGCCTGGTGGGGGGCCGTGCAGCAAGCACCATGTCGGGCCTTGAGATGGCAAAGGGAGAATGGGTTTGGTCTTGGGCTCACGGATTTGGGTCTAACAGCAGGTCCCTGAAATCTGGTGCATGGCTGTGGGACCCCTGGCAGGTGAGGGTGAGGCTGCCTGCCTGCTGTTAGCAGCACTCCTACCAGGGATCCTCGCATTGCAGGTTAAAGACCAGCTGCTGCTGCTGAGAACACACACGGCCAGGAGCTGAGCAGTTGTGTTTGGAGTGTAAAAGCCTTGCTGATCACAACAGGGCTGCTATAAATGTGCTTCTCTATCTCAGAACTCTTTGCTTGAGCTGCAGGATGACTGTCCTTAAAGTTACACTCAAAATGCCCAGGGAATGAGTGCTGGGTACATAACTTCAGAAGTTCATCCTGCAGGGCACACGGCACTTGAGCCCCGCTGCCAGCTGAAATCATTCTCGGGTGAAACCAGGGGCTAACATAATCACTGCGGTTGTCACAGGAATGCCAGGGGTAAACTTCTGGCTTCGGTTACATCAGCGCAGCACCAAATTAACCTCCTGCTTCTGTTCCTGAGGTCCCTTTGTTGCGGGTGATTTTCCTGCCACAACATTCTTCCTTTCAACTCTTATTTTAGCTCATGTGAAGGATGAAAGAGGGTCTTGCAGCCTGGTCATGAGGCTGGTTCTTTGGGATTCCCTCTTGCCTCAGCACTGCCTGGGCTCTTCCCTTGCCTCTTTGAGTGGTGTCCCTTTGAAACATACCTAGGGCTTAAAATAGTCTCGCAAGCTCTTCCCCGTGCTCATTCTGGAAAAGCGAATAGCCTTTGTGCCAGCATGGGAATTTGTCTGATTCCTTTTGTTTCTCCAAGCTCTGGTCACAGGATAGCAATACAGACTAAGCTGACATATTATTCTGAGAAGAATTTGAAAAGCTGGAAATAATTTTGTTCCCTTTGTTCTAGGAAAGGGATCCACATGGCTCTGCCAGCCCTCCTTGTTCGGGGCAGAATGAACGGGTTGCGAGGCTTGCTGGCGTTCGAGCCGCGTCCTGGCCCTTGCTGTTTCCTCTGGAGGAAGATGAGCACAGCAGAGGAGGAACAAACTTCACCAGTCAAGGGGGCTTGCACAGGGACAGCATGTTTCAGTGCTTTAGCAGAAAGGCAGTGGCATTGGTGAGTCTGTGCAGTCGGTTATTTATTTCCCCACGTGGAACATCAGGGACAAATAGAGCTCTGATGGTTAATGCCAGAGTTGAGAACATTTCTGTGGTTTTTGAAGGTGTTGAGTGCCAAGTGGCCAAGAGCTGCCCTGGCAGGAAAACTCTTTTTTCCTTACCTCCCTGAAACACAGCCAGGCTCCATCGTTTTCATTTTTCCTATCCCCCTTTTTTTGAGGTCAGGAAACTTTGGGCTCAAAATTTTAATAATTTTAGAATCCCCAATAGCTGTTTTTTAACAAAGCCTCTTGACCTAACAGATTGGCCTATCTCTGCCAGGCAGGTCATTAATTTCCAGTCTAATGCACCAGGGAGAACATTGTGAAATGACTGCATAAAGAGGCATTAGAGTAAAGATGATTCGGGGCTATTTGCCTGGCAAAGAAACGGAACTAGCTACGGCTTTTCTTTTACCTGACTCATGACTGTATTGCAGGGGTCAGATTGGAAAAACAAGTGGACATTATTCACCTACAGCCTGCTTTCAGACCCATCTCTGTGCACCTCTGATGCCAGAATGACATCACGCTTCTGGGGGGGAAACAATTTAAACTATAGAGATGAAAATTACTGGTTTCAATGACTTCCTTAAAAAAATAGCAACAACAACAACAGACTGGGGCTTTGTAAAACTGCTTTGAAAGTGGCTGTTGCTGCATCTCTGGTGTAAAATGGTAAAACCTCTGAGTAGTCCATCAGGGTGGTTGTTTTACCATCAACAGAGTATTTCAAAGGTTATGGCAAAAGCCATACTGCATAAAAAGGCTCTGAACTTAAAGGGCTTTAAGCAGGTTTGTAACAGTAATGCTGCTGTGCCTATACATAAAAGGGTATGAAAAATGCAGCATTTGTAGGCAGAACTAATAGCGTTTCACTGCTAGCTAATAAAACTGTCACCTCTAAATACAACAAGGGGGATTCTACCATTACACGAGTTTCTGGGGAAGGAGCTAGGGGACAATTGTTTGGGACAGGGGGCTAGGGGAGGGGAGAAGCAGCAGGTTGTGCTGAGAAGCAGCAGGCACCATGCAACATGCCAGCAAGTAGAGGGTGAGCACTGCATGGCACTGGCTCTGCTCCCATCAAAGCTCCACTTTCTGCAGGTTGCAGCCTGCTGAAAAACGTCATCTTCCTCAGCTTGTGTAAGCTCAGGCTGTCTGAAGGCAGCGATGGCTGCAAATACAGCCTCTTTCCTTATCTTTTTTTTTGGGTAAAATTATGTCATTTTTTTTATAACAAGTCTCTTCATGAAGCTTTCAACTCGTGTCTTTTTTAAACATTTGTGATAGGAAATTTCTAAAAAATCTACTAGTGAGAAAACAAATGAAAAAAAACAAAACAAAACACAATTGTGACAGACCGACCTCACTGATGTGTGACTGTGAGGAAAGTAAAGAATTAGGAACATGTAAGTGAAAGTCTGACACCACAATTCACAACTTATTTTGCATCACTGTGTCAGCTCTAACTTACTGCAGGCTCTGCAAATCTTTGGAGGAAGATCAAGTTCTGTAATTAGCAGTGAAATAGTTGGCTTAGAGCTAATTGAAAGGTGTCTGCATTCCAAGGCTAACACTCCCTTCAGCTGGGAGAAGTCTCTGCCTCTCTCAAGGTGCGAGACTTGTGTTAACGCTGGCTCACAATTACAGCCCCAAGGGCTAGAAAGCTAATTAGGCTTGGTGCTGGGATTCATTTCTGCCATGCAGGGACAGGCTGGGGGGAGCCCTGCCGGGCCTGAACTTGCAGACCCCACTGACCCCGTGCCTCTGAAGCCTGCCCCTCTTCTGCATTGGGATCAGTTACGAGAGAAACCAAAATAACCCAAGGGTCCCCTCCAACCTAAACTGTTCAGCGATTCCCTATAACAGGCTGGAGCTTTTCCAAAGGGAGAAGGGGCAGGATCCTACTGGAATCCCAACCCCTGCCAGGAGGCACAGGCCCACAGGCCGCTCACCCCATCAGACCCTTCCTCAGGGGCCTGTGGCCGCCTGTTGGGCTGGGTGAGGTGGGCGGCTGGGGGAGATTTGGGGAGACCCCTTCAGTTCAGAAGAGCTGATCTGAGGGGACAAGTCCTGGGTTTTCAGGGCAGAGATCCCTGGAGCTGAGGTGATGCCAGAGCCCTTAGTGACCGTGCTCACTGCACAGTCAGGGGGTTGCAGGGCCGGTGATTAATGCAGTAGCCAAAAAATAGAGACCTCTTTAGCACCCTCTCTTTCATAAGCCCTATTATCTTGAGCAAGTCCTTTTGTGCCCCATCTGTAGGATTCCAGTGAGGACCAAATCCTATAAGGACGTAGTGCTCCTCAGGTATGTCAGAGGTGTGCACCGCAGAAGTCCTCTAGACCAAAAGGCCTCCTTAAATGAGCCTGCCTGAGTCTGCCTTAACTATACCCTCCCTCCCTGCATTTTTCCTTCAGGATAATTAAGCATGCAGTAAGTTAAGAAGTGGAAAAACCCCAGGAAGCATCTCTTTCACAGGTGGGTGCAGCTGACTCTTTCCTCCTGCGGATCTGTGCAAGCCAAAAGCCTGGGCACAAACACCCCTGGCCATGGCTGTGGTTCACAACCGTACCCAAATTTCACAGGCAGCAGGGGTCTCAGAAGATAACTGGTTAATTCGCTACCTGGTGGAGACCTGTGCTTGCCTGCAGGTGATGGATATGTTGTTGTTGCACCCTGCCAAAACCAGGGCATGGCACGATTGCCCTGGGCTTTGCATTGCCTGTGAGGTCTGGTTTTCTTGGCGGACCATTGACCGTGTTTTTGGGCCCTGGGGCACTGCCTGTACCAGCACACCGTGGTGCTGAGCTTGTCCTGGTGCCCACACTGCCTCTGGGTTTGGGCTGCAGCCACAGCCAGGGCCAGAGCAGCCCAGGTTGGGCAGCGAGGCTGCAGCAGGGCTGCCCGTCCTACCAGGGGCTCTAGTCCAGGGCCTCGTCCTTCTGCCCTCCTGGATGAAGGGAGATGTCCTCTGCTCACAGCTGTAGCTAGCAAAAGCTTCACCCCTTCTGTAGCCATGATCCTTCAAGGAAAATAAAATACGGTAATGTTTGGGAAAGTGTTTTTTTTTTGCCATGTGTACAGCAGGTTGCAGCCGGCCGGGAGGCAGAGCACACAAGCTGGACAGAGGAGCCCTCGTTTCAGGATCCTGATCATTATTTGCATTATTTGGGTGAAATCCTCCAGCCTGTGTTATGCAAGAAGTCGGGTCAGCTAGCTGCGGTGGTCCTAGCTGGCCTGAGAGCCTCCCAGCTGGCTGTGTCCTGCGTCGGGGCGAAAGGCCAGATTTCTCACAAGAGCAGAAATGGGGCAAAAGGGAGGGAGAGGAATGTCAAGTGCTCTGATTCAAACCCAAGGCCTGCTTTTCTTTTCTTTCTAAGAGCTCAATGCCTGTGGTATGCTGCTGTGGGGTGACTTCTCGTTGCAGTTACGTCCTTAAGGTGGTGACTTTCTTACTCTTCACCTGTTTTGAAGCAGGTGAGCAGTGGGGTCTGGCTAATGGTGTTATGCATCGATCGATGGGGTTCAGTGTCATTCCTGGTAGCCCCCTGGGTACCCCTGTTTTTGTGCTCCGTGGTAAGCTGCAGAGGTGGCTATGTGCCTCCTGCTGTGATCAGGCTTCAGGGGGGCTTTTTGTCTGGCAAGCTCTGTACCTAAGCACCGTCTCTTTCCGAACTTGTGATGCCAAGGGGGTTTTTATATATTTACTTGCTTTATAAGGACACTGAGAGGCACTCCACCCATCCCAAGTTTTGTGACCTTTAGTAGGCTTTGATTTCGGAGTAAATCCTCAAATACAAAGGAGTGTTCCTCCCAGCACTAAAATAGCTGGAGACTTTATCAGTGAACTCTGCAGCCAGGGACAAAGTTTGTGCTGTGCTCGGCTCCCATAGAAGATGGGCACAACAGCATGCCCTCAGGCCAAAGGATCTGGCAGGGGAGGCTGAGAGGGGAATCCTAGCCCTGCAGAAGCCACAGGGTGTTGCCTGTGCGGTTGGGATCTCATCCCACGGCTGTGCTGAAGCAGGGAGGGAAGGCTTTTCCTGCCCTTTCCATCCTTGGGGCAGGGTAGCCTTTCCCACCCAGGCTGGAGTCGGACGTGCTGCAGCATTTAGCCTTTCCTGAGCTCTGGTGCTGCCTTCGTGTGCTGCTTTCTCGTGATAATTCACACTGACATCGTGGTACAGTTGATGCATATGGAGCAAAGGAGCTGGATGGGGCCATCAGAAGGCAGCTCAGGAGCTTTGGTCTTCCTCCACTGATTATAAGAAGAGCCTAGAGAGATTAAACTTCTCTTGTAGATGCCTTAATTAAGTGTGGAAGGATTAGGTGGCATGAATCTGATCCCAAATGTCTCTCTAGGCTGGGGCTGAAATAGCACTGAAATTGAACTGCAATGCAGGGCTGGAAGGGACCACGTCAGCCAACAGGTCTCAGGGGGCCATGTGCAGCCCAAAAGCATTCAGAGATGGCTCATCCTGTCCCACAGCATGCAGACCTGCAGAACTCCCAAACCTTGCAGCAAATTTAGGGCTTTGACAAATGTTGATGAATTCGGGGGCTATAATCAGTAATATGCCACAGGTGGAGAAATTATCAGGCAGAAGGCAGGAACAAGTGCCCAGCCAATCCTAGGACATGCATTTTTATCCCCAGAGTACAGAAGAAGGCAAAAACCCCAGGGACATGACTCCTCCGTGGTCCCAGATCAGGCAATCTCTTTAAGCTGACCATGTGAGCAGGATGCATCAAGCTGGCACCAGTGGCTGGGTATTGAACAATGAAATGAAATTTGTGTGTTTCAGGCCATCTCGTCAGATGAATCTCACCATCTCTGCTAGGCCAAATTTGTTTGACTGAGCTTCAGTGAGGCTGGTAATGTTAAGAGGGCCAAGGCAGAGCGATTGCCTGTGATCCACTCCATCAGTGGCTTATGCTCGGACCAGCCAGCCATGAGAATAGAAACCGTCCTGGAAGGAGCAGTCCTGAGAGCCACCAGTGTGTCCTATGGGTGGCTGAAGGCTGGGAGGCAGGGGACAATTCTGGGGACTGGGTGAGCACCATGCCCTTTGCTGTGCTGCTTGCTCTGGTTTTTTATTTTGGTTTCTGCAGGGAGAGTGACACTGGGAGAGATCAGAGCAAAAAAAAATCTGCATGTTTGCCCTAATTTTATTCTTTAAGCTTATGTGATGTTTAGCAATTATCTAAATGTCATCCTCTTTAATTACCGTGAATTCAGGAGAGCCACTGGCTGGGCAGGGTGAGTGAGCCCAGAGTGTAACAAGGTGAATTAAACACCCAGTATTCTTTGCTCGGGGGAGATTTTAAGCAGGGTTGACATCTTCATCCCTTCACCTGAAGCAGCTCATGCAAAAAGAAGAGCTGGAAATCGGTGTTAGCTTGGGTGTTTTCTCCCTTTGATCATTCGGAGTCACTCAGCCCTCGTGTTCTTCTCTTGGCTCCTGGCAGGTGACATCCTCACTGGGGTGAGCAGTTCAGCTGCTAGCACCAGGGCGAGCTTGGGTTGTCCCAGTGCCCTAAGAAAGCACTGGGCCATGAGCACAGGATGCTCCCAGGGATCTCCAGCTAACATTGTCTGTGCCCTGCTGCTCCCTGACCTTTTTTTCATCTTACAGTCAAAAGGTACCTTGGTGTTAGACTTGGTCTGGGCTCTGAGAGGCAACGTGGGCTTCTCCATCCCCAGAAATCCTCATTGGGAGGGTTCTGGCACTGTGCCTGGCGCTTTGCAGTGAAGAGCCTGGGGCAAGGTGTTGGTTCTGTAACCCTCTAAAGGACCACGGGTGTTCTGCCCTCATCTCTGAGCAGGGACGGGCACAGCAGGCTGGCTATGGCAGGGCTAAGGTGGCTTGAAGGCGGAGCAGGACTGCAGCTCAGGACTGTTCGCTTTTGTTACCGTCCTGGGAAAGTGAAAGCAGTCAGGTGGATGATGATGAGGGGCTTGGTAAGGGCGTTTTATAATCGAATTATTCTTTATTTTTGTTGTAGGTTGGAAACTTAATCTGCCATTGTATTGTTGGTCCAGTGCTGAGTATTCTCCTCGAAGCTCCTGACAGGTGAGTGACTATTACGGCTTTGCTCAAACAGTTCATTCGAGGTCATGCAGCAGGTTTATGTCCCGAGCAGAATTTGGAAAATCCCAGCTCAAGGTGAAACTGTTGCTTCTTGGGCGAGGAGCAATATATGGATCAATCTATACATTAAGCACTGTTCCTTCAAAAATGCTCAAATATAACACCTTCAAGTGCCCCGTACCGCTTGGAGTTCAGCTGTGGTTAATGTTCTTGCCGTGTGAGATGAGAACAGAGGTGTGTAGCACTTTATCCCTGTCTTATTTATGAGCTGTGGGAGAACATCTTGCAAAATGTGAGCAGCTAATTTTAGGCAGCAACATAGTTTAAGGTGCCAAGCCTTCCAAAAAGGGAAGGAATGTATATCCAGCTAGACAGCCTTTAGCTCCGAGCTGCTCTAGGGCACTGGACATTTCCGTGCCCCCAGGACATTAAATCTCCTGTGTTCAGACATTATCTTTAGTTGTGATGTGAGAGGTAGCTGTTAGGGAGGTGGTTGTGAAATCCCTCGTCTTACAGAAGAGGAAAAGGAGGTGCATCCGAGGTGCTTTGCACCCTGCTAATGCTTTCCAGCCCCAAATCCCCAGGAGCTTTCCAAGTGTTAATTAATTAAGAGTCAGAGTTGTCTGATTTCAGCAGTGGACAAACAGCAGCATAGGGAGTGGGGAAGCTGAGCTGATTTGCAGAGAGACCTAAAGGGACTGGAAAAAAACGCAGGGCTCGACTGCCAGCTAACATGCCCTATACATGGAGGGGGGGAAGAAGGAGGCTGAATGTATACATGCAGGACCTGCTACACGGTCCCTGTAGTTTTCTTTGTCTTCTGTCCTACTTCCCAGCACACTCTGCTTGGACGTGGCAGGGACTCTGTGGCACAGCACATTCTGTGTATGCTCCTGCCCTCTGCTTTATGTTGGCCCAAAGTAAGCCAGTACGCAGTTCTGGCATCACTTCTACCCTGGGAAGGTCCCTGAGCCAGAGGCACAACTCCATCTTTTAAGGCTTCTCCGTGGGCAGTGCAAGGATCCCTGTCCGGTACCCAACCTGCTCTGTCCCATCCCAGGCCAGCGAGGACTAAGAGTGCCCTCTGCTGCACTCCTTCTCCTCGTCTTTTCATGGCAGCGTTGTGCTTGCTATTTGAGAATAAACAAACCAACTGTTTGGTACACAGAGCAGCTCTTTCATATTCTAAAGGTCTTTTTGTGCAGGTGCTGCAGGAGCCAGGTTCTGTATTTCAGCAGCAAACGGAAAGGATCATGCCCTGAGATAAGACTGTGTGCTATCCCGCATCAGTCCTGAGGTGCAAATAAAGTGCTACAGGCAACTGCTGGCCTTTATCAACAACCTTCACCCCGTAGCTTTTCATTGCCTCGTAAAACAAACTGCTCCTCGCTGCAGGAGTCCAGACATCTGTCTTCATGGTCATGAAGCTTTCATTTCTCGGAGCTGGTGGCAGCAAGCGCTGGTGATGCGCAGTCAGATGTGGTACCTACTTGCTGCTCACAGCGCTGAAGTTTCCATCTCTCCCTCCTGTTCAAAGGGGAAAAAAGAAATGTGAGCCTTAAAGCTGGCCTTATTCAAGTTCCCAGCTCTTGCAGCCAAAAAAAGAATGGGTGAAAGTAGGGGAAGGAGGGGGGAGCTCAGGAAAGCTGTCCCAGGCTTCATACTTCTGGAGTTAGAGGGATAAATTAAAAAATAATAACCCTGCTTTTACTGGGATGTGATTTACCCATGTGGAAAGTAACCGATCCGCAGGCTCCGCCGGCAGCCCCGTAACTGCCAGGGCCACAGGAATCTGCTCGTGTTCCCTGGAATTTGGACATTTTTTGTTGCACCCATTTCGGGTTGCTTTCCAGATTGTCACTCAAGCGCAGGGCACGCCCCCTCCAGGAGGCTATTTAAAGAGAAGCTGATGTGCAACTTTCTCCAAAGAGAGACGAGAAACTCCGAAGGAGAAGGGAGTGAGAGTGAGCGACTCAGCCGGCAGCCCGAACCCCCTCCCTTGACTCGGGATGTCCGGCAGCATGGGGACGGTGACCTGGACCCTGTTCCTCCTCCTCCTCGCACCTGGCTGGGTACGTATCGCCCTGCAGCCGCTCCGTTTGCTCTCTGGGCATTGCAGCTTCTTGCTTCGATGCGTGTGAGCACTTCATGCTGAGTACCCCTCTGCAGCTGCCACCTGCCTCCGGAGCTTTCCCGGAGCGTGGCTGTGCAAACGCGCAGCACAAATCATCGCTCTCAGGGCTGCCCCGTGCGTAACGCCCGGCACCTCGGGATCTCTGAGCTCCTGGCAAACGAGGGTGGGTTTTGTTTTGCTTCACTCCCCGGAGCTAGAAGCCAGCCCTGGTTTACAAGAGGGAAGGATTGAAATGAGAGAGGTGAGATCGCTGGGTTTACAGCACTGCAAGGAATAGCCTCATCCCCGTTTCTTACCGTCATCATCCTCCCCCAGCTGCCACTGAATCTACCCATTTGTCCCTGAAAGCAGTGATCCGAGGAGGAAATCAGACTGCAGCCTCTCCGGAGCAGGGGTTCTGTCTGTTTTTTTTTGTGTAAAAGTGCTTGCACAGAGCAGCTGATTCTGCTTACGACGTTTGTGTGCTACTACAGCGCCAGCAATATCAGGAACATTGCCGCAGTCATTAATGTCCTCGTTAGCATGAGATCTAAATTGCAGTAAGTGCCTTTCGGATTGAGGAAGAAGTCAGGTTCACAGGCAGAGCCGCTGCTTCGCCAGGCTGATAGCTGCAGTAAGGTCTGGCTGATAAGCTCTGATTGCTCCCGGCAGCGCTCAGCAACGTGCCAGCCCCTGTCCTTCCGGGAGGGGTGTCCTGGGCACCTGGCACAGCTGAGATCTGAGGGTAATTTCTGCTGTTTGGGGTCATCCTCTTGTTTCTTGCACTGGCAGCATCGTGCCAGCCATATAAACACTAGCAGTGGATCGCGTGGCTGTGTCACTTCATCGCTGATCAAGGATGCTGTCACTTGCCCTAAACCTGCTGCTGGGTGTTCAGAGGTGCGAGCAGAACCAGGGTGCTGGCAGTTAGGTTTGGCTCAGCCTGGGCAAGTCTCCGTGCCTCTGCTCTCTGCCCACAACACCGGGGTCGTGGTTCTCACCCCTGGGAAGGGGCTGTGCACGGGGCGCTGCCGCAACCTGGGAAGGTGCCTGGAGCCCTGTGGTGCAGGGAAGGCAGGTGTTATCCCCGATAATTGGGTGTTTGCAGTACGGGAATGGCTGTGTTTTGACTGCTTGTTCTATACCAGGCTTGGAGTGTGAAAGGGAACCAATTATGTGTTTATTGCATTACTTCTACCTCGCAGCATTAACCCCTGGCTCCCAAGGCGCTTTTCAAGCAGCCAGCTCAGCTTTGAAATGCTGCTTCCCAGCCCTTCCAAGGCAGTCGTGAGCCCAAATTTTAGAAATGCTCTTTGGTTTGGACCTCTGGGCTGGTTCCCTGGGCTCGTACAGACGTAGAAGAGGAATGAGAAGCCATCCCTGGCGGTGCCACTGAACTGCTGCAGCGGTGTGAGCTCGTGTCCCCCAGCTCACACCTTCAGGATGTAGGGGAGAGGTTTGAGGTGAATGTGAAGCAGGAGGCACGTTCTCACCTCTTTTCCCCCCAGGTAGCTGGGTTCAGCCCGCAGGGCAGGCAGGAAGCTTGTCCTGACTCAGCTGAGCGGATGGGACCTGGGAGGAGTGGTGGGAACACGTGGAGCACAGACATGGGATTTCTCTGGCCAGGATGAGTTTAATCCCACTGGGGCTTGACCATCACTTAGGGTCCCATGAGGGGCGGATTCACACGTGGTGTTTGAGATCCACATGAGAGCTGCCAGCAAAGCCAGGAGCAGCGAGTCAATATTCTGAGCTTTAGCCCTAACTCCATAGCCTTGGTCTGTAATCCTGGTCCCACTGCTCTTCAAGTTCCCAGAAATATATTCTCAACAGAAACAAGACCAAGGCTGTTCTCAGTCTGAAGTTAGTGGTGGTAAAAGGGTGTAGTTTTAGGGACAGACCCTTCTGCAGAGGGGCATGAAATGTCAGGTCTTTAGGTGGAATCCCCCCGCACCCAGGTGCTAGGTTAATGGTTGGACTGGATGATCCCGGAGGTCTTTTCCAACCTGAATGGTCCCACGATTCCATGAGGTGTTGGTTTTCGGGTTGGTAGCAGAGCCTGAATGTGAGCCCCTGCAGTTCTTTGGGAGCATTTGGGTGGTTTCCACCCAGTATTGAAACGACTCCTGGAAGCAGCCCTTGAAAATCATACAGGCCGGAGAGTGCTCCGTGGAAATGCAATATAAGCCATCATTTAGGCTCCTTGAAATTGCTGTGAAAGCAAATTAAGTACTGGAGAACTCTAGGAAGTTGGTTCAACGTTGACTTTCTACCAGCTGCTCCCAGCTCGAGAAGTTCCCCTGGCCAGCCAGCTATTCAGTGCTCGCACTTGGGAGCGCACGAGCCAAAAAAGATTTCAGCTCATTCCCTGCTCTCCTGGGCCTGTGAGAGGAGTTATAAATAGCACGAGCTGACTTTGCTCAGCAATAAAACAAGCAAACAGGAGTCCCAACACACCCTGAGGCCAGGTGGACGGGGTGAGGAAAACAGCCCCAGCTGAGCTGACTGGTAGGAAAATCTCTAAATAATGAAAAAAGCCCCACAAATGTGGCCAAAATGGGCCTTTTAAGCCGTGCTTTTGTGCCTGGGTGGGGAAATGAGGCACAGAAGAGGTAGGGGTGCAGTCGGGCAGCAGGTCTCTGATGCATCTGGGGTCTGAACCCAGATGTCCTTGTGCTGAGAGCAGCCGGAATGCAAGGAGCAAGCGGAGCTGCTTGTAAACAGGAGGTAGAGCCAGGTGGGCTGGCTTCTTTGGGTGACTTCTCAGAGGAAATAAACAGCACCAACGATGATTAATGAAGGCAAGAAAGAAAGCTCGGTTGGGTTTAATCCCATCGGATTATTTGTTGTCCTGAAAGAGGTTGTTTTGCTTTGGCTTTCAGTAGGAGAGATATTTTGAGAGTGTTCCTTTATATGGCCTGTGGCTGACATCGCACTGGAAAATGCTTCTTGTTGTCGTTTTTTTTTCAGTGCATGAATTGCATCTTAATATAGGTCCCGTGTTAGGAATGCTTTGCCTCTCGTATGATCTCATGTGCCCCCCGCCCACTCATTCATGGTTAAATAACACGGCCTCTTGGCAGCTCCGGCAGCCCCATACATGAAGAACAGTAGGGAAGCAGTTCTGTATTTTTAGCGTCTTTTAATGCACTTCAGCAGCTGGGGAGGGCTCCAGATGACATGCCAGCTCGCAGCAAGAGGTCCGAGGACTGCAGCCTGAGAACAGCTGGGCTGCAGGCAGGAGAGGCTTCGTTCCAAAATACTTTGCACCAGGGGTTTTCAAGAATTGTGCTGGTTCCCTCTGAGCAGGGTAAGGCTCTGGGAGGTCTTGTGAGCGGAGATTTAGGCTGAGCCCTTTCCTGTGCCGCACTGTGCCGGTTGTTGCAGAAGTGTAAAGCAGCTGGCATCGCCTGCCCCGTGTGATCTCAAGTCAGAACAGCTGCTTTGGGCAGCAGTCAAACAGCTGGAAAAGCTTTACTACTGGTATTGGTGACAAACAATATCCAAGGAAGCTGTTTCGCAGGCAAGGGCTGGATAGGGCACAGCAAGTGCAAGCAGAGCTGCACCAAAATGGTTTTTGCCTCCTGGCTCTCTCTGATCCAGGTGTCCGTCCTCCCCCAGCAGCTGCAGCCCCTTCCTGGCTGGACGTTTTCGTCCTGTTGGGCTCCCTCCTCTTCACCCACCCCGTTTGCAGCTCTGAGCACAGATGCATGCGTTGTGCGTGAGCTCACAGCGATGCAGGACCCCAAAATGTCCCGCAGGTGTCAGCTGCCACCACCTGCACACAGGGGCTGTGCCAGCCCTGCGGCAGCTCCCCAGGGCAGCGCTGTGGGTTGGGGTCCTCGCATCCCTCCGAAACTACCCAGGGAGCTGGAGTGGGCAGAAGCTGAACAGGGGACCAGGGTTAGCACCCAGATTTTTCCGAGGAGGTGTAAGAGGAGCCCACAGGCTGTGTGCTCTGCACCTTTCACAGCTGTGGTTTTGGTTCTTGCCCCAGTCTGGGGATGTGCAGAGCTCAGGCTGGTGTTTGCTCTCCGAGCTGATTCAGGACAAGGAGGCCCCAGAGCGAGGCACTGGAGAGCCCCTGGGATTTCTGCAGAAGGCAGCCCTCCTCCAGCCATGGTCGCATCTCTGTTCAGGGTCTGAAGGGGCCCAAAAGCCAAGGGTGGGCTCCAGCGGGTGGGCAGCCCCTGGGAAATGCTCCAAGCAGGGTCCCAGGGTCCCACGGAGGGTTGCCTGAGTGTGCTCCCTGCAAAGGGGAGGGGAAGGAAGGGCACTTCTTTGGGAATACCAAAGACAGCACAGGATCCAGGGGGCAAAATGGGACTCAGAAGCCTTTGGTTTGGTTTTCAGCCCTGCTGGCTGACTTTGGGCAAGGCCTTGCTCTCTGTGCCTCGCTTTTCTCATCTTTGGGCTGGACCTACTGGTGCCACTGCAGAGCGCTTTGGTGTCTGAGCAGGCTGTGTAAGAACTGCTCCTGCTCCTGCTTACTCTTTTATCACTTCCAAGGCATCGGGGGCTGAGCTGCGTGTGGGACTCCTGCCTGGCTGGCTTGTGGGAAACTCACTCTCTCCATGGCTTGTCTGCCCTCCAGGTAGAACCGCAGGCCTGCACGTACCCCTGCCAGTGTCCCTCGCAGCCTCTGCAGTGCCCTGCTGGCACCAGCCACGTGTTGGATGCCTGCGGCTGCTGCAAGGTGTGTGCCAGGCAGCTCGGCGAGCTCTGTTCCCTTCAGAAGCCCTGCGATCACCACAAGGGACTCTACTGCGACTTCTCCAAAATCCACAGAGGCAGCGGGATCTGCTTAGGTGAGAGACGTTCGTTCTGTTGTTGTGCAGTTTTCCTGTGGCCCTTGCAGCCCCCCCAGAAAGCCCCCGGCGCCCAGAATTTCCTTCAGCGCTTGGGGAGCGATACGCACACAAATTACTTCCTTCTGCAACGAAGGAGGTCTCCAAAGGCACAACTGGGGGCTTGGGGCTCTCCTCTGTCCCTGGGACGTGATGGGAGAGCCTCTAACCCTGTAGTGCCTGTGGGTAAATATCAGCCAGCTGGGCTTTTGCTGGGAAGTGCTGCCGCTCGCAATATCTCACCCCAAATCTCACCGCCTTGCGCTGGAGATTGGCATTTTGCACTCGACTGCCTACGTGCAAGAGGCGTAACACATTTCTGGCTCGAGCACCTGGGTGGAAATAGCTGAGCAGGTCATTTGTAAAACAGAGCGCACGTGGAACCTGAGAGTCACCGAGCCAGGTGAACACAAACACAGACCTGTTCTCCCCAAGCTAATCCTGGTGCCGCTTCTCAGCACGGAAAGAATTGCTGCTCTGGTTGTTCAGTAGCTATTTTTAAAGCATGCAGAAATGTATTTTGGTATAGAAGGGAAAAATGTGTTCTGTCAGTCTCCTGGTCTGTGTTTAAAACCAAGACTTACCTGCCCGTCTCTGCCAGGTGCTGACTTTTTTTCTTTTTAATTCAAGCTTTTCAAAATAGTCAGGAGCACCCAAGGGCAGGGAGGTCGGTGTGAACGCTTTGGGAAGTGTTCGGCCACGGCACGTGGCTTCTGTGGAGGTGCTCAGACATCGACCTGAGGTGGGGGAGTTGGGAGTTCTGGGGGCACCACACTGTCCTGCAATGCCAGGGTCACATACAATCATTCCTTTTTACCCGAATTAATGAATATAACTGTAATGAAGGTGTTTTCTCCTTCCTTTTGAGATGTTTCATTAAGTTATGTGTTGTGTCCTGCCCTGGTTATTGTGATCTTTAGAAGCCACGTGAGCTTCCTTGTGCTGTCTGTAGGCATTGGCACACCAAAGAGCTGATGACTGAACCTCAATAAGCCCAACTCAATCAGCTCAATAAACTCAATAAGCCAAGTCTGATAATACCCAGCAGGTGTAAACTGCCTAATTAAGGCTGGAAATGAAACGTGTTTGTAGCAGGAAAGGTATCTGAATCACTGGGATGATTTACTTGTGTGTGGGGAAGGCCCCATCTCAAAGACTTTGCATGAAGCCTGGATGTTTTTCTTAAAAAAAAAGAAAAGAAAAGAAAAAAAATGCTTCCTAATCCTGTGAGGTAGGGGCTCGATGCACAGATCTCAGAGTGAGAGCCCCGGCTCTCTGCTCTGCACAAAATCAGACTTGAAGGTCACAACAGTCTTTCCTGCCTCTAAATGAGAAATTAAGATCTTCATGGCAAAAATCCCAGGTGGATACGGAGCAGGACATCTCCTCTCCCTAAATTGGACCGAGGATTTGGGCCGTGTCCTTGGGCGATATTTTTGTGACGTCCACGCTGCTCTCTTGGAAGACGGGGAATTGTGGAGGCAGCGAAGGCAGGTGAAGCTGGAGTGATGACTGCAATGAATGGTAGGATCGGGCTGTGTGGGTAGAGTAGAGAGGGCTTGGAGGAATCCAAATAGGAAGATACGTGGGGAGCAGGAGGAGCAGAGAGGTGTCTCCGTGGCTGGACGTGGTGTGTGGATGTGGGCAGTGCCAAACGGAGCTGGTGAATAGCAAAGAGCCCCCTCTGCCACTGCTGCCATCCCTTTTGGTGCTTCATTGCGTTGGGTCAACGGGAAGGCGAGGTCACCATAGGGTAGGAGGAGGCATGACGGAACGATTGGGTTCTGAAAACATCACAAAATCCCCGAGCCACGCTTGGGTGGGGAGGGAGAGGGCTTGGGCTAAACAAGTGAGAGAGGGCTTAAAAATAAGTCTGAACGGCCCCGCAGAGGGAAAGTGGATGGCTTCCACTCCGATGGAAAAAGTGAGGGGGTTGAAACTTCTTGGTAAGAGCACAGGAGTATTTTTATACCAATGGCACCGAAAAGAGCTGCGAGTTGAGATCCAGCGCTGGTGAGAAACGAGGCAGTAGCAAACCAGGAGGATTTGTGTCCCCTCGAGGACGAGGAGGGATGGAAAGAGGCTCATTGTTTGGGCCAAACACTTGGTCGGAGACAACGTTCTGTTCCACGGGCAAGCAGGACTAAGAGGAAAATAGATCGGGTTTCCTGGTAAGCCTCCTCAAGCCGCCAAGAATCCTTCTTTTTGGTAACTTCCCAATAAATGTTTGCATGGATTTTTTTTTAAGGGGTCAGAATTGCAGAAAGCGGCAGCCGACTGTCCAAAAGCAGGATTTCTGTCCTGTGAACAACTTCTGAGATTTCAACATTTTGCTTCAGACTGAAGGCAAAAAACAAAACAAAACAAAACAAAAAAAAAACATTAAAAAATACCAAAACTTCCCGTGAATTATTTAGAATACTTGTTTGGCCGTGCCAGAACTTTCTAATTTGGTTATATCAAAATATTTCATCTTGATATTTATAGCATCTAAAATAATTACCCAAGGAAAAGGTTTCCCACGATGGATACTGTCCAATAAGTATTTTGGTTCAGACACGAGCTATTGTAAGAGCATAAAGGAAATCTTTGGTATCGAGTTGAAATGCTTCAGTTGTTTCTCATTGGAAACATTCACAAACTTGGTCTGTGCCTGTGAAGCTTTTAATCAAATCACAATTTTCTGCTGGAAAACTTCGACTGGAAAACTTTGGGCTAATACAGATGTAAGAACTCGTGAGCGCTGTTCACACCCGCAGACTGAGGATCGCTCCCGTGCGTAAGATGTCATCGTGATTCCTTTTTTCTCATTTAAGCTTTACCGGGAAGGAGTGAAAAAATTCACTCCTAAGAGAACGGCTCTTAGGAGAAGCCCGTTGCCTTTTGGCTTCTTAAGAACAGCAAGGAGCAGAGCTGCTGGCTCCCGTGCCGTGAGGAATGCACCTTGCACAACGCCACGGGCTGGGCACTCCGAGCCCCACGGGAGGACCTCTGGCTCGACGCGGAGGGCTGTAAAGAGAAAGTGCCCCTCGGTGGCTCGTCCAAGTGGGGGACAGGGGCTGGTGGAGCGCTTTGGGCGGTCTGGCACAGCTGGAGCCACTTCCACAAATCAGCCTCGGTAACATCCCGGGGTCAGGGAGCCAAACACTCAACGTGCCGATTGTGCTGCAGCCAGCCCCGGGGTCACAAAATCGGGGAGGGGTCTGCACGTGGGGCTTGCCCCTCGCCAGCAGCCCCTTAACCCCCGAGGCAGAGGCCGTGCTGCCAGCCCCCAGCATCGGCTCAGCTTCTCCTCTTCCTCTTCCTCCAGCTCACGAGGGTGCGACGTGCGACCTGCTGGGCAAGATCTACCACAACGGGGAGAGCTTCCAGCCCACCTGCAAGCTGCAGTGCATCTGCATGGACGGCGCCATCGGCTGCATCCCCCTGTGCTCCGACGACCTGCGGCTGCCGTCCCCCGAGTGCCCCAACCCCCGGCGGGTGAAGTTCCGCAATAAATGCTGCGAGGAGTGGGTCTGCGAGGAGGGCAGCGAGGAAAACCGCTTCGAAACAGCCATGGCAGGTGAGAGATGGGCTGGTGCGACTGGGGCAGGAGCGGTTTGCTGGGGGGTCGAGGCAGGGAAAGTCCTCAGAGGAGCTGTGAGATGGCAGGATTGAGCCAGCCTCCCCAGTTGCTGCCTGCCCCAGCCCTGAACCTTGCCTTGTGTCTCTTCCTCTTGGCTCAGTTTTCAGGGAGGACCCAGCACGCAAGCCGGAGCTGAACAACGTGCAGGAGAACTGCTTGGTGCAGACCACCGAGTGGAGCGCCTGCTCCAAGAGCTGCGGCATGGGCATCTCTGCGCGGGTCACCACCAACAACCCCCAGTGTCGCCTGGAGAAGGAGACCCGGCTCTGCATGGTCCGGCCCTGCGACTTCCCCATGGAGAAAACCAAGGTAGGGGCTCGGGGAGCAGGGACATGGCACCAGGAGTGCCAGGGAGCACCTGGTTAGGTGCTTGGAAAGCATAAACCTGTCCCCTGGGGGCTGCTCCACCGTCTCTGCGCCTTCCTGCCCGGAGACGGGCAGCGCCCAGGGCTAGGTGGGCTTTTTGTCACGTTCCTGTTAACCCATTTGTTGCTGCTCTCTCTCCCTAGAAGGGGAAGAAGTGCGTGCGGACCCCGAAGCCACGCCAGAGCCTCCACTTCGAGTTTTCGGGCTGCACCAGCACCCGTTCCTACCGGCCCAAGTTCTGCGGCAGCTGCACGGACGGCCGCTGCTGCACCCCGTACGTCACCAGCACGGTGGAGGTGGAGTTCCGCTGCCCCGAGGGGGACTTCTTCCAGAGGAAGATGATGTTCATCAAGATGTGCTCCTGCCACTACGACTGCCCGCGAGACAACGACATCTTCCTGGCCACCTACCACCGGAGGATGATCGGAGACCACGTCAAGACGGAGCGGCAGTAGCCCCCCCCGTGCCAGACCCACGGGCCGAGGTGTCAAGAGGGCTCTGCGGTGCTTTCGTGGCTGTGTCCCGGGACATCGCAGCCTCTTCCCCCTCTGTGAGGGGCTGTGCTCTTCACGGCAGCGCCGTTCGCCACCAGTGGTCCCGGTGGCCGTGCTGACAAGCCAGGGTGCGGGGCGGAACAGCCCCTCCTGTCCCGGGCCGCTGAGCTGCAGCCCGTGGTTGCCCAAAGGTCGGCGAGGGAACTGGAAACAGGCTCGAGCTGCAAACTTGATCCATGTTCCCACAGACGAGACGGGAGAGCGGATCAAAGCCGCACGGCTCCAGCCTGTCTCCAGCTGCGAGCACGCTGGGTACAGTTCCCCGTGGCCGCTGGCCTGCCCAAACCGTGGCAAACCCAGAGAATGAGACGGGGGAGGTCCGGGAGGCCTGAGCTAGCGCAGGGCTCTGCAGCGTCTTTTCCAGCAGAGCGGGGCTCTGGTGGGTGTGGATGCGAAGTGTCTTGGTGAGGAACGTGGTCCTGGCCCCACGCTGAGCTCCTGCTGAGCCTTTCATTTATTTTTGGCTAATTGGACCCAACAAGTTGGGAAAAGCTCCCTCCCATCCCTCTGCCCACCTTTCCCCCTCCCACCTGCTTTCCCATCAGCAGCTTTGTTCCAGACCAGTTTGCTCCCGGAGAGGCCGGATCCTCCACTGGTGACCTGCTCTCCGGGCAGCTCCAGGCTCTTTTTTTCTTTCCTGTACAATTCCTTTAGCCTCACGTGCCCATGAGGATGACAGCAAAGAGGCAGAAGGGAGCAGTGAGCTGTGCAGTGTCCTTGCAGGAGCCCAGGTGTGGCTCAGGGCCTCCTTCCGAAGATCTGAGCCCAGGAAGGATTTCCTTTGGAGAAAAAAGGAAATTGCTCACCCCTCTCCCTGGTGCCAGTTTCAGACCCAAGGAGCTCTTCCAGGATGGGGGTGAGCCAGGTTGCCTGTCTGAAGCGTGTCCCCTGTGGGGGCAGCTCACGGCAGATTTCAGCGCAGCGAGGAGCGTTTCTGTGGTCCCAGTCTGTGATCACTTTGGAGGTGGCCAGGGGAGCCGGGCTTTGCTGGCTCGTGCATGCCCAGCGGGGCTGCGGCTGCATTTTGGCTCTGGGCTGTGCTGCCTGAGGGTCAGGAGCTGGAGCAGCACGGTTCAGCTCATCTCCCTGGGGGGGTCTCAGGGCCGGTGTTTGTAAACAGAGCGTGTCTCTGGTCTAGTGACAGGGCCAGTCCTTGGTGCTGGGATTCTCCACCTCTGGGTTCTGTGCTCACCACAGCCCTGTGGGACCGGCCCCCGGCATCCCCTGAGCCCGCGGCCAGGCTGAGGCTGCCCCGTGCATCTGGGCAGCTGCGGCGCTGAGCCCTGCCCCACCACCGCTCCCGTTTTGGGGCAGAACTCGGTGCCAGAGGACAATCCGAGCTGCTCACAGATGCTGCCCTTCGCAGCCCATAACGCATCGCCCTGACTTGGCCACCAAAACACCGCCGCGAGGCCAGCGCCCCACGTCAGCTCCTCGCCTCGCTCTCAGCCTGCAGAAGCTCGCGAGCCTTCAGCCTCCCGTTCCGTGTAATCACTTATAACTGTAAATAATTCCCCTGATGGTTCCTGAGGATGTTTCTTCTCTTTGTAAAGCTCTTTGTACAGTTTTTGTACCCTGTTATCACAACCATGCTTGGGGCCTCTTCGTGATGGAGATTTTCCCCTTGCCCTCCAGTTTGGCTCTTGACTTTTCTCCTGCTGTTTACGCGGCTTCTGAGCGTAAAACTAAGCCGAGGCTGCACCTCACTCACCGCTAATAAATCTATTTTGTATATCCCTGGCACCATCCCTCGGGGCATGGCCCCAGCCCCTGGCCCTGCTGGGATCGGTGCCCTCGGGGCTGGCAGCAGGGGGGTGGGTGGGGAGCCGGGGGGGTCCTGTTCCCCCTCCCAAAACACAGCGGTGCTGGGGGCAGTGCCACGGGCACCTGGGGGCCCCCAAAGTGAAGCCACTGCTCTGGGGGTGATGAGCGGAGCCCGCCCTTCGCTGCTTAACGACCTGAAGCCCTTAATACCCGGTTAAAAATAACCCCGGCAGCAGATGTGCGCAGAAGTCGGCGATAACAGGGCCAGAGCGCGAGGGGTTTGTGGCGGCTTAGCGGCTCACGGCCGCGGGCTCTGCCCCCTCCCAGCCTCCCTCTGCTGCTGGGGTGGGCCTGGGGCTCCCTGGGGACGAGCCCCCTGCACCCCAACTGTGCGCCCTTGCTCCTGCTGGACCCAGCCTTTATGGTTGGGGGATCCCAGAGAGTGGGTGCTGCCATGGGGGCTTTTTGTAATTTTTTTTTATTACCCCACTGGGTCCCCTAAGAACCAGGGGGGACACCAGGACCCCCAGGGGCAGCACTCCCAGCCCTGGGGCTGAGCTCCCCATGGGCAGGGCTGGGAGCGAGGTTCTGGAGGCTGCTGGGGTCGAGGCACTCAGTGTGGCCTCCGTCCCCCATAGCCCAGTGGCAGCACGAGGCCAGCTCTGGGGTTGTCCCGGGGCCCCCCCACCCCTTATCGGCCCTTATCGCCTGCCACCTGTATGGCTGCGATAACCAGGGCGGGGTCCTGGGTGGCTGCTGGGGATAAGGCAGGGTTTGAGGGGGTAAGGCAGGGTTTTTTTGGGGGAAAAGGCAGGGTTTGGGGGTAAGGCAGGGTTGGGGGGGTAAGGCAGGGTTTGGGGGGGGTAAGGCAGGGTTTTTTTTGGGGAAAAGGCAGGGTTTGGGGGTAAGGCAGGGTTTTTGGGGGTCCTCGCCCTGCCAAGGAATGAGCGGCTGAGGCCGAGCCTCGGCCCTGTGCTGCAATAACCAGAAATCACTAAAAATGAGCCCAAAACCACCCCGAGCCCGGTGCCCTGGCAGAGGCCGGAGCTGGGAGGCCGCCGCCGGGCCCCCGCGTGGGGAGGAGCCGGGAGGACCCCGGGGGAGACCCAGGGGGGACCCCCGAGCGCTCCGCTCCTTATATGGTTCGGTGACGTCACGGCGGCGCTCGGAGCCGCGCGCCCCTCTCGGGGACACCCCCCCCTCCCCTCGCGCCGTGACGTCACAGCGCCACCTGCACGCCCCGCCCACTGCAGCGCCGCGGCGGTGGCCCCGCCCCCTTGAGTGTGGTGGGCGGGGCTTGTGGCGGAGGGGGCGGGGCCTGGCGGCGCGGGAAGGCGTGGCGCGCCGTGACGTCACGGGGGGCGGGGCCGGCGGCGCAGGTGGAGGCAGCGCGGAGCGGAGCGGCCCCGGGCCGGTAACGGCGGGGACGGGGGGGGGCTCCCGGAACAGGGGGGGGTTGGGAGGGACCGGGGGGGTTCCGGCGCTGGAAGTGGCCGGGGGGTGCTCGGGGGTGCCCCCCGTGGTGGGGGGGTCCCCGGTGGGGCCGGGGTGGGAGCTGCGGGGGGGTCCCGGTGAGCGCGGGGAGATCCCGGGGGTACCGGGGGCAGCCCCGTGACCCCCCCCAAACTCGGGGTCCCCCCCCCTCGGGGTCCTTCCCCTGCCCGGCTCCGGCTGCACAGCGCTGCCCCCCCCGGCACTCTCCTATCTATGCCCGTAGCCGGGTGCCCGGTGCCCCCCCGGTGCCCCCCCCGGTGTCCTCCCGGTGCCCGGGTCCCGCTGCGTGCCCTCGAGCCCCGCCGCCCGGTTTCTCCCGGGTTGCTTCGCCTCCCCCTTCTCCTTCCAGGCCGCGCTGTCGCAACCCGTGTCCCGCCGGTCCCTGTCCCCCCCCCCCCCAGCCACCAGCCCCACGGCTCCTCCGTTCCCGTGGCCGTGCCCGGTGGGGGCTCTCCGGGGCCCGCCGCTATCTTTAGGGCTGTGTTGCAATGGGGGGGGTGTGGGGGTGTGCCTTGGCTCGCCGCTGCGCCGCAGCCGCCTCCGTGCCGCGGGGTTGCCTCACGCCCAGGTTCCCCCCCCCGGGGCCGGTGTCGGGGTGCCCGGTGCTGCGTGGGGACCGGGCGCTGCTGGGCCCTGCTCGGCACGGGGCTGGTGGCGGGGGGGGGCTGGTGCCGTGCCCTGTGTCGGGTCACGCTGTGCGGAGAGGAGCCTTGCCACAGGGCCGTGACTTGGCACGGGGCACGCTCGTGTCCCCTTGCACCAGCGTGGGGAGAGCTGGGGGGCACGGCCGGGATGGGGAGGCTGGAGGGGCAGCGATCCCTGCCAGCCCTCCGCTGAAGCACATTGGGGTCGTGCAAGGTGCTCCCCGAAACCCTCCCTGCCCTCTGCTGCACCGGCCTTGAGGCTTTAGCAGAGGCACGGCCGGGGCCGGTGCTGCTGCTCCCCTCCGTGTCCTCTTTCCGCTGGGTAACCGGGTTAGTCGTGGGAGTAACTTGCGACCGTGCCAGAGTTTCAGGTGACACGGGGCTGAGGTTCCCTGCGCTGCGTAATCCTGCCCTCACCCTGCGTGTGCCCGCGGGTGTGCAGCTCCGCTGTGCCTGCCCCCCCAGGCAGGGCTCGGGTAGGGTGGGAGCGGGGCCCTTTGCCCCCCTTGGGTGCGCGGCTCCTCTCCAAGTGCTAGGTCCTGCTCAGAGGCGTTTTCCCCCAGCTTAGCTCAGCGCCGTGGTCCCTCCTGTTCCTCACCCGACGCTGGGCACGTGCTGCCTCTGCGAGTCGTGATGGAAACGGGGAGTTAGCAGCAGCCAGAAGTTCCTCCGCGCATCCAACTCCTTCCCCACGGCTGGGCTCGAGCTGTTCTCCTGGCGGCTCGAGCCTCCCCCGGCTGCCCGCTGTGCTTTCCCCTTCCCTTAACAGCATCTCCAGGCCTTCTCCAGAGGGTTTGAAACCCTGCCGAGACGGAAAGTGCCTTCTCATCCGCGGCGGGGCCGCTCTGCGACGTGCTCGGAGCGGCTGCTGCCTCCCGGCGCGCAGCCTGGCTGCTGCGGGAACTGCCTGCGAGCTGCGGCGCTGCGCCCGCATCCCCGGCTGGTGCTGGTCGGGAGGGCAGCGGTGTCAGTGGTCCTCTGAGACAGAGGTCACAGATCAGATACCCAATATTTTTTTTTCTGAGCTTCTTCTGTGGCTGTTCCCCGGGAGGACAGTGGGCTGCTGGTGGTCCTTACCCCACAGGGCAGCATCCCGCTTTTGGGGTGGGGTTTTAACTTTCACTGCTGGCTGTGGGAAGGGGCTGAAAGCTGCGGGTTTGGGGTTAAAGGCAGCTCTTGGCCACGCTGGGTGCCGTGGGCTGGAGGTGTGGGAGCTGCCTGCAGCGTGAGTCAGGAGGGGGGATGGACTCACCCACCACCACCTGGAGGCTGCCCAGAAAGGCTCCGGGTCCCCCAGCGGTCCCTTCTGTGCCTTTTGCTTCCTCCAGTGACTTGTGCGGGGCTGAGTCAGGCCTCGCAGGGAGGTGCTGCAGGCTGCTTGCTCAGCTGGGACCGGCGCAGGAGCAGCTGGCCCTGGGGATGTCCCCTTGGTGCTGGCTGTGACGCTCAGGCTCAGCTCGCTGACCTTGCAGTCCCCTACACCCTGAGCATCGGGACCGAGCTGCCCGGTCCCATCCCATCAGGGTGGGCTCTGTGGGTCTCCGTGCCCCAAGCCTTGCAGGGTCCATACTAAGCAGCCGGCTCATCTGCCTGCTTTTCCCCACTAGAGGCTGCTGATGAACAGAACATTTTCTATCCCTGGCTCTGATGGAGCAGCGGGGGCTTGAGTTTGCAGGGCTGAGCGGGTGGCGGCTGCCCGGAGCATCCCGGCCTGGGCTTTGCTGCTGATTCACCCTGGAGATGCGGCCGGGTCCAGGGGCACAGCTGCTCCCCTGTCAGGCCCACAATAGATCTCCGCACTTCATTAGGTCTCAATTAGGCAAATGCCTGGGGTACGATGACATTGCCGGGAGGAGCCGCAGCTGATGGGGTCCTGCGGTGATGCCAGCTCGGTCCCTCTGCCTCGGGGGTGCCTCCGGGCTTTTCCCAGCTGGTCGTGGCAGGGCGCTGAGCGTGCAACGAGCTGAGCCTTTGGGTTGTTTCGTGCAGGATGTGTGCAGCGATAACCACTCACCCCTCCGGCGGATCCCCGTTGGCAGCGAGGGTTGGCTGCGTGTTGGGAGGATCGCATCGCCCCGGGCACAGCGCGGTGGAGCTGCTGCATGGCCACAGAGGAGGTTCTTTTAGGGCAGCTCCTTGGGACCTCGTGCTTGGGCAGGCTGCTAGGAAGGCAAACCCAGAAGGTGATTAATTACGTAGTAATTACATGGGAAACGAAAGGTGGTGCTACTTGAGGTGGAGGGTACCCAAGCGGGGATCCCAGCAGTGGGCATTGCGCGAGCCCCCGCCGTGCGGTGCCAGCTGGCCTCGGCAAGGCAAGGCAGCGCTTTACATAACCTGGCATTTGCAAAACAAGCTCGAAGGCCTGGAAAATCCTCCTGCTATTGTTGCTGCTCTGAGTTTGCTGAACTTCCTGGTTGGGTCTGCAGCTCTGATTCTTTTCTTTATTTTTTGGGGCTGCAATGGGGAGAGCTGCGCTGAGTGGAAAGAAAAGGGGTTGTGGCGTTTAATCCACGCCTGGCTCCTTAGATGAAACTATTTTTGTTGCTCACAAGAGGTTTTGAGCAGCTGCTCGCAGCTTTATAGGGCTGCGGAGGACTCTTCGTCTATCCAATTAGCATGGTTTGTCTGCTGTCCCCTCCCGATACCCCTAGAGAAAAGCCTGAACCATCGGCTGTGCCTGCGGAGCGCCGGGAGCGGTGCACGCACAGGCACCAGCTGGGCCCCCGTGCTGAGCCTGGTCGGGTGCAGAAGGGGCCAGGGGAAATGGGGTTGTGTCGCCCAAGCCTCACCCTGCTGTCCTTGGGGAGGGAAGGCTCTGGAGCTGTCCCT